TATGAATCCCTGTAATGGTATATGAACCTTAAACCCTTTTAGGGTTCATTTCGTCCTTCAGGAAGAAACGGTAGAGTTTCGGACACAGGGCCTTCTATCGGCAGTCAAAGCCACTGATGTCGCCACATGGAGCGGGTGATAGGCTTGTCGGATGTAGTCCTGGGCCATATTGCAGTTTCCGAAAGGGCTACCTTATTTCGGGTTCTTATAATAAGGATCCTACTAGGGTACTATATTGGGGTCCCCTGTTTTCGGAAACTCCCATATAAGAGAGATCTTCGGCACGTATAACTTCCTAGATCCTGAAGAACCTACCTTTTTAGGGCTCCTTCTTATGACGTCCTTATATAATCTATTTCCTTACAAAAGCAGGTTCTTCAGGGTGCAAGTTTATTATGCACTAGCCCGAAATTAGCGTAGAAACCCTGCACAACGAATTCGAGTCACGAAGACGAAACCCGAAACCTAAACACCGAACAGACTCCGAAAACGAAACCTGAAAGAACCAGTGAGTTCGAATCCCAAGAACGAAACCCTAAACCCCTAAACCCTAAACCCTAGTAACGAACCCGGAAAACTTAAGTCGACACTCAGAGTGGGTTTGCACGCTAAGATCGGAGCCCTCGTGGTCACTGGTCCCGTCTCGGGCGTGGCGGCGTTGGCGGCCCAGCATTTTAGGTTTTGTTTGTTCCGGTTTAGGGGTAGGGGTTTCATTACTCCCGAAGCCTATAAACCCTAAACCCCCAAAGCCTCAACCCTCCAAAACCTGAAATCCTAAGCAGTAAAGCCTACCTGTATCCCCAAACCCTACAAAATAGTAGGTTATGAGCCCTTACTTAGAGGGTCTGACCCCTTAAAACGGTAGGTTTTTGGATCCACAGGTAACTCCTAAATAGCCCCAAATTTAGGGTCCATGGTTAAGGTTTTCTGGTGCTTACCGAGAGCCCCACACACGGGTCCTCAGAATCAGGGTTGAAGTTTCCATGCGGATCCCTTGCTTCAACGAAATTCCCCTGCGGGCTGAAGAATGTACGGTTTGAGAAGTTTGTCAACACCCCGGTCATAACTGGCAGTTTCTGAAAATAGGGGTACCTTATGTTGGGGTCCTTATAATAAGGATCCCACTATTTAGGGTACTATATTAGGGTCCCCTATTTTCGGAACCTCCCAACTAAGAAACCCTAATCAGATCTTCTTGCGGGCTCGAAACGAGGCCCGAGGACGAGAGGCGCTGGCCTGGTTGATCTGCGCGCGTGCGACGGCAAGCAATGACCGCCGCGGTCTCTGTTGGTACATTGCTATAAGCAGCGAGGCAGACATCTTGAGGCGCTCAACTTACTTTCTCTCGCGCAATCAGCGCGGCTGTTTGTGAAAACTCCTGAAACCGCCACGAAAAGGGTCAGAGTCTTTAGACTCAGGCAGTGCTGGCGTCTATTATCAGGCAGCGAGGGTGGTGATGGAAATTGATTGCTCGAAGCGACAGAATGTCAGAATCCACGAGATTCCCGGTGAGATGTTGGAGGAGCTGCGAACCTCCATCCTCTCATGTAGGGGCTTAAATCATTACCAATCATATTCTGGAGGTCCCTGATAATTTTTATAGTATAATGGGCCCCAACCCTATTCTAATTACTAAAGCCCTAATTACAGTACACGAAACCTTGAGGCCTGCAGAGTAGCGGACACGAGGCCACGAGACATTAGGCCAAAACATCCTACCTCTAGTCTCCATGGTAGTTCCTTTTTGGTTAACCAGCTTTATAGTTAGGATCCTACAATAAAGATTTTGGTTAGCCAACAAAAGGAATTACAATGGAGACTATAGGGAAAACCCCAAAAAGTGACACCCAAGACGAAGACTGACTGCCTTGATAACCCCAGTAGAGTATAGTGAGCCCCAGAAAGTTGGAACACTGATCTAGGATGATTCTTGCTGGGATTTCCTATTACGCTACTCTAAGGGTGAGGATAATGATGTTCCAACTTTCTGGCTTCTACTGTATGTGCCCTTCAAAAGGTCGAGGTAGATGCAGGACCCTTGAGTTTCATGCCTTGGCTTTCTAAGTGGGGATTTCCGAAAACAAGGGGTGCCTTATTTGGGGCCCTTATAATAAGGATCCTTTTTTGGGGGTACTATATTAGGGTCCCCTATCTTCGGAAACTCCCAAATACACCCGTTCATGGACCCTCAGGCTTACACTTGGGTAGTTCTCTAAATTAGGATCCTTTTCGGGGTCCATTTTAGTAGCGTCCCGTAGTATTTTCGGGACCTAAAAGTTGCAGCCGACGCACTTGCTACTCGTACTGTCGATCACTGGGTTCCGGGCCAGCCATTAGGGTTTAGGGTTTAGGGCTAAACTCCTAAACCCTACCCATAGCCCACACAGTAGTTCCTTCTTGGGATTGCCGTTTCGGATTCTAAATATGACACCCCAAAAGAGCTACTTTGGAGCCAATGCGTAAACCGTAGGGACTTCTTGACTGCCGGGTCAGTGTCAGACTTGGGGAGTGCAGGATTACGTTTCAGGATAGGACGTGGCATCCGAAACTTTCTGGTTTCTTGTTAAGGGTTATATTTTAAGTTACCAAAATAGGGATCTATGGCAAATAGCATTGAATATTGTTTCCTTTTCATGGTAAGATAAATCACATCCCCTAACAAGAACCCAGCCTGAAGCCCATGAAACTCTACACCTATAGTCTGCAGCGTAGTTCCTTTTTGGGGTTACTTTATAGTATAGGATCCTAATTATATATTTGGTTAAACCAAAAAAAGGAACGACATGGTAGAGCCGAATACTACTCCTTCGGGGTTTTACGAAATCGTCTCCTCGGTATTTACACTCGCGAAGCAATAAGGCAGAGTGCAGTGGCAAGGATGATGACCAAAAGAGCCCGCATAACGGTGGCACTATCGAGACAGCATTGGTGATGGTAGTAACTTAGTATTACCATTGGTTGCATGTTTATTTGGCGCAGAGCAAGAGAAGAAGTATTCCTGACGGTTAGAGAGTGATGAATATTCACGGCAAGGGCACCAAGTTTCGACAGCACGAAGAATCGCATTACGAATCTCGCTCGACCTCGCGACGATCACCGAGCCAGCAAGAAGCATTACATAGCTGTACAGGTTCATGTACCCAAATAGTATATACTTTGGCCCCAATGTACCCCTTTTTATGGACTACTTCAATGCCAATGTAAAATTATACCATTTGGGTGCATGGACCCTTAGGCCCTTAGGGTCAATGAGTCAATGACACTTCCGCACTAGCCATACTGAGAGCCATACGAGTAGCATTGAGGACCTGTGTCAGTGGTCGCCGCTGCGCTATCGCAGACATTACCGGCGTCTACCTGCAGGCAGCTTGCGGGAAATAGGAAGTGTCGGAGGGTTTGTGTGCCATTCGGTCTACCTATGCGATGGTCTGCTGTTTTAAGTTAAGCCCTCAAATGAAAGCTGGCCTCCGAAGCTAGATAGAGCTTATCCCTCTCCGCCCAAACCAATATGTAATAATGGCATCGTCGTTTTCTTTGGAGGTCATGCGGTCTATTGGGGCTCCACTGCCGAAGGACACATGTACAAAAAATTGGACATCGCATTCATAATGCAGCTTTTTCGTTATCATCTAAGTTGATATGCGTGAAGACTCATGGAGAAGTTGAACCTGGGAAGGGACGAGTTTGTAAGATTCCTCTAAGCCCCATATAGAACCCCAGAAAGTTGGAACATGAGTTTAGGATGATCAGTGCTAGGATTTCCTCTACCTTGCCTCAAGGGTATGAGGATAATGATGTTCCAACTTGCTGGCTTCTACCTCACCCCTTTAGGATCCTGAACTCTAGACTCTAGACACCCGAAACATCCCTACATCCCTAAGCGGTAAAACCGTAACTCGAAATCCAAAACGTAACCGAACCCACCTCCAAGGCTCTCGAAGTTGTCAGCTCAACCCAATGAGTTAGTTAGGGTGGAACTACCTATAATCTCCATTGTAGTTCTTTTTTGCTTCACCACTTTCGTATTTAAGGTCCTGCAGGGTCCTCTAAGGTCACCCCCCAAAAGGGAACCACAATGGGGACTGTAAATTTTATATAGAAGATGTTGAGAATCCCCAATAAGGGCCCCTAAGGATTCTGCAGTCCGAAGTAGGTTGGTCAGAAGTCAGCGCTTCCGATGTTATAGGGGCCTTACGTAAGAATTACTTATACTATGCTAGGGGTTCCTTGTTGTAAGTCTAGTAGAATGTGACCCAAAGCCCTATTCTAATTAGTAAGGCCCGGACCCCTTTAAAGGAACCATATTCTAATTATTAAGGCTCCTGTATTATCAGGCTTCAATGTGGTTTTGGGGGTCCAGGGCTTTGACTCAGAGTTTTTGGTTGCCGAGCCGCTCCCCAACATCCCGCTGGATTAGGGCTTACCGGGTTTACTGGGTTCATAGGGTTCATAGGGCTTGTAGGGCTTATGGGGTTTATGGGGCTTATGGGGTTTATAGGGTTTAGGGTTCTCGATGTTAAGGGGCTTATTGTCAGACTTGTCTGGGTGAGTCGTTGCATCCTCTGCTTTGGAACTACATTGACGAGATATCCTCTCTTTTCGATCCCTAAACCCTAAACCCTAAACCCTGAACCCTGAACCCTGAACCCTAAACCCTAAACCCTAAACCCTAAACCCTAAACCCTAAACCCTATCCTCTCTTCTCCATCCCTCTCAAACCGAAAGACCTCCCGGGTTTGAGCCAGGCCTTACCCACATCGAGGACCCCTTTCCAAAGCCCTGCCCCTTCAACGCTAAGCTCTTGACTCCCGTAGAACCGGCACAGAAATCTCATGAAGCCAGTAAGCCCTGAACCCTATTTAAAGCCTGAGCCCTAAATCCTGAAATCCTAAACCCCAAACCCTAAACACTTAAAAAAGAACAAAAGCCTGAACCCTTCATTAAAAAAACACTGAATCCCTGTTTGAAAACCTGGGCTTCGGAAGGATGGAGACTCAGTGATGGTGCTCACAGCCTGTGGCGGGGGTCTGCCTGCACTTCGGCCTATCGTTCAGAGTCATCCATGATTTTTTGTGACGTTTCGGGTTTAGGGTTGCATAAGGGTTTTCTAGGTAGGCCTTGGGGACATGTTGTATTTCGCCTTATTTGGCCCAGGAGGATCGTAGAAAACAAGCAGTTTTTCAGAGGCTGTAAGGGCCAACCTAGTTTTTAGATTGCAGAATTGAGGGTCTAAAGGGTTTCAGGAACTCAGGTTTTGATTGCCCAGGTAGGGCATACAGGGCTTAGGGTTTAGGGCTTAGGGTCTGCAAATGAGATGCTGAAACTTAAGCTTAGTTATCTTGTCCCACAGCGGCGAGAGCAAAGAAAGCACCTTGACGGAAGTTTACGCAACGAATAGGGTGTCAGTGACCCCGTGAAGTATCTGTCTGTAGTAGATAGGGTTAAGGGTTTAGGGGTTTAAGGTTTGGGGTCATAAGCAATCATTAAGTCCCCTACAGTAATAGCCCTTATCGTACCCCTATAGACCCTGTATAAGAACCCGTTAAGGGCCCCTGATGGGGGTTTCAGGGTCTAGGGTAAAGGAAGTCTAAACCAGGCCTCGACCAGGTAGCCCAACTTTCCGCCTCCAACTCCAAAGCCGTAATACAGGGGCCCTAATAATTGCCTATAGTATGTTTTTTTGAGGGGCGGGGGTCCTTGCCAGTCATAATCATAATTTGTTTTTGTGAAGGGGCGGGGGCGGTCCTTATTGTAATCATAGTATAATGGGCCCCAAAACCATATTGCAACTCAAGCCCCAGTCCCTCGACCTGGAACATTCTGGCCCTAAGCCCGAAACCCAGATCGACGGCTTCCCCAACGGCGCGAAGACCACGACGGGAGCACTCCAAGGGAGAGAACACAGTACAACCCGGCATGCTTGAAGGGTACCTTCCCCTTTGGGCTTTTGGGAACTGTGCTCAATATTTCGTCCAATTATTTTGCGTGGGCGACGCTGGGCTCGGCTTGCTTGGAGGGTTGGCACGTATAGAAGATTAGATGCGTGGGAGTATTTCAAAGTATGCCCAAAACTCGAAGCGGTCTCGTCCCGTGGTATGTTCATGTGGGCTGCAGATAGTGGACCCTGATACATGAGGCATCCCGTATTTGCAAGAAACCTTTTTATCGATACTCTGATACAGCTTCCCCATAAAACAGTATAGCATCCTATAAAGACATGATTAGCGCCCATATAGAAGCTGCACAATTCTCGGAAGCCTTGAGCCGTCATTGTGGGCTTTAGGGGTTGATGGTTTCTACGAGTAGGTTCCAGATTCGGGGGTGTAGTCAGCGGGTCAGGCCCCCAAATCGGAGGCCATTGTGACATTCTATTTCTCGTTGTTTGGGTCGAAGAGGATTTTCGTTACGAATCGTTTGCAGGAGTTCTGAAACCTTCCCAGTGTCGAATTCGCAAGTTCCGTCTGTTGGGATCGCCCGCTTGGTCCTGCTAGAGCCTCCCATGCGGTCTTGTTTCTCCAACCCAAGGCTTTAAGCAACATGCTTTCATCATGTAAACTTGCATTGCCTTGGGAATTGGAGAAGTCGGCGCAGCTACCTCCTTCAAAGGAACCCGTTTTAAGTATCAAGGCCCCTATATGCTTTGTGGCAGGTTGGGGCGAGGCGCGCTGCATCGGGTTATTCACGCTAAAGCTCTGGACCCGAGATACTCGCACAGTCTTTAGGCAGAGCCCGAACGTACTATAGGGGCCTTAATGGTCTTAAGGATTCGGTTCCTTTTGGAGTTCTTTCAGGTGTTCTAGAAGGGTTGTTAGAAGGGGTATGAAAAGAATTTACCAAAGGACCTTAACTTAATAATTCGAATTAGAACGGAGCCGGCAAGGGGGGGGGGGGAATATTATGCTGAAGTGGTATGAAGGAGCCATAAGGAGCAGTGGTTATTCAGGCCCCCATGGTGCTCGCAAACTCTGGCCTCCAACCTCCAGTCATAGTTCACCAGATTCGCACCCTAAACCATAAACCCCCCCAGCTTCGAATCCTAAACCCTAAGTACCCAGGGGAGAACTCTAAACACTGTTGGTGTCCCTGGGTCTGGTAACTGACGAGCTGAAACTGTATATACCAAAAGCCCCGAACTTCGAACAGGAGTCCCTGAGATCCTAGGCCCGAATGCCGAACTCCCTAGAAGCAGAAAGCGCCCAGTGCCACGGCAAAGAGACAATTAAACAACTACCGAATCAAAATGGAAGCTCGACGGCGGCTGAAGCGGCTCAAGAGGGCGATCGCCAAGTTGCCTCCAGAAAATTTGGCGCCTTGCACGGAATTGAAAACCCGGACAGTGGCCAAGGCCAAGGCAAATTCACAGGCAACAGCCTTCGCGCATCCGGCAGCAGAGACTGATATGGTGGAATGATGCTTTTGTGGTCAAGACACGACATTCAGGTCCTTTCACATGTTTTGAAGGTTTAGGTCGGGTTTAGGCCTGTTAATTCCACCGAAAGTTCTCAACACCGGGAAGCATACACAAGTAACCAGTGTCCCCGAAAACCTAAACGCTAGTTCCACAGCCCTTGCCCCCACTGTCTGAGTACATAACCATCTTCTACGCCAGCCTGCCAAACGGGTGCCATATAATTGCTGCACTAAACCCACGTGCCTCTTCTTCCGGTACCTCGTCGTTGGCCCTTACCAGCCGTAAGTTTTTTTCCGGGCTATAGAACCCATATGTAGCCTTACAGTCTAAGGAACCCGTTACAATCTTACCGGGCCTTTGTAATAAGATTTACGGAGAAAGAACATCGGTTTTTGGGATTTTCGGTTTAAGACCAGAACTTAGAAGGATGACTTTTTCGAGTTCAAGATGTCAGGGTTGCACCCAACACCTTAAACCTAAAAAGCCTTAAACTCCTGAGCCCTACAACTCTGTCAGCCCGAACACTCCATGGAGGGCTTGAAAAAGGGCGAGGTACAGGAGCAATGCATCGAGCTGGAGCCCCTTCTTGTGGGAATCTTTTCGCGAATGCACGTCTCTTCCCGCTTGTCGTGCAGAATGGTGCATCTATGGCGAAGACGATAGCTGCCTGTGTGGTTCTGTTGCCTGGCGCATCACCAGTCTAAAAGACATACTGGCAGTTGTTAAAAATACAGTATACGGCTTGGGGACTACTGCTACTGCTACTGCTGATGCATGTCCAAGATAGATAAGAGATTCTGTTCGAACACACGGAAAAATGTAGCATGGAGAATCTGGGATAACGGGTGTCGGCTGAATCGGCAGGCCAAGATTTTCCCCTTCGGCGGTGACTACTTCCTGTGCCTGCCTCGACCAAACGACGTCTTTTCATTCCAAGGGTACATGCAGGAGTGGCATGTCACGTCTGGATCTTGGCATTGAGGTGTTTGTGTTTCGTAGTTTTGTGTTTGGGTTCTGGTGTGGGTCGAGGGCGAGCACAAAGGTTCCACGTATGTCCCGTTACGGTTACATTATATTCCTGGACCCCTCAGTTACAACTTCGGCACACTCTGGTAAGACCTAAGTACAGCCTGCTGTGAGAGTTCAGGTGATCGGAAAATACCATATATAGAGAGAGAGAGAGAGGCTTGACAAATTAGCACTTCTCTTTCTTTGGCTTCCCTACTGTACTGATACTACTTGATTCCCCCAAAACACTGTTCCGATTATTCAAGCTTCCTACATCATGCTTAATTTTCGGCCGGAGGATCTTCTGGCTCAGCATATTCGACACTAGGCCTCAAACCGGAAACCGTCAAACAAGGCTTAAAGCTGAACCCCCAAAGCCTTAACTCCTAAACCCCCAGACCACAAAACCCCTAAATTGCTTGGGTCTAATTGCAACCAATTGAAATTCAACTAGTGGGTTCTGCCTGCGGGCTATCTGGCGTCGAATAGGTTGCTCGGGTTTCAAGCATACTGTCTCTGTTTAGCTCTTTCCTGAGCCTCCAAGGCACCTACTGATTAGCTGCTCGGGTTGAGGATACACGCAATGTAAGTTTCTCAATACCTGAAACCTAAAGCCCTGAAGCCTGTCTTAGTACTCTAGGTTCCTCAATGCGAAACCTTTCGCCCTCTAAAGCCTGTCTTGAGACCTCCTCGAATCGAAACTTGATGCTTGAACCGCTGTCGACGCGGAATCGATTCATGAGAGACTTCATGACAGGTTGTAGTTAATCAAGGTCTCATGAGGCATAAGGGTTTTGAAGGGCTTTGGTGTGTCGAGGCTGTAGGTGCTAGGACTTTGGTATTCTTGGGTTTGGGGTTCAGGACAGAGCGGATCTCATTTTGGACCAGCCACCCATGTTCGTCAACCAGTTCATGATTTAATGGACAGTTTTGGTTTAGCGTCTATTATAGGGGCCCGAATAGTTACCACTACTATTTTCGGGGGTGCTTTATTACACTTATAGTATGATGGACCCCAAAACCCTATTCTAATTGTTAAGGATTGGGTTTGGGTATGGGTTGAGGATTTCATAGCTGAGCTTACATCGGGATTTCTCTTGTTCGCTTGCGTTTGCTTTTGGCATGGTCCTGCTTGTTTGGGCATACGGATTTGGTGGTTTAGGTTCAGGGTTTAAGGTTTCGGTGTGTGGGTGGGTTTGCTTCTTTAGTGAACGCCCGATACAACGGATAGTAGCTTAAGTAAGTGCTGTTCCCCTTCCTGAGACTGACCGTCTTTGGATAGGGATCTTGTGTCGGCTCGTGAAGGGATCCTGCAAGGGTTACCAGAAGAGTTTTGCCCAGGATCTTGAACGGGTCCGAAAGGGAGTTTACCTGCAGGTTGTTGACATTAAGAACTGCACTTACGTTGGCTGGATCTCCGCGTTGCCGGGGCCTATGGTGTAGTGGCTTCGGTTTAGAGTTTAGGGTTAACCGTAAACCCTAAACCCTACACCCTCAGGCGTTTGGGATTCAGGTTAGAGTCTTTTGCTTCAGGACGAAGGCCCGTGGCATGTTCTTAGTCAGGGCCTATGAAGTGCGATGCGACGCGGTTTAAGGTTTAGACTTTAGAGTTTAAGGTTTGGTTTAGGGTTTAAGGTTGAGGGTTTAGGGTTTAAGGTTTAGGGTTTTGGGTTTAAGGTTTAGGGTTCTGGCTTTACCCAAGGCATTTAAGGACTCATGTATTAAGGCTTTCGGGCCCAAAGACCATATGATATGAGGCTTTCGGGCTAATTTTGATGCCCAGGGCAAGGCTGTGTCAAATTGCCTAGGTGCTGGTGCGCCAAAGGAGCGACCTGCTTGGAGGTACACCCGGGTAGTTGTCAAAATTAGGGTCCCCCTTTTGGGGTACTAGAATACGGTCCCCTTAAAAGGGCCTATAAGGGATGGACAAGGGTACTATGTTATAGTTGTCAAAATTATGATCCCTTTTTGGGTCCCTATTATAATACGGCACCTAATATTATTTAGGGTACCCATAAAGGGACCGTCATTTTTGACAACCACCCACCTAGGTTACATGGGAGGTTTCTCAAGATTCAGGCTCAGCCCCTAAGGTCCTATCTGCCGGTTCAGGCCTTGACACTATCCTACAAACCCGAGCGTGATCACAAGCCTATATACTAGCGGGGTCTGAATGTCCGCATGCATTATATACCATATATAGAAATCTGTCTGCGCACCCTGAACCCACACCCTAAACCCTAAATCCTAAACCCCTGAACCCTAGCCCCTGAACCCTAAACCCTATATCGGTATCATAAGGACTTTTCAGCATCGTTCAGCACACAGGATCTCAGGCTTTCGAGCTTGTTGGAGACTTCCGGAAAGCCTCAGCCATGGACTAGAGCTCAAAGCCCAACCGGTTTCGGGCTGAGGGTTCAGGTCTCGTAGGGTTAGCAATGATTCAATGAAGCCCAAGTCCCAACTGAGCTGGTTATGTGGTCACACAGGCGCCTCAAACCTGAACCCCAAATCCAAACCGACGAACTCTCATTAGCAAAAGCAACCTCTATGTTTGTTATGTATATGTACACACACACATTTATGCATATAAAGATATATGTAGTGACGATGGTCGGAGGACTGCTCAAACGCCTGACAGCAGTAATACTCAGACTTGGGATCAACAATGGACTTAATCATAAGAGCAGAAATCGGGGCCGATAGCCACAAGGAGGATGGTCTTTTTGGGGTTAACGTATGTGGACCCTCTTGGCAATTCTAACCCAAACATAGCAGCGAATGGGTGTGTGTACTTCTGACCTTCACCATAACAGCAACAGTCCTGGGACTAAGCCCCCGAACCCTAACCTCTGAACCCTAAATTCTAAACCCTTGCCAGAAATTAAATCCTGACCCTAGACCCTAAACCCTAAACCCTAAACTCCTGAAGCCTAAACCGTAAAGAAACCCTGAACCCCTGATCCCAAATCCTAAAATCTTAAAAAACCATTAAAAAAAAACACAAAAAACATTCATGAGAGGCTTCCGACCACCGGAAGCAGCTTGGCACCCTTCGGGTACCCGGGCCCGCAGGAAATTTCATGCGGGAGCCTGAGACCACCCTAAGTTTTACCTGGACCCTAAGGAACCTACCTTTTTAGGGGATTCCCTAATATGATTTCTTTATATAAGTCCTTAAAAAGGTAGGTTACGTGGGGTTAAGGTAGGGCTCTTTACTTGGGTGCCAGATCTGGGGCTTGGGGCTTAGAGTTTAGGGCTCAGGGTGCTTGGGGGTTAGGGTATAGGGTTCAGGGTTTCTAGATTTTAAAATTCTGGTTTTATGGTTTGGGGTTCAGGGTAGCATAAGTTTGGGGGCCCTTATGCGCCGATGGGTTTCGTCATGTTGAGTAGTTTGCGATTGCGTGCGCTGAGTAGTTTAGGCGTGCGCGTTTATTCTCTGACGGTTTAGGCTTTTGAGGTTTGGTGCTTTGAGGGCTCTACGGTTTGGCTTCTAGGCTTATGTGGCCCAAGGCTCAAGAAGGAGGGGAAAGACTTTTGCAAGCCCCGGTCTCTCGGCCTTCAGCCCTGTCTATAGTCTCAATTGTAGTTCCTTTTTTTGGTTAACCCAATCTCTATTATAGGATCCTAACCATAAAACTGGTTAACCCAAAAAGGAAGTACAATGGAGACTATAGGTAAACCCTGCTTGAAACCCTGAGCTCTGACGGGAAATGAGCCCGAACCGAAGGCCCGAAGACTGCAAAGCTTAAGCCCTGAAGCATAGGACCATGCAATCCCTGTAAGGGTCCGCCCGAAAGGGATCTAGAGATCCTTTAATTTAAAGGGGATCTACGGGGTTCTACATTAGGGTTCTCTTTAGGGTATAGGGTTTAGGCTTCAGAAGCCCGAAATCCCCCCATGACCCCGAGCCTCTTCCAGCTTGCAGCATGGAAGGCGTGCTTGCGGCACCTTCGAGGCCCATTGTTGGTTAGACAACTCAAGGTGTTCAGGCTTTGGGCCTTCACCCAAAGGGTCCAAGTATCATTATGGTATATACTTAGACCCCCATAATACCCTATAAGTATTTACCATAACGATACGTGGACCCTTTGGGTCAGGGTTTAGCAGAGTGTTGGTTGGGTTCGATTGATAAGGGCTCTGATAAGATTCCTATATTCAGGGCTGTATTCAGGCGTGGAGAGGGCCTTATAATTGTTTGAAGATTTTCGTAGCTACTTGGTTGGGCTTTGGGGCGTTGGGGTAGGGTTTGGGCTTTAGGGTTTAGGATGGTTTAGGGCTTTCAGGTTGCACGGGCTTTGGGTTTAGGGGCTCCGTCAGCGCCATGTAGACTCCTGCTGAAGCAGGTTCCTTCATCCCGGAGCCTTAATGCCGTTCGGATGCCTCATATGAGCAAGGGCCAGCAGATGTGTGTGTTTTGCGGGGTTTAGCCTCAAACTTTCCCTGATCCTCCACTGAGTACCAAAAGCTCACCCCACTTTCTTGAGCCTCTGCGCCATGAAGTCCACGAACGCCTGAGAAAGTGAAGCATAAAGATCCAACAACATGTGGGTAGTTGTTCAATTTCAGGTCCCTATGTGGGTACCCTAAACAATACTTGCCGTATTATAATAGCGACCCAAAAGGGGACCATAATTTTGACAACCACCCATGTGCATTTTGGTGTTGGCTTATGGAGATGTAGGTTCTTCCTTGGGGGAGTAGATAGATGACTATTAAGTGCCTGGGACTCTCAAGCCCTAAATCCGAAACCCTAAAACTAAAAGCCTGAACCCTAAACCATAAATCCTAAATCCGGAAGCCTGTCACCCTAAATTCCATCTAAAATCCCAAACCCTAAAATCCTAAATCCTAATTTTTTAGCCCTAAAGCCCTAAGCCCCAAAACCCTAAAGTCCCGTGATGCAAAGCCAGGCATGTACATGGTCCACGCCTCGGCAGAGCTTCTAGGTGTGTCCTTTTCGTGCTTACGCCCTGTACTTGGGCATACTTTATACTTATAAGACTTATAATCATTGTGACTCGGTTGTTTATAATAGTTATAGTTATAATTCATGTGGCTTTGATGTTTTGCATGTTGCTGGGCTCTCCCATAATTACTATTCTCGGATTCAAGTCTGGGTGTTTTTCTTGCATTGGTTACGGTGGGTTATTTGCTTCGGTTTATCTGTCTGGTGCTTGGTAGGGAATGGGGGAATGGACCCGCATAGTAGTCCCTATATAGTCCTCAATAGTACTCCCATAATCCATTACCCCATTCTCTACTAAGCACCAGGGAGTTTTGTTATGTTACTGGATTTGAAGTGTCTGGGTTTAGAAGCTTTCATCCGGTGCTGGGTCGAGGTTCAAGGTAATATAGGCTATATGGGGGGGCATTAAAAATTGCCTACAGTGTTTTTGGGGGTTCCTTATTACAGTAATATAGTATGATGGGCCACGAAAACCTATTATTAAGGCCCCTCTAGTACCTGGACGGTTTATGTTTGGGGCTTCGGGGCGGGTTAGGAGAGACATGGTTTGATGTCCGAGCCCTGTGCCCCATCCTCACAACCCCACATCCTGAGCCCCGTATCCCGTAGCCGTACCCTATACCTTACCCCAAGGGTCCAAAGGACCCAGTAATTAGGTACTCGGTTTTAGGATAGTAGTTGTGTAGGTTAGGATTTTGGAGAGTATATGATAATCAGGTACTTGGACCCTAAGGGTTAAACCTTGAAACCTCAAACCCCTAATTGAACCCAAATCCGAATTCCCCAAACCCTCCCCCCTAACATCCCGAACTCTACACCACAAACCTTAGAATCTAAAGACCCGAAATCCTCAACATAAGCTCTTTCAAATCATAGCCCAAGATGAAACTCCTAAGCTTAAACACCCTAAACCCGAAAACCCTCGGCTCAAAAGCCCTAAAACCCAAACCCTAAAACCTTAAACTCCCAAGCCCATCAAGCCCTAAACCCCTGAACCCTAAACCCCTAAACCCCCAAGCCCCTAAACCCCTAAACCCTAAACCCCTAAACCCCAAAGCCCCTGAACCCCCAAACCCCTAAACCCCTAAACCACTAAGCCCCTACCCCAAAGCGGCGCCCAAGGACCGGCTTCACCGGCACCGATCTAAATGACGGCGACCGCTCCACCGGCTTCTTGCATTTGGGGCTTTTGGGTACTTTGGGGGTTGGTTTTAAGGGTTCCTTTAAAGGGATCTACAAGGGATCTGTAGGGGGTTTAGGGCTTAGGTGTTTAGGGCTTTAGGGTTTAGGGTTTTAAGATGTATACCAAGGCTTGGGGTTCTAGGGCTTCGGGTTTAGGGTTTAGGGTTGCCAGGTTTAGGGTTTTCAGGGCTTTGAGGTTCTTGGGCTTTAAGGGTGCAAGGTTGAGCCCTATAAGCCCTACACCCTAAACCCTGAAGGTTTCACGGTTTCGGGTTTAGTTTAGAGTATATAGGTCTTGAAGGGAAATTTCGTCAGAAGGGTCCTTCAGGAGTCAGAGGATATTGGCACCGTAGGGCAGGGGTTACACAACATATTGCTTCAAAGGCTATCTTTATGCCGGGTTTGCAGACGATCGGCATGCTTGGATATATTGTTACATGCTGATGCAGGAACTGCCGACGTTCTGCGGCTTTACATGCATTACAGTTTAGTTGTGGTTCGATGTGATGGTACTTAATATCTTTCGGTATGTGACAGCACGGGGTCTTTTGCCTTCTAGCAGCTGAGGGTTTGGGGTTCCGAACCTGCGCAGGGTTGTGCAGCACTGGCTAGATTATCCAGGAACTGGCCTCTGATGGCAGCATGGAGTTGAAGCTAGTCCCTAAACCCAAATGCCTCAACTTGAGGCTTTTGCTTTAGAGTCGAGGAATAGCTTCTTCTCTTCCGGTTTTGGGGGGTCTAGTTGGGACATTTAAGGGTTTAGGCTTTGAGGGTTTGGTTTGGACATGGGGTCTTGGAATTGCGTTTGGACACTTTTGGGCTGTGGGGTTAACTACCAGTGCTTGACATGCTGTACTCCGACTCGTTTTGGGTACCTACAACCCAACCATTTTGGTACTTGCACCCCTCAGGTCACTAGGACCCAGAGTAGGCCCTTATTCCCTTTTTCAGGGTTTAGGTTCCCTTATAACCCCCTTTAAACCAAAAAGGGCACCCTTTTCATTCCTAGGTCACTCTTAGGTCAGGTCAAGATACCAGTAGTGCAGGCAGCTTAGGCTCAGATTGTAGTCCGGTGACGTAGCAAGAGCCTCCAGAATCATTACTCGGACTTTCCATGTACCAAGTTCACACCTAAACCCTAAACCCTAAGCCCTCAACCCTAACCTAAACCTTCAGCCTAAATCCTAAATCCTTTAAGGGGCTCCTGGCGGTGTTTGGTGTGATGAGCTTCCCCTGCCGTCATGTAGAAGCCATTTATTGCCAAATTTAGTCCTCAGGGCTCCTCCCTGTAATTATGCTGAAACCCTATCTTCAAAGGGGAAAAGGAGGGACCCTTAATGGGGACCCCTACCCTATAGTGGGCTATATAATGGGTATATAGTGGCTATATTAGGAGTATATACCTAGGGGTCCTTATTAAGAGTCCCTCCTTTTACCCTCGGATATTTAAGTTATTGAAGGCCCTAGATCACGCTTCCACCCGAAAGCAGCCAGGGATCATGCTGCTGAGAACCTGCGGCGAGGGCCCAGCCATACCAGGTGGCCTGCTTGACAGTCACTCCCTAAGGGTCCATGTACCCATATAGAGATACATGAGCCCCAAAGTACATTTATAGGGACTACATTAAGGCCAATGTATATACTACATGAGTACATGGACCCTTAGGGATTTTTGGGTGGTAAGGTTTGAGAGTGAGGATTTGGGGTTGGGCGGTCTCGGGTTTAGCTTAAACCTAAAGCCCTACCTGTAGTCTCCATTGTAGTTCTTGTTTTGGGTTACCTTATAGGATCCTTAATATATAATTGGTTAAACCAAAAAAGGAACTACAATGGAGATTCTAGGTAAACCCGAATAGAGTTTAGCGAAGGGGCCTCGGGTTTAGCCTACACCCCACCGCAATGGCGCCAAACCACCTTGTATCCCATACCCCTAAACCGTAAATCACGAAACAACCCCCCGGAATCCGTAAATCCTACGTGCTGACACTTAGAATTCATAACGGTATTGGTAAGTAGTACCTGAGCCCCACAAGCCCCTAAACCCTCCTTCGGCTGGTCAAGAGTTCAAGGCTCAAGGTTTACGCACAGTTTCAATCTGTCGCTGCAGGCTTCCCAAATGCCGGCATCGCTGTGGCAAGTGGAGGTTCCCGAAAAAGTCGTCGGTTTAGTTTGCAGGGATATCTGTTTGAGTTTAAGCTCCAGGACTCAGGGTGTACGGTATTTCGGGGGATCTTATCGAGCTGCGTTGGCTTGTTGCGATAGACAGTGATAGAGGTATCACTGCACAATCAGACGGACCCCTTGCGAACTAGTTGTGGGCATCGGGCTTTCCTAGGTCGATGCCTCGATCGCTGAAGGCAGCTGCAGATTGAATCTTCGAGCCCTCTACAGCACAAAAACCCTCCACCCCAAATGCCCTACAACTCCAACACCCAAGACCCTAAGCCCTGAAACGCAGAAGTCTTGCACCGGCTCTTCATGTTTGAACATATGATAGCTCAAGATTCCAAACGCTCAAGTTTTGGGCCAGAGTCCCACTTCCGAATCCCGAGAACCTAGGTTGCTACATGTTCCCTGGATTCAGAGATGTGGTGTACCGAGTCGGTCCAGGTATGCTACCATTCTGGATTTAGGGGCTCGCGAAGCCACTGGGGATGGTGTTTTGGGCTTGGCACAGTGTCTCCGGTAGTGCGACATGAACTCTAGCTCATGATCAGGTCTTCAGGGGCCCAGGTGCTGGAAATCCCGGGCAACCCGATGCCGTAAGCATTCATTTGGGGTTTAGTTGTTGTTGTCGTCCCTGTAACGACCTTGGGTTAGGGTTGTGGCAGCTGTAGGCAATTAAGTAAATCTTCAGGTCGTGTACATATTTCTTCAGGACTTGGACTCCCAGTGTAAGCCGAGACCCAAAGATGCAAACCACAGGTGGCGCAGACTATGCCTTTGGTACTACCGACAACATCGTCCGGGCGGGTGGTGCAGAGTACGCCCACACCTGAGGGTATCCGAGCTTTACTACGCGATTGTGGCATGCCTAGACTGCGTAGACTAGACATGCTTGATCTGCAGGCCCTTAAGCCCTGAGTAAAGTCATTCAAGCGCAGATCATGAAGCTCCTAAGCCAGGATGGACAGTTTTGGTTTTGTAGGGTTTTGATTGGAGTTTGAAGGGCTTGGCCGGATAGGAACCACTTACGCTGAGCACGAAAGGCTGTCCAACAGAGTCCACTGCCAAGCCCTAGTTTATGAATGTTGGAAGGTTCTATACTGGATGGAAGGCGGGTTCGGAGGGTGATTCTGTAAGCCCGAGCCTCAGATTCCAATACGTCCAGAAACCGACCACTCTAGGTCCAAGTGCCCAACGATCATGCGGCTGGCATTATGGTTTACGGATACTATAATGACTGTAGCCTTCAAGGGAGCATTGATACGACATTCAAGAAAAACCCCAAACCCCTAAACTCCTCAACCCTGCTAAACACGGGCTTTAACAAACGAAGAGACTAACTGTCCGAAGCCCCCGCCCTGTAGACCCCAAACCCTTAACCCAAGCCCTGAACCCTAAACGCTGAACCCTGTATCCAGAACCCTGAACCCCCAGACCCTGAACTCTGAACCTTCAACCCTGAACCTAGACCCTAAAATAATGCGGAACCCGAAAATCCTGAAACCCTAAACCCCAAATCGTTTCCTAAACCCTGAACCCTACACCTAAACCTGTAAACCCTGAACCCTGTTAGCTTCGAAATCCTGAGAACCTGAGACCCTGAACCTCTTTAGATCCATTGTAGATCCCTTTGAAGGAACCATTAGGGTTCCTTTAAAGGAACCCTTATCAACCCTACGCCCTAAACCCCAAGTGCTATCCTAAGCGCGGACACTTTTGAGGCCATGTGCTGGTGCCAACCAGATTCCGAGCACGTCAGAGCTCTCAGAAGTACCTTAAGCCGGAATAACCTACCTTTTAGGGTTCCGTATTCTGATTTCCTTATATAAGTTCTCAAAAAGGTAGGTTATTCCGGCTCAAGGTATGGAAACAAGGACAAGTTTTTTTTCAGGAATTAGGGTTGAGGAGTTCGAAACGCGAGGGTTCAGGGTTTAGGGGTTTAGGCTTCAGGGCCCAGGGAAACAAGCAGTTCAAGAATTTGGCCTTTGGTCTAGGGGTTTGGCAAATTTAGAGTGTTTTAGGTGTAGCTTAACCCCACGTAACCTACCTTTTTAAGGACTTATATAAAGAAATCATATTAGGGAACCTTGAAAAGGTAGGTTCCTTAGGGTCCAGGTAAGGTTTAGGGTTGAGGGTTCCCAGGGGTTTGGAGTAGGGATGGCCCGGGTTTGCTGGATTTTACAAGGGTCAAAGGAGGGACCCGATAACAAGGACCCCTAGGCATACACCCTTAATATATATATATATATATATATATATATATATATATATATATATATATATTAATATTTTGTACCCATTATATAGCCTATTATAGGGTAGGGGTCCCCATTAAGGGTCCCTCCTTTTCCCCTTTGAGATTTATTGGGTCAGGTCTCAGAGTAGGGCCTTGGACCTTTTCTGGTTTCAGGGTTCAGGGTTCAGGGTTTAGGGTTTAGGGTTTGGGGTTGGGATAGGTTCATGGTGTTGGGGCTAAGGGTGTAGGGTTGTGGGCCCTAAACCCGAAACCCCTCAACTTGTAATTCTACACCCTCAATCCCTTGTGGGGTTTTGTGTCGACGTGGTCTAGTGACTTGGTGCGGCTGATTGAGTGAAGGCCGTAGGCTTTAGGATAGAGGCCTAGTTTCAGTACACGGTTCACATCGACTTCTCAGCCGCAGGATGGTTGATGTACCCCCTTCCAGGCAAGGTAACCCCATTTTCTGAGACTCCAATATTGTGGTAAGATGCTTTTACACGGGAAATTTGGTTTGTAAAGTCCGATGTTGCGCAGAGTTCCTATAACACTTGGACATCAAGGTTCTGCTTCCGACGTTCAGGTGATCTTGTGGACATTGTCCAAGGTGTTTGCCTTAGTTTGCGTGCACGGGTTTGAAGACAAGCTGTGCCTATGGCATACTTTATACTGTATATACTTACCTCAATTGTTTTAAGAGGATCTTATTTACGAAGATGTTCAGAGGCTTCAAACTGGAAAAAGTTCTGTGATTTGTGGGCTTTTGTGCCGGGAGGCCTAGTCTGCCTTCTTTGGGCTGGCAGGCTCATGAGTTGAAAGGTATTGAAGGCGCCAGGTATGGGGTGCCATAGTGGGTGCCATAGTCATCTGATGCATTGATGATGGTACAGAGATGGGATGATGAGGATGACGATGATGATGGTGGAGGTGCTGGTGTCGATGGCGATGATTGGGCGAAGCAAAGTCATCACCCAGCTCTCCCCAAAGTCCTGGACGCACTTCAGAAGTCCTGCGCCGCCAGGCTTGAAGTTCAAGGGCCCCCCCTCGCCTGGCCAGCCGAACTACGACGACAGAGCGGCCATCTGACGCCACCACACGAGCAACAGCAACGAGGATGCTATGGATGGTCACCAGCTTCTCCACTGTGGAGACGGCCGAGCTCCCAAAGCCGAACTCAGGCTCGTGGGAAGTGCAAGAGCCCAACAGCCTGAGCGCTCTCGTTGTGAACACGGCCTGGACCCCAAAAGTATGTAGAATAATGGCCTTTTATAGGCTTTGGGCCATTATTTTAGCTACTTTTGAGGGTCTAGTCAATAGGATGGTGAGCCTGGATGTCTGTCGTTTTTCCCGAAACCTCAATCGGAAGCGCCCAACTTTGCACACCCTGGATGCACTGGCGATAAGTAACTGCTTTGATTGTGTTATCAACCGCGATGGTGAGATCAACATTCGTTCTAAGCAGAGCATGCTCAACGAGCAATCGTGCCACCCGCATAAAGCGGCCGGGGCATTGCGATGTCCTGTATGCACCCGCTAGACCAGGGACTTCTTGGGCTGTGGTGGAGGAAGGAGGTGACTATGTTGAGAAACAGAAGGGTGATGACTCTGACGACCATTTTGACCGTGATTATGTCTTGATGGTGGCGGCGGCGGTGGTGGTGCTGGTGCTGGGCGTGGTGCTGGGCGCGGTGACGGCGGCAGTGGTGGCGTCATGTGCGTATGTATACATAAACACAAACGACATGTTGGTAATGTGTATATATATATATATGTATGTGTATATATATATATGTATATACGCACATGGGTTCATCTATATAAACATATACATATACATATGTACACACATACATATCAACATAACAGTCCACATCACGTCCATGCACTTAGAAGCGATGGCAACTAGTAGCTGCAATCACTACCCTGATCGTCACCTTCGCCGCTACGTTCACTGTCATCATGCTCGCAATCATCGACATAGCAAGCCTGAAACCGAATCCTCAGCCCCACACCGAAAATTTGGACTCTACTTTGGTGAGCTGTACAATGACTCCGTGATGCTGAAAAGAAGCACCTAGCCTCAACCCTCAACCTTCACCCCCCCCAAACCTGGCCCGAACCCCAAAGTTCTGACCTTGAATTAGATTCAACCGTAAGGCATCATGTAGTGGCCTAAACAATTACCAATGCCATTTTGGAGGGTTCCTTGTTCGAACTGTAGTATAATGGGCCGCAGAACCCCATTCTAATTATTAAGGCTTGTAAACTATACCCTTATAGACACCCTACTAATAGACCCCTTTAAAAGCAACCTTAAACCCTAACCTAAACCCAAAGCCCTATTCTGATTATTAAGGCCCCTCCATATATGGGAGTTTCCGAAAATAGGGGACCCTAAGAAAGTAGCCTACGTATTAGGATCCTTATTATAAGGACCCTAAAATAAGGTACCCCGAATTTTCGGAAACTCCCATATCACAGAGGTCTGTTCTGGCCCGGCCAACTTTTTGAGCCATGCCGGCCTCCTGTTGCTCGGCTTTGAACCAAGTGTGGATCCAGAGGGCGATGTCATTTTAGGGGGTCCGGGTTTACGGGTGCAGGGTTCAGGGTTAAGGCCAAGGCACAAGTATGTATGTATGTATGTATGTATGTATGTATGTATGTATGTATGTATGTATGTGTATATATACATATGTATCTACATGGACGCGGGGCTTGAGCTTATAGAGTTCGGGCCGAGGGCTTCTGCTTCCAATGATCGGAGCAATGCCGTCTAGGGCTGGGCTCATGGGATGGAGGGTTGGGGATGCTGCAATTCAGGGTCTACCGGAGCTCTGCCAACGTGGCCCATGGCTACACCGAGGCCATAATTTCAAGCAGGAGGTTTGCCCCTTCAACACCAAAACACTAGACGCGAAGCCCCAAACCCTGATATAACAGTATAAACTAAACCGCAAGCTTGCCAAAATGGGCCTCTACGAAAGGGCATAACAGCAACTATATAAGCCTTAAACCCTACCAAGCCCTAGACCGCAAACCCAAAGCCCTAAGCCCCCAAGCTCCAAACCCAAAGCCCTAAGCCTCAAGCCCAAACCCCCAGCCCTAAAGTGATTCATGACGGAGTATACGTGCCTTAAATTATAGCAGGACCCCCGTTATGATTTAAGGAATATGCCTTCATGAAGGGACGTTGGAGTCTCTGGGTTTCCTGAGCCCTAAACCCTATGAGTAGATCCCTTAAAGGAGCCGTTACTATAAGGGATATTGGAGTCTCTGGGTTTGGCTCAGCCGACCTCCGAGGATCATCTCCGGCGCGGCCAATGACCATGATATTGCCTGCGTGCAGGGCTATCCCTGCAAGGCCCACTTCCAAGCACTTTAGGGGGATATCCCTACCTTGTTGGGCTTCATTATAAGGGGGTTTATATGGGATATCCCTATCCTGATTTTTGCTTATGTGCTTTTTTTGGGCCCACTTCCTGGCTCCATCTATCCCTCGAAGCCCAGATACCCATGTAGTGGGCTATATATCATAGGTTCCCATTGCCATGCCACTTCAAGGGCCGTGGCAGTTCAGAACAGCGTTCCACTTCAGGGTTTCAATCTGGGGTATATAGTGTATACATAAGTGCTAGGCATGATACGATAGATGCATTGTCCATTATACAAATATGTTGTGGTGGGGCTATTGCAGAAAACTACTGGTCATTCGTGTCAATAAGTCCACCAGCCTCGCATAAAGGAGTGGAGGTTTCTTTATAAGGAATGCAAATAGTAGCTGACTAGCATTTCCCCCATGGTCCTAATCAGGCTCCTCTAGAGACTTCAGTCATTAGCTTGAACTCACCATTACTATCAGAAGCCCTGTTCGTCAATACAAAAGTAGAGCCGGAAGATGTCGAAATATCCCAAATCCCAAACTAAGAGCCATGCCTGAAACCCTAAATTAAGTGCATAAGCCTTGGCAAAGGCCTACATCGGAAGCCCGGGGAACTCTCCGTCGCCGGACCCGTGGAGTGGGCTCTTCTTTCTGTTTAGAGAGAAACATGTGTAAGAAACAGTTCAAGGGCAGTCAGCACGTGCAATAAATCCCGTTCACTTAAAGGCAGCTGTATATGTCTTAATACAACAGTAGCAAATGCAACAGAAGTCCACAACATGTTTGTGGAGATGGCTGGCGAGCTGGAAGCTTCCTGGTTAGAACTGTTGAGATGTGAGCTTGCGGGATTGATTCACAAGTGTTGTGAATCTAAGGCTGTGGATGCTTTTCACAACTTGCTGGAGACTCTGATGGCTTCTCCATGTCCCGAATTGGCACAGGACCCCGGTGCAGCAGCCTATGTACTTGGTGTGATTGTTTCCAGTGCAGGAAGTCTTCATCCGAATGGGCACAGCGAGCACTACCGATCTTTCGTGCCTTGCTTGCTGTTATGGCATGCACCATCATCGTAAGTGCATACGCAAGGACATCGGTTGTTGTGTATTCTCTCTGAGGACATGTGTGGTGGTTGATGATAGATAATTCGCAGCTGCCGTGCACTACCTGATGCTCGCATGAACCTCTTGGTGGTCGTGGAAAGAGATCGGTCGCTTCGCTTGCAAGTGCAGTTGTTGTGAATTCTTACCGGGTCTTTAAGTGAAGCCTTTGCTTTCACGGGTGAGTGCTGGACGCCATATGCTTGCAGCTGTTTCGTGTTCTGACTTGCTGGTGGGACCACTCTCGAGAGTGGTCATGCCTTCGGCCGGCGGGGGCCGCCTTGTCAGGACCATCGTGTGCTGTGTGTGGAGAGGTCGGAGATTCCGAAAAGGCGGGTAGGCCCGCTTGTTGGCGGCAATCCGCCGGGCGGCTTGACCGCTTCACATTACTTGAAATCAAAGTGGCGGACTAGCCGGCCACATCCTGTAGATCCCGTTTGAATGGGGCGGACTAGAGCCGCCGGATTATCCCACTAGGTTGCGAGGCGGGATAGACCGCCAGGCGGAATAACCGCCAAATAAGCCCGCAGATCTCTCCGTGACTTCAAGCCCCCAGCCCCCAAGATTGCACCCACCCCGCCAAAATATTCCTCGCAGAATACCCCCGTATAGCAGGTGACACACTCCCAGCCGAGCATTTTGACATTCGAACTTCTTATGCCGCTTCATTCCACTTTGGTCCATGTTCGATTCGGAGCAACATCTGTGTGTGCAGGACAAACACAGCAAGGTCTGTGGACTCCCAGCAAGATGAGGAGAAGGCCGAGGCGGCTCAGTTCGTCATGAAGACAGCCATGAACTCCTTGGGCTCAGTCGTGATGGGAGGACCGAGCATTTTCACATTCTTGCTTCAAGATAGCGATGCATTTGTGAATTTCCGGACTTCCTTCTCCGGAGGAGCCACTGACTCTGCGAAGGCCAAGAAGAAGAAGGAGGGGAAAAAGAAGAAAAGCAGCTCACTGAACATTATTGTGTGCTCTGTTGGGTCTCACACAGACACTTTCTCACGCCGAATTGTTTTGTCCATCAGGAAATGAGCCCTCCACCTCGGAGGAAGACCTCTCGGATGATGACATGGAAGTGGACAAGGGCTTGATTCTGCAGGTTCCGCAGAAGGAGTTTACGAGAAAGGCCAACCAGAGGACGATGGACGACCTCGGCAACCGCCAGTTGGCCTACGTGCTCGCAGGCCTCAGCACCTGTATGCCCAGCGACTTGGTCGAAGTGGGCGGCTCCTGTGTGGCTCGGCTGCAGATACAGATTTATTGCAAGTGCTATTGTACGAGTTGCAAAGTTCATCCAACCCCGCTGGGACGGCATTGTCCGCACTTCATCAGGAATCCATATTGCTCGAGAGTGCTTCCCGCTACAAGAAGCAGAAGGACAAGGCAGGCGAGACACAAGCACTACAGAAGGCCGGCTTCGCATGATGAATTCCATTCGCAAGTGTTGTTGTGTTGATGGCGATTTGTACTTCAGGCAAAGCTCGCTGGGCGAGTCTGGAGGAGCCGGCTTGGAAAGCTTCTCGAGCTCTGCGACTTAGTCTGCACCAGTTGAATCAGTCGTGGCATTGGTGCATGTCAACCATGACAGCTCAGAATTCCTTGCGACACTGCAGTTGTTGGCCGAAAGCTCGTGGATGCCGGGATCACCGGGTCCAAGAACTTGGATGAGATGCATGAGCTTTGCAAGTCCTTGCTGATCAAGCAGAAGAGGCAGCAGGGTTTGTGCCATGTCTGTGTCCCGCTTCGCTGGGTGTGTGTGTGTGTGTGTGTGTGTGTCTCTCTCTCTCTCTCTCTCCCTCTTTAATTCTCCCTCGCTCCCTCCCTCCCCTCCCTCCTTCGCTCGCTCTCTCTCTCTCTCTCTTTCTCTTTCGCTTTGTCTCTCTCTCTCTCTCGCTCTCTCTCTCTCTCTCTCTCTCTCTCTCGCTCTCTCTCCCTCTCTCTTTATCTCTCTCGCTCTCTCTCTCTCTCGCTCTTTCTCTCTCTCGCTTTCTCTCTCTCTCTCTCTTTCTCTCTCTCTCTCTCTCTCTCTCTCTCTCTCTCTCTCTCTTTGTCTCTCTCACTCTCGCTCTCGCTCGGTCTAGCTCTGGCTCTTGCTCTGGCTGTCACTCTCAGTCTCACTCTCGCTCGCTCTCTCCCTCGCTCTCTCTCTCTGCCACTCTCTCTCTCTCTCTCTCTCTCTCTCTCTCTCTCTCTCTCTCTCTCTCTCTCTCTCTCTCTCTCTCTCTCTCTCTCTCTCTCTCTCTGTCTCGGTCTCTCTCTCTCTCTCTCTTTCGCTCGCTCTCTCTCGTGTCTGCACTGCATGTGTGTGCATGCGAGCATGAACATGCAAAAAAATCAAGAGGACAAGAAACAGCGAAACAAAAAACCACGAGCAGAGGAGCACGCCGAGCACACGAACACGCAGACAGACAGACAAACACAAAGACAAACACCACACAAACACTCTCACACACACACAGCTACACACAGACACCTGCAGACGAAAAAGCCCTAGTGGCAGGTAGGATGTATCGTGACAAACCAAAGGTGCTATCTTGCATGGAGGTGTTATCTGGTTTTCGCCGGCTAACACCTAAACTAGAAGCCATCTGCAAAGGGAGGGGAAGCGAGAAACAAAAAGAAAGATAAAGACTGGAGAGATATAGACGGAGGGCGGGGGAGAGACAGAGAGGGAGAGGGAGGCAGTGCGAAGGCGAAACACGGAGTGGGAGGGACGGAGCTAGAAGACTGTGGTGATTACCACTTGCATGTTTGCATGTGTGCATCTATACGTGTAGGTAGGTAAGGTAAGTATGTGGGCGAGTGTGTAAGCAGGTAGGTACATCGACATGCAGTTATGTATGCATGTATGTATGTATGTATGTATGAATTCTTGGATGTGTGCACGTGTGTCTTCAGGTCGGTCTGCACATGTATGTATGTATGTATGTATGTATGTATGCATGTGTGTGTGCATATGTATATCTGCATGCATGTATGTATGTATGTACATATGTCTGTACATATGTAGATCTGTACGTATGCATGCATGCAAGCATGCTTGCATGCCCGATTGTATGTGTGTGTAACTATGTATGCATGTAAGTAGGTAGGTAGGTAGGTAGGTAGGTAGGTCTGTGTGTCTTTTGTAGGTGTGTCGGTAGGTGGGAAAGTAGCTACGTGTACATGTATGTAGGTATGTACTTATGTCGGGATGTGCTTTTCTACGTTTTCCGTATGCATGTGTGTATTTTTGCATGCATGTATCTATGTAAGTAACTATGCATGTATGTATACATAGTTATGTATATGTCTATGTATATATATATATATATATATATATATATATATAGGTTGTGCTTGCTTCCTTGGATGTTTGTGTGTCCGTTTGTATGTGGTATGTGTGTGGCTTTACTGGCTTCTGCATTTATATGTCGTGCACTATGTAGGTAGGTAATGCACATATGTTTTGCTGTGGTTGTTGAGTCTGTTGATCTTCGTTGTGTCAGGAAAGGAGGGGCAAAGAGCAGCGACCTGAAAACCGAGTACGACAACATGTTGTCTACCTTCCGAAAGGACCGACTCGTGCTTTCTTGGCTTGGGGAAGCTGGTTGGCTTCTGTCTGTGAAGCAGGTTGCGACTGTGCATTGTAGCGACCGACGGCCCGCATCTCTCTCTCTCTCTCCTTCTCTCTCTTTGGTCTGTGGTGCCTGTTCGCTCTGAGACAGTACAGTACAAGATTGAGTTGAAGTCCGGCAGACCGGAGATTTCGATAGTTCAGATTGAAGGATTCGTCAGCTCATTGATGGGATCACCGTGCCCGCAGGCTTTTCTTTATCAAGAGGCTGCTGGCAGTGAGGGCAGCCATGCAACAGCCCTTTGGGGCCGAGTTCGCTTATGCCCTTGGGACGGTAATCGCCCCATACTGCGAGGCGATGGTGCAGCAAAGGTCCACTGCTGCAATGGCTTCGTTCGTGCAGAACCTGAGGCCGGAGGAGGTGACGCAGGGCACGGACGATCGCCGCCAGCAGCAGCAAATGCTGTACGAGCACGCAGATCAGCTGATGCAGCAACACATGCAGGCTACAGGGGCGATGCCGGTGCAGGCAAGCGAGAAGCAGAAGCAGGGCATGGGCGAGGGATCCAAGCCGCAGGATGGGCCCAAGGCGACGAATCCTACGCCTCCGGCCGATGCGAGCCCATCGCAGCAAGAGCAGCCGAAGATCACGGTGGATCCACCTCCTTCGAAGGGCCATGCAAGAAAGGTGGCCAGGTACAGGACGGAGGGCGGCACCTTGGAGGTCTTCCTCCGCTTTGTGCCGAAAGGCTGTGAAGCAGTCGAGCCGGCCGTGATTGAAGGGCAGGGCTCTGATGCCCCAGTGCCGGGCAGTGCTCAGGCCTCAAGCTTTGTGCCACCGCCTGCGAGTACGACTACGAATGCACCGCCCCCGCCACCTCCGCCGCCCGACAGCCCGCCGCACATGGAGTCCAGACCGAAGGTTCCGTCGCCAGCAGCACCGCCCAAAGCTCGGCCGCAGCAGTCCACGCCGGGCGAGATCGTCGTGCTGCCGAAGCTTGTCAGTGTTAAGTTCATACTGTGGTAAGAATCAGATTCAATCCGACCTGTTCTCGGTGTCGTTCCCATACAACAGAAAGAGGATGAAAGCAGCCTTTCTATCTGGCGACAAGCGATGTGTTTGCAGTCGTGACAAACTGAACTCAATTATGATTCTTGTTGAGGTGAAAATATTTTCACGAATGTAACTAGTTAGTAATTAGTAAGCCCGATACAAGATGATGCTGATTCGAACATCTTGTTCATATCCACATGAACCATAACCCCCTCAGCTCCAACTGACGTGCACATACACAACCATATGGAGCTCTCAAGTCTATCAGGCTTGCCTATGTTTCGTTTTTGTAGCTCCACTTGTCGTCGTAGTTGCAGGTTGCCATCACCAACAAGGTTTGTTGGCCCGAGCATGACCGTCCATGACTGTTTGTGTTGAATGACCAGCCAGCTGTGCTGTTCAAACACGATTCCTAGCTGAGCTGTGCACACAGGATGCATTTTCTCAAGTTACATAGTTCCCCAGTCGCACATACACATAGTATGTATATATATATATATATATATATATATGTGTGTGTGTGCATATATGCACGTGTATGATTGAAAGTAGGAGTCTAAAGACTATTCCAACGAATTAACCCTGTAAGCAACAGCAACACAACAATACCCCAGTTGAACAAACATGTATATACACACTCAGTAAATACATGCATACCTACATACATACTTATATAAAACACATACATATAAATATGTGTGTATATATATATATATATATATATATATATGTCCAGATGTATGCATGCATGTATGTAAGTAGGTATGTGTGGGGACTTGTGCATGTATGTATGTACGCATGTACATCTATAAATCTTTTCGATACACACAAACACATATACATATACATATACATGTACATTTACATATACTTATATATATACATATATACACACATATATATATGTATGTCTCTGTGTGTCTCTGTTAGACATACATGTATTTTTTCATCAGGTCTGTGTATGTAAGTACAAGTATATGCATACATATAGTTACATGGAAACATATTCGTTGTAAACCTCTCTTGGTGTTTCTTTGGCAACTGAGGGGCGAGAGCAAGCGACAAGCAGAGCAGCGGCACTTCGGCAGCGACCGCAAGCGATCCCGTGGCGGCCAGTATCGGCATCAGTGGTGAGCTGTTGTCGCCAGCGGATTCTGCTGTACAGAAAGCAGAAAGAAGCTGCCTCAAATTTTGATGTTCACCCTTGGCTAAGCTTGGGACCCCTGGGCCTTGGATACAAAGGAGAGCCGATCTTTGTTGGCATAGGTAGCAGCCTTCTCTTGTGGTTTTGCTGAGTGCTTGAAACTGATCTGCTCCAGGACGCCGAGGAGGATATGAAGAAGATGGCAGCCAGGACCCCCGCCAAGGAAGGTGAGGGCAAGGAAGAGAAGCCGGAAACCCCGGCATCGAAAAAACGCCGTGTTCGGAGACGCCTCTTCGAGACCCCCAAGAAGGAGTCTCCGGCCGCAAAGAGTGAAGTCTCGAACGGGGATGACTCGGGCGAGGATGGTGATCTGTTTGCAGGCAGGTTTCGCCTCAAAGCCAGCAGCAGCTTGCCAGCGAAGCGAGAGGCCCTGAATCGTGTGCCGTCCCGGTCCAAGAACAAGAGACGCCGGGCAGGGAGCAGTCCTGGACCCAACACCGGCTCCAAGGCCTCCGAAGCTACCAAGCATGAGGATTTTGAGCCTGAGGATGGCCCTGCTTTGGATGTCAAAGAGGAGGCTGAGCAGGCGAAGAAGCCTGCACCAGCCCCGCCGCCCCCCTTGCAGCCTGCCAGCGAGGTGGACTCCGAGGTCTTGCAGTTCCTTCCCAAAGGTCTTGCCGAGTGACTTGGTTTATGTATTCTCTTGGTGCCCATGGAGTGCAGACATGTCCTCGTGTTGTTAGAATAAATGCAATTCTCGTGCAACAAAGGCCAGATATTGCCATCATCATCGACATCTTGATTTCAGAGGACCTGCTGACGATGCAAGATTGCCAGGAGAACTTGGCGGATCTGGAGACGAGCAGCTCGGCTCTCTTGGGCACGTCTGGATTGCCTTCTTGCAGCATTGACAGTGCCATCTCAGGCGATGTGCTTTCCATGCTGGGGGCAAGTGGACAAGCTTTGTTCTCCAAGCTCACGATCAAAGGGAAGCGAGGATTTTTGGGGTGGCCAGCAAAGCTGAAGGCCAGGAGTTTCCTACATCAGTTGTGCTTTCCTTGTCTCTGAGCGACGGCAGGCTCTCACGCCGCCGGAGGAAGCCGTGAAGGAAGAAGTGAAGGAGGAAGAACCTTTTTCCGCAAGCATGTGTGGTAGATTCATTACATTCTTAGCATGTCGTGAAAGTTCAAGTTTATCTAAGGAATGATCGTGGACCGAGTGCTCCTGGTGCCGTTTTTGACTCGCAGCTCAGTGCCCCTGGACGAAAAGGAGGAATTGGTTTTGTCGTAGTGCGAGCTGACACATGTTGCTTGCTGCATTTCCTGTGTGCACGCAAGCAAAGTCAGAGGTCAAGGCTCAGCATTTGAAACTTCTGTTGCTTGACACGATACCATGGCTGCTCGCCCCTGGCTTTTCAGGCATGGTGCTCCGAGTTGCGACAGTGTTAGTAGAATCGTAGAATCGAAGTTGCATGGTCCGGCGGATTAGCCGCCACGCAAAAGCCGAAATCGCCATTGCAAACACATGCATGTCTAGGAAATTTTTCAGTTCACAACACATCCGACAGCCGTCGTGTTAGCTATGGCTGTCCATGGGATCTGACACGCCAGCTGTGTCGAGGCTGTGAAATCTCCGCTGAAATACGAATCGTGGTGCTCCGGGATTTTCGTTTCGGGCGGGTCCAAATCCGGTCCTGGGTTGTAGTATAGTTTAGAAGGGAAGCCGGGGTCCCGGCATTTGTCCGTTCCACTTCAGAACACGTTCTGCATCATTTACACGTTCTGTATGGCCAGTTATACTAAATTTGAACGTTCTGCATGGTGTGCAGGTGACGATTTTTTCGCCTCCCGATCGCCACGTGCCCCAGGCCCAACCGCTGAAGTAGAACGATGAAACACATAAATGCCTAACGTGTGGAAATTTGGAATGCTTCAAGGAAAACCCACGCTTAGATCGTTCTGCTTCAGGAGCCACCAACGTTCTACTTCAGCTGTACCACACCGACCACCTGGTCACCAGGAGGCCAGCACCCGCACGCTGATGTAGAACTCAGCCCAGTTTTGTGGAATGGTGTTTTGCCAAACCGCCATGTGGAATGCAGTGCCAGGCCATGGAGTTCTGGTTAAAGAACAGGATACAAGAAATGGGGAGGCAAGACTTTCTCCGTTCTGCTTCAGAACAACGTTCTGCATCAGTTTGTAGCTACAACACAGTGACCCATGGTGTGGCCCAGGACAGAGGACCCCGTCGAAAAGTCCAAACTTCGAAACAGCTTCCTGGACAAGCTCCGCTTCCTGGACAACAAGACCAAAGCGGGGAATACGCTGGAGGAGAAGATGAAGTTCCTCTCGCCCAAGGATTGGGAGGCCCTTTGCACAGTAGTGGTAGCACCGTTCGAGATGTGCAGCACCCCGCCAAGTCTTGGCAGGCCGTCCTTGACAAGAATCGTGCTTTGGCTGCCGGTGTGGGCCTGTACGTCAGGCCTCATCTTGATCTGGAGGCAATGCCCGAGCCTGCCGAAGAGCAGGCTTTGGTTGTGGTTGCAGAATCCTCTTTTCCGCAGAAAGAAGCCCGCCCGGACCCGGTGGAATATGCTCGAACCGACATATTTTATCTCCGAACGACGGGTGGCCAGAAGGGTGTCTTTCAAGTTCACAAAGCTCCTCGTCCTGGGGGATTTATGTAGAAGCATCTATGTGCAATACGGACACATGAAATTCTGCCATCGTTTCACCAAGGTGCAACAGCAGGACGCCTCGGAGGGCTATGTTCATATCTTCAGGGTCAACGAGGTGTGGCCATTGTTGAGCAGGGCACAACCCTATCACAACTGGTACACCAAATTGCGACCTGGCTTTCCCAGCCCGCATACGGCCGCATACGCTTCCGCAGGTTTCCGTGGCGAGCAAGATTTGGTATCTGTGTGTATGCACATAATCGAGGCAAGACAACCTCACAGCCGAGATGTCCGAGGAGTGGCGGATTACAATTTCGGCCCACCTGCTGAGGCCAACGCAGTACAAAGGGAAGCAAACAGTTGCTTCAGAACAGCGACTCAAGCTGCCTTTTGACGGAGCCACTGCTCTTGGTGTGATGTTCATGGTTTTTTCCTCAGTCAGCAATGAACGGTTTCTTGTCTGTTGATGATCACTGTTTTGTTTTTCCAATGTAGATTCTGAGGCTTGCAGTGTCCTGCAGATTCGTGGCTGCAAGCCAGTTTTGCAGCAGGGTGCCTTACTTGTGTTGGAGACCATCATCTCCAGCTCAGCTCCGGCTGATTTGGAGCTGAACCTGCTGCCGAAGATACCAGCTTGCAGCTCTGCTTCACTACGTGCAACCCCAACCAAGTTTTTAGCAAACCAGAAAGCCAAGGCAAGATCGTCTGCCAGGGCTCGGAAGTGGACCTGCAGAGCCTCGAAGCCTTTTTGGGTTTCATGGATTGGATGCCAAGGTGGGTTTCTTCTTGGTCTTGAATACATATCGTGTTTCAGTGCCGATGGGAGGTGGCAGAAGTCTGGTTTGCTCTCGCCCACGCAGAAGAAGCTTCAAGGAGGACCGAAAGCCCTTACTTTCAGGTTGCTAAGTTTCGCAGGAGTTTGTTATTGTGATTGCCAGGAGTGAGGCTGCCCCTCCTGGTCTTCTTTATCCTGCGAGCCCCACTCAGCGACGAAGTTTCTGAGGCCAAGGGGCTGGCACGCACGACCAGGCTGTTGCATTAGGGCAAGCGGTTGTCCGCTGCAGGGACAAGTTCGAGTCGGACGAGTCCAAAGACGTTTGCTCCATTTGCTGTGCCAAGCCATGGAAGATAATTTTCAGAGAGTGCTTGTTGACAAGATACCCCTGCCAACAGCTGACGACAAGTTTCATCCGGCAAAGACGTGGCCTGGACGGCAAATAGCCGCCTTATTCTGTAATCCCAAGTTTCGCTCGAGTCGCATAGATCACCAGAGAATGTGAATGATACGCTATGCATGACAGTGCTTGCTTCATGCTCATAATCCCAATCCGAGGGACGGACGTGCCCTGAAGAAAGAGGTGAAGCTTCGGAACCTGATGGCCTTGGACCGATTCTTGAATCGTTCCAGCGGCTTTGCCTCCAAAGCTGCCGATCAAAGCTTGGTCGAAATGGGACTCCAAGAACTCAGCCCGTCCCATTACCACAGGCAGGTGATGCACTTGTGTACTGGGGTTGCCGTTCCCTTGGCCATGAAGCTTGTTTTGCCTGCTGCCAGATTATCGTGCGATTTTGCATTTCGTTTCTTTCGGCGAGCAGCAACGGTCCTCCACGAGGACCGATGCAATCATACGCAAGCACATAAGCAGAATGTGAATTCTTGGCTTCAGATGCTTCAGGAGCTGAAGGAGCAGAGGTTCCGGTCCCTGAACCTCATATCCGATGCCAGCCCGAAGGCTCGAATGGACGTTCCTTGAATGCCGAACGTTGTGACAGTTTTTTGGGTGTGCGACTAATTTCTGAGAGCGATGGACCCGAGGTTTGGCTACCCCTCGTGACCGTGGACAGGACGATGGCACCGTGGGTTTTGCAACGTCTCTCGGACTTGCTGCCTTCTACAGCCTCTACGGAAACGAAAATGGAGGAGTGCCAAAGGCTTGCAGACCAGGCAGCACAGGCCGACAGCAAGCAGGCTACGGCACGCAAACTGTGCCCTGGCGGCAGAAATCACTTTGCACCTTGCCAGTATAATCAGTATAAGTTAGGTAAGCACAGGAGAGTACAGTAATTGAGGCCGAAGACGATATCGAAGATCAAGCAGCAACGATTGTCTACGAGAGAGCATCTGAAAGCTGTCATCCATTCGTTGGACCTGCTGGAGTGTGAGCTGCAACCCCCGAAGCAAACACTGGCCGGTGCACGGCCACAGGATCACGTCGTCGTGGAGCAGTACGACAACAAGTGGTCTTTCCGTTGCAACACACAGTCTGGAGAGTCCGAGTGGCTCTGTGTGGACAAAAAACTTCTTCGTTTGGTTTTGCAAGGAGACCAAGGTGGCCCGCTTTACTCGGGCTACCAATACCTCGCCGGGAAAGGTTTTGCTGTGTCCTTCATCAGAGACGAGTCGTGCCTTGGATTCGAGTAGATTTGGTAACAACAACAACAACAACAACAGCAACAACAACAACACACAGGACGATTGCAAATTTTCGATGGTTCCCACAGTTGTGTGCAGTGACATTGAGGCACAAATTGCAGAATCACTTTCTGAAGGTTGTCCACTGCACAGCTGGAATCAGACGCCCCTTGTCTCACTGGAAGATGAGTTATGTTCTAGCAACAACATAGCAACCTGTTCGTCTTGCTTAGGTTGCCACATGCTCACAGGGTGGGTAATGAAGGCACGGAAGAGCCCGTGGCACACTGGCCGCATTGGGGAAAGCTGGCGAGCTGCCGGGCTTCGCTATCTTCAAATCGCCTCTAGACTGAAACTATCGGGGCTCCGGTGTTAGAGATGTTCTGAAGCATTCTGGCAGAGCATCTCAGGCTCAGCCAGACGAGTGCTTGATGCAGCTCTTTGGCCCAGCTATCCTTGAGGAGACGCCTATCTGCAGTGTGTCGATCGGAGATTGAGGTTTTTTCCAAACTCGTCGTAGGTTCCTCAGATTCTGAGAAAGAAACCATGGTCCCAGGAATGGCTTCAGTTGCAGCAGTGACCCTCGCTTGGATTTCGATCGGATCGTGACGGTGCTACACAGAATTTGCAAGTGCCCTCGGCTGCAATGAAGAGATGCTACCTGTTGAACTTTTGGTTGAGTGGGAGCTGCAACCGTGATTGCTGAAATTGGAAAGAGGCGAAATGGGCCCATCCACAAGGAAGGGCGATGGTGCTCCTGGGCTTTCTGTGCAAGGGCCTTTGCCGGACAGTTCTCTGGGACTTTGCTGATCCTTACATGGGGTGGCATGGAGGCCCGGCGACAACATGTGAAGCTTTCGGTGGCGGTGGCACGGTTGTGGTGTGAGTCCTAGGCGAGGTGGTTTTGGCGGTGGGGGGGGATGTGGTGGTGGGGCGGTTGTGGGTGGTTGGTGAGTGGCGAGAGGTGAGCAGTAGGGGGTTGGTGGGGTGGTGGGTGCTGGGTGGTGACGGTGATGGGTGGTGGTGGGTTCTGGGGGTTTGAGTGGTGTGCTTGTGTTTGTGTGGGTGTGTGCGAGATGCTGTCGGCTGCAGGTGGGACAGAATCCCTTCACGACAATGGCAGGAATTGAGAAGAAAAAGGCAGCAGACGCCGACCGCATTGTGGATATCTGTTTGAAGGACCGCTTCCGCTCGTGTCCCATAACTCCGAAGCATGCAAGGGAACCTTTGTTCAGAGTTGCAGGCATTGTCGGACCCAGAAGTTCAGGGAATGTTCGGTGCACTGAAAGACCTCTGTGATCCTTTCTGTTCGATGGCTAAATGGCTAGCTGCTGGGCCGAAAGTCTGTTCATGCAGTGCTTCGCATGTGCTGGGGCAGCCTGTGTTCACCGGTCTGTTGCATCTAAGCAAAAGAGCAAAGCAAAAGAGTGGGCTTTGCACCGGCACACGCTCTTCTGCAATTCTGCAAAGTATGGAGAGCAGATGAAGGGGATGCTCCAAACCGCCCTCGCTGTGGGAACTGCTGCCAAGATGGGCATCGAGCCTGAGTTGAAGTGTGAAACTGTGAACGGCGAGTCTGCGACTTGGCCACAGTCACAGACACATGTGTCCCTGGAGTGCACTTAGGTGCCCTTTCGCAGTAGATCCTGAGATCAGTAAGTTCAACTCCACGTCTATAATAGGGCTAGTGAAAACACGAAAACCAGTTTGATCTGAAACGTGTGTCGGAAGTTTAATTGATCTCTATCTTGTGCGGCTAGTCCGCACACGGGCGGGTCTCCGCCGAATCGTGCGATTTCAAGCCATGTGACAAAGCAGTGTGCGGCTAGTCCGCACACAGATTGGCCGATTGGCGGCCCTCTGACGAGCCGATAAGCACAAGTAGAGCAGTGTGCGGCTAGCCCGCAAACGGATTGGCTGCCCTCGTTTTGTGCAGTCTCAACATACCAAACAGAAACAAGGTAATTGGTTTTGTAACTTTCAAACAATGAGAAGGTTAGAGAACTCACGCCAAAATCGCCCACGCATGCATCTTGCAGGTCGGACCGATCGTAAACAGTTTGTACAAGTTTTGCTTTAAAGTGAGCACGGAAACTAGGGGGACCCCACACTACATTGAAGTTGAGCGAGGCGAAAGTGTGGCAAATTGCTGCAAGCGAGTCTCGCACTTGAGTCAGTATCTGCTCCCGTGATCAGGGATTGGGGTCCGGATGCTTGGTGGTGCATGTGAACCTCTCCAGAAGCTAACAAAAACTCATACCTGACAGGCTTGATTCGAGATCTGTGGTGGTTGCAGCGGCTATTCCGCTTCCTACGGTCCTACACAATTTTTGCTGTGCTAAGTGACCACAGCAACCGATGGATGTGCGAGTATTCAGTGAACGGTTTCCTTTGTTCCGTTCTTCTGGCCGTTCTGATATGTTTCTGTCCCTCCCAGAAAGCATTCGGAAATTCTCAAGCCCACTATCTGAGGTATTGGTGTTTTCGAAAGCACCCGACCCGATCAAGACGGACATGACATGGGATCATTTGCATGCAACACTGACGAGCTTGCTGGAATTGGAGTTCTATGCCCTATATTTGTGCAGCTCGCCTCAGCGATCGGCCTGCCTCTTGGTGGAAACTGAGGCCGCAGAGATGCAACAGGTGCAGGCGACAGTCTTGAATGAAATGAAGGACGAATGGAACATGCTCCAAGAGATGGAGGGCAACAGAGAGATGCATGCATTGCTGCGAAAGGAATGTCCTTTCGTGTTCTTCCACCACTTCAGGGAGGTGCCCGTCTGTTTCGCGCAACACGAATGGAAGATGTGCCCGGACACGTTTTCCTGTGTGCAAGCCTGGTTCCCACGGTTCAGCTTTTCCTCGAATATCGAAGATGTTTTCTCTTCTCTTCAAGATGCATGTCGCCGTGGTGTGAAGAACGGCGACGCAGGATTGAGCAACTTGCAGTGTGTGTCGGTGCGAGCCATTCAACAGAAGATGGATGTGGAGGGTGGCCCGAAGCTTGTGCAGCTCGAAAGCGAGGACTACGAAGGCAATGCCGTTCGCAGTCTGAAGCCCCGCATCTGGGAGCCAGACTCCGCATCCCCGGGTTTCCAGACTACAAATAAAGGGATTCGGGATTCGAATGTGTTCGCACGACGGAGCATTAGGGGTCTGCGAAAGCTTCCTGTGCTTGGATGCAATGAATCCAAGGTGCTGAGATCCGAATAGACGATGTCTTGAAGCCGTACGAGACCACAAGTGCTTACAATCACTGCAAATCCCAGCTCAATTTCCTCAAGGGCTTGAGGCTTGCAAAGAAGTGGCTACAGCGGCAGTAATGACATGTTCGATTGCTCCGGTTTGGATATTCGAGTGCAGTGTGTTCCACTTAGGAGTGGCCGGGATCTGCTCGAAGCTTCGGAGAGCTTTTGGATTTCGGCAATTATGCAAAGGGGCCAGCTGCTTCAAATCGGTGAATCCTTCTACCTCTGTGTGGGCGGGGCCCCCGCAGTGCTCTATGTGCCGGCCTCAACTCAGAGAGTCGGTTGCTCAAGTCACAGAAGCCGACGGACTGTGACAGTATATTGGCAGTGCTGTTCTGTTTCGTTCTTGCCGATGTAAGGCATTGCCGCTGGAGGAACTGAGACTGCTGTTCGATGGACCTGTGCCCCAGGGCACACAGGACGAGTCGCAGATGCTGGCTCAGGCGACCAGGTATGCAGTGAAGGACCCGCTGTTGGAGCATGAGAGGGTGAAGGCCCTGGTGATCAAGATTAGAAATGGGCAGTACCTCGCTTGAGATTTCAGTTTCATGTGCAACAAAAGATTACAAGTGTATACTCAACAGTGCAGTTGTTCAAGGCATCCTCTGCAAGCAATGCTGCTGGATGATATCGCCAATGCTCCGCTGCTGCATAGTCTAGGTCATGTGGCAATGAGTGGGTGTGGCAGGTAATCTTCCCGAGTGAGAACGAAAGCACCTGTTGAGGTCCGAGTTTTCTCCTACACTGTCCACTGGCTCCCTGCAAGCTATTCTGCCAAACTTGGAGTTTCGCTCTGCCTACGAAGGGCAGCAAGTGGACTGCCCCCTGTGGTGGACATGGTGAAAAGCAAAGCCATTGTACGCCTGACATCAGAGCAGCTCTCGAAGCTTTTGGGGGCCCACGGAGTTACAGCAAGAAAAAGCAGCACCAAGACGTTCAAGACGAGACAGCTCATGCAATTGCCCCTTGTCACCCAGCACTGCTCCCAAGAGGAGCTGACAGCTTTGGATGACCTGCTGAAACAGATTGATGCAAAGAGACGAAAGCAGCCAAAGGAAGAGCAGCAAGGGGATGAAGATGAAGAGGAGGCACCGATTGGTGAGATTGTTAGGTTTTCTGAGAAACAAGCAATGTTGGTTCTCAGACTCATTCAAGCAATGGCTCAGGCCTTGGATGAGGCAGGGGACCAGGCTCACGATCCTGCTGTGGAGTTTGCAGAGCAGATGCTTGGACAGATGCCGGACACCGAGGCAGGAATCAAAATCCCTACCCACCCAGTATAAAAAGAGCTAGGATCCCTAGGAACATCAAAGTAGAAAGTTCGTTCCCTATCTATACGAGATTTTTCGCAAAGACAGGACGAGGACGAAGGACAGGGCCCGAATGCTGCTGATCCGGCTGCCGCAGCCGAGGGGGCAGATGGCGAGCCAGGGGATGGCGATCAGCAGGGTGAGCAGAGGATCAGGGCAAGTCGCAAAGCGATGTCGAGCTGCAACTCTGTGCCAGATTGGCTGCAAAGCCGCTATGCCATGCCCGATGACTGCATCGTCACACATTTGGTTCACTCCACGAAGTTGCTGCCACATTTCCAGGTGCGACTGGGATCCGGGAGAACATACGAGGGAAAGATTCTCGGAAGCATCGCATTTTGCAGTCCTGTTTTGTGTTTCGTTCGCCAAGAGTATAATAACCCGACCGGTGATTTCGGTTTCGATCTCTCAGTTCGCAACCGTTTCAAAATCTCAGGGCATCGACTTCGGCTTCTTACAATGCAGAGCTGACGGCGGACACAGTGGACGAATCGAAGAAAACCATTCATGATATCACGGCGAGGCAAAGATCACAGCTACAAGCATGGTACATTTGTGTCACCTGGGCAAAAAATGCTCAACAGCAGTCGTCGAAGAAGCGAAAGCGCTGACGGGCCAAAGTATTCGATTCTCGCAATTCACAGAGATGGTAATTCCTGTCAGTAAGTAGCAGGCAAAGAAATCCTTGCATTCGTTCGGGGGCTCCTCATATCGAGCATTTCATCAAGGACGACTATATCTAATTTTCGTTATCTTGCAATCGCTTAATGGTCATCAATAGAAGCAGACCCGAGAGCTGAAGCAGAACGATGATTTGATCTACCATGCACCCTCAAGCAGAATGACAATGGGAAGCCATGAATATAAACCTCATAGCACCCATTATCCTATATGTAGCTGGGCTCTTACTCTTAGGGTATTTCAAAGGGGGTTTCAAGCAAAGCCCCACTTTGCAGACATCTATTTACCAAAACTTGCTGTTTCCTTTGTCGAACATGATTCGCCCTAAACCCTAAACCCTTAACTGCAAGTTCTAGAGGGCATCGTTGGGGTCTCGGCTGCAGAAGGTCTACGATGTCCCATTTCTCCGGGCTTCTGGTCTTGATATGTGGGGATGGTGCGAGCGCTCTACGGACTCCGAGATGCTCTCCTGCTATGGGGAGCATATCGGGATCACGTTCTCCAGGACCTACCTTCGCCAAGAGGACTCAAGTGGAGACACTGGAGTCGCTGGCAACAGTGCCCAGACGGTGAACGTACGGAAGCAAGAGAGAGAGCATCCAAGTGGAGACAGGAAGAATCGTTACGGCGTGGTGGACTATCCGAAGCCCATGAGGTGATGTTTGTGCCGTGGTGGTGTTTTATGTCGACGACTTCATGATCTGCGGTCTACATAGCCTGGTGGAGGAGCTCGGGGAGATAGGGTTCGCTTCTCGAAACTAGGTGCCCTAAACCCTCAACTTTACACCCTAGGCCCCCAACCCCGGCCACTGCACTCCGCAGTTGCTGGACTTCCGCGGGGTCGGGCTCACCGATGGAGACAAGATCAAGGCAGGACGACCTGGTATGGTGTTTAGGGTTTCGGGGCTCGCAACAGGTGCCGATACGATATGTTAGGGTTCCGTGCTGCTGCATATTTAGACTTTGAAGGCTAAAGTACATACCGTTTGGATACATGGACCCTTACAGAATTAGCTCTACTAGTAGGAGGATTTTTGTTGAAGGATCGCGCAACTTCCTCCGGATCCTTTAGGTGGTTTACTTCACAGAGGGGGAAGAGCCTTGGGGTGCAAGATGTGCCCACAGAACGCACATGTTTTGGTACTCTGTGGGTCCAAGCATTCTTACTCAAGCCGCGAACAGATTGCCGAGCAGGGTTTTTCACCAAATTTGTAGGACCCGGCAGGCCAACAGCCTTTGAACAACAAGGTCGAGTTTATTCAGGCTTTTTAACGTCCAGGATTGTTGCTGTTCAGGGTTTTGCGTGTTCGGTCCGGGGTTTAGGTTTGGGTAGATAGGTTTACATATAAAGGTCTGAGCTCACAGCTTTTTGCGTTTATGAGGGATGTTTAGCGCTAAGGGCCTGGTGATTTTGGTTCAAGAGTTGAGGATTGGATTCGGACATAGATTGCAAACAACTCTACCATCCCGAAAGCTTTCGGATATCCTACAGGGAACTCCAGAAAGTTGGAATATGGTTTCATGGTAGGATACCCTATAATTTGCCATAGAAGGGTTAGGATAATCATATTCCAACTTTCTGGCTTTTGCCTTACTGTGGTCTCCATTGTAGTTCCAGGCCTTGGTCTAACCAGTTTTGCATCTAGGGTCTTGTAGGGTAACCTAGGATGCCCAGTGGTACCCCTATTCCCTTTTTGTAGTTCTAGGTTCCCTACAAAGAGGTTACTGGGTATCCTAGTAACCCAAAAACACAACTACATTGGAGACTATTGGAGACTATATAAGGTAATCCCTAAGCGCTTTCGGATAGGTCCTGTTCGAGTGTGGCACGGGAGCTATTCCCAGCAACTGGCCGAGCTCTGCAGTGGCTGCTTGAGGCTCAGACGGCTGGTCTTCAGGATTTCAGCGATGGATTTATAGGGTTTAGGGGTGTGTTCAGGATTTCAGAGATAGGTTCAGATTTGAGGGGGTCTTCAGGATTTAAGAGACGACTGCTTGGCATTTCGAGTTAATTGTGGATTTAGGAAGTGTAACAACCAAGGTTTATATTAATGTTGTTAAATAGGCAAGATTTATAAGGTTTATAAGCTCCGCAATATCGGAAAGGTGTGGGGTTGGCGGGGTCGAAAGATTCGGGGATCCCAGCAAGGTAGATCGGTCTGACCTCGCCGAATCCCGAACTCAAAAACCCAGGGGCGAAACCTGAGGTTTTCTTACCATGCTTGATGCCCAGCACCTCAGGAAGGAGAAGCGGGATGTGCACAAGAGCCTCCTGGATGAGTACCAGCATTTGGGCTATCCTAGCAGGTTCCAACAAGTGCATCCTCGATGTGGTGGCCGCCTTCGAGACGCAAAGGAGTTTAGGGTTTCTAGGACCCAGAGTAGGCCCTTATTCCCTTTTTTAGGGTTCAGGTTCCCTTATAAGCCCCTTTAAACCAAAAAGGGCATCCTTTTTATGCCTGGGTTACTCTAGGGTCTAGGTTTAGGGTTCTAGGAACCTGAAGTTGGCCGTGGACAGGGCGACGAAGGTGGTCTCGCGCTGATCTCTGACACGGAGCTCCGGCCACTGCCCAAGGACAAGCCGTGGCACCGCACGATCTGCCACGACATAGAGGGCGTGCCGTTCATCAGTTACGGCACGACTTGCGTTCGGTGCATCAAATTTGCCGGGATAATTAAGATGAGTTAAGTGCTTCGGGGTTTAAGGTTTTTTTGTTTAGGGGAACCCAGGGGCGAAACCTAGGTTTTAGGGCTTAGGCTAAGACCGAGGGCACCCCCAGCGCCAGATTTGCGCATGTATAGCCGGTCAGGGGTTCTGGGGAAGAAGTTGAACCATGTCGAGAGAAGCTTCCAGACCATGAAGAGGTAAGGGGTTTTCGGGTTTAGGGGTTGAGGGTTTAGGGTGTAGCTCGGCAGACATTGAGTTGTGTTCCTACCCCTCGAACCACTTCAAGCCCCCAAACCACACCAAGACTCAGCTAGAGGCTTGATATAGGGGCCTTAACAATTACCCCTACCGTTTTGGGGGGTTCTTAATATAAGTGCAGTATAATGGGCCCCCAAACCCAAGTCTAATGATTAAGGCCCCTAATATAGAACCTTATTATAGATCCCTTTTCAGGATCCCTTTAAAGGAAACCCACGTCTAATTATTAAGGCCCCTATAGTAGCTGCATTGGTGGAAGGTCTACGGTCAGATTCACGGCTCTGAGTGTTTGGGGTTTTGCATGCGAGACCTACGATTGATGATGTAAATCCTACATTGCCTTAAGGACCCTAGACTATGATAATTATGGTAGAAAGCTCATTATGCGTAATGCAGGATCTATACCATCAAGCGTAGTATGCTCTGGTGATGAGAGAACGACTTTGCAAACTCTGAGCTTTACACGGAACCGAAGAGCCCGTCGTTTAGACGCCCCTTCGACATCTGCAAGTCTCGACCCCGACATTAACGCAAAGCCCAAACCGTTAGCCACCTCAATCCTGAACACGTTGGCTCTAATGCTGAAAGAGAGCCTCGCACATCCCGAGGACGTTTAAGATGGTGTACGACGAGCTTTCAAAAATGTGAGCAAGAAGCAAACATGAGGTCATTACTGGAAGTGTTTTGCCTTTCTGATTAAACCACCAAGCCCACTAAGCTCACACGTAGAACACACCAGTCCCCGTGTGCTCGGACACGTGCCCAAACGGCAAAGCCCTAGCCCTAAACCCTAAATCCTGACAGCACAGTTGTGGGCTTAGGGTTTGGGGTTCAATGGTCTAGCATATGGTTATTATTATACTAGATTCTACTATCCTGTACTTTCAGGGTTTTGGGTTTGAGGTCCATGAGGGTTTGGGCTTGGTCGCTTCGGTACACTCCACGGGTAAAAGGAGGGACCCTTAATAAGGACCCCTAGGTATATACCCTTTATATAGTTATTATACCGATTATATAGCCAATTATAGGGTAGGGGTCCCCATTAAGGGTCCCTCCTTTTCCCCCTTTGATACACGGTTGGGAAGATGTGTGGGTCGACTGATTCGCCCCTGAGGTTGCCTCTGACGGTGGTACCTCCTACCTCACGTGGCAGGTGGTTTTCTGGGTTCCAAAACAAGGGGCCGTCGAAATTTGTCAGAAATGGGTTTTGGGGATATAACAAAACATGAAGTTTATGGGGATTAGGAGGAGGTTTGGAATTTATGACAATTAGGGTGGGTCTTATGTTTTGGCCTCTCATGGCAACCTAAGGGGCGACTGTGAGTTTCATCTTCACAAGGATGTGAAGTGGGGTGATGTGGAGATTTTGATTTGGAATATGATTTGGAACTTGAGAGCCACTTATTAGCGGTTAGTATCGGGTTGATGGTATACAGAAGGACTAGTTAGAAAAGAACCAGGGTCGTCGTACTGGGCGAAGTCATTGCCAGGAGCTCATGTGTAGCTGTCGTAAGCTGGGTTGTCAATTGATCAGTATGGCAACACTCACACACGCTCTTCATTCGTAAGTGGGTGAGCGCAGGACTCGAGATGTCATTGGTCGCCGATCGGACCTGAAATATCTTCATGTGAAGCAAATGTACGTATGTATGTATGTAGATAGGTAGGGAGGTCGGTAGTGTGTATGTAGGTAGGTATAGGTAGGTAGGTAGGTAGGTGGGTATACGTAGGTAATGTATGTATGTCTGTCAGTCTGTCTGTCTGCATGTATGTATCAGTATGTAGGGTGAGTTTGCAGGCAGGTAGGTAGGTCGGTATCCATGTATGTGTACACATGCCAATATCTACAAAAAGGATCCATCGGGATCGGTAAAGCTAAGCAAGCCCTAGACTCCTAGACATCCCCACGACCTGGGATCGCTGCAGAGGCGTTTGTGTCTTTATGGTTTTCTTGTTTGGGGTTTAGTGTACATCAGAATGCTCAGCTCCCTTTCGAGTGTAGATTTGTGGTCTAGTTTTTTGCCCCAGACTCTCAAACCCCCAAACTTCAAGCTTCAAGAAGATCAGGTTTTACAGTTTCTAAATTCTAGGGCTTCCCGACTAGATGGCATACTTACAACGCATGATAAATGCCATCCTCTTTCCGGACAGGATCGTTTGTTTGGCAAGGCTAAATTCTTAAAGGATCTAACCAGCAGGCAGATGACCTGCAGGTTCAGTACGGCAACTACCGGATCTGTCGGGCCCCTAAGCCTCGAGTTTAGGGTTGAGGGTTTAGGGTTTACCCTAAGGGTCCACGGGACCCATAAACCAGATGCTTGGGTTTAGGATAGTAGTTTTGTTAGTCTAGGATGCCCAGTAGTACCCTTATTCCGTTTTTGTAGTCCTAGGTTCCTTATAAAGTTACCCAATACCAAAAAGAGAGGCCTTTTTATTCTTAGGTTACTGGGTATCCTAGTAGTTAATGTTGGAAAGAGTATATATTATCGTGCACTTGGACCCTTAGGGATAGGTTTGCAGATATGTTCAGGGCTCAGGGCTTATGGGGTTTAGAAGTTTGTTTATTGTTCGAACAGGGGTTCCAGACAGGTTCTTCAAGGGCTAAGGGAGCACTTTATACCCAATACGTAGTGCTGAATGGACTTCTGTTGGTTACCTTTCCGCTACATGGGTACATACCGACAGAGTACCTGCACCTGTGATGGCAAGGCCTGGCCGCGCGGTCCCCATCCCTCCCTGAGCACTTCAGCCCAAAGCCCTGTAAGCTTTGCGATGTCGACTCAATACGGACCCTAATTCCGAAGCCCCGAAACTGAATCCGTGCACCAAATCCCGAGAGTCGAAAATCACCCCCCACATGACTCATGGGGTGTTTAGGATGTAGAGTCGTATGCTTCGGGTTCTGGGCTTTAGAAGCTTGGCGCTGTTGCATGGCGTTCTCTTCAAAGTCAGCGTTAACACAAATGGCACATCTCCGTATCGTGCGAGAAGCATACAGTCATAGAGAAAGCAAGATACCAATAGCAGTGCTACTAGGAATTCAACAGTTGTACCAAGTTCACCCACAAGTAAGACTAGGATAGCGTCCTTAACAAAAAATACTACACTATTGCAGCCTGAGTTCAACAACAGTAAGAGTGAGAGTGACCATAATTTTTATCAAGCCTTAAGCAAGCTCACAGAATCGTGGCAGTTCCAAAGTAGCTATCCACAAACATCTTTCGGTTTAGTTTGCTACTTTCTAAACTCAACTCGACCACAAGCCAAGATCAATTCTTCATCGCAGCAGCCGCCCCAACCCCCTAACCCTAAACCCGAGAGCACAACCCCTCAAACTTGTGCAGTCGAGCTGTGCAGGTCCCTCCTTCTAGACCCTTATCAAATCCCGAAGCTCCCAACCCTAACCCCCCAAACCCCTTAAGACTTAATGTAGTGGCCTAAACACTTGCCAATATTATTCCTTAGTGTTCCGTATTGTGAATACACAGCTCTATACTATAAAAGGGGCCCAAGACCACCTATTCAAGGCGCCTATATTAATTTCCCAGGCTGGTGCAAACATGGCTGGACGTGTCCAGACACCACGCCCGCCAGGGGCCAAGGGCTTCCACGGCTCCGGGGTTTAAGGAACTGTAGGCAGCACCTAAACCCCGAAATCCTTAACCCCTTATAGACCTCTAAACTCTAAACCTCTAAACCCTAAACCCCTAAACCCCTACAGAAACCTCTAAACCCCTAGACCCTAAACCCCTAAACCCTAAACCTCTAAACCCCAAGGGTTCCATGAGGGGCTCCTTAGGTTTATGGCTTAATCAAAGACGAGATCGTAAGCTGTACATCCGAGAAGACACGGTACCTCCGCTGCGTCAGCGCCTGTAAGCTCCGTCACATAATCTTCCCAGTATTAGGGCTTTAGGTTTAGGGCTTAAGGTTTAGGGTTTTGGGTTTAAATTTAGGGTTTAGGGTTTTGGGTTTAGGGTTTTGGGTTTAGGGTCTTGGGTTTAGGGACATAATCCTCCCAGAGGTTTCTATCTACTTTTGGGGGAGGTCTTGCACCAGAAAAGATTAGGACTTTCAACTGGAAGCCCTACAATCCCAGGGTCCTCGGTTCCCAAAATTTTAGTGGTACTTCCGCAATTAGAATTTTAGTGGTAATTCCGAAATATAGAAAACCTTACATTCTACTACAAGGGTACTTGGGACTCTCAGGGAATGCACTTGAGGATCCTTTCGGCCATGATTTAAAGCTTCACAGCCCGAGGCTTAACATCTTGAGTGCTACGTCCGAGAGCATGTCATACGCTTGATGATAGAAATCCTGCATTACCCATAATGAGGAGTATACCATAATTCCCATAAGGAAATGCAGGGCTTACACCATGAACAGTATACCATGTTGTGGCCGGAGCCTTTCATAGGTAGTGGCGTGGCGTAACGCTTGCATTGAACTGAGATGGAGGCTGCCGACAGCTCTTGCAATTGTGGGGGCGGGCGGCTCGTCTTTCGGAAGCCTGGAGTCGGCATTTTCGGAAGCCTCGAGTCGGCAGACATAAGCCACTGGATCGAGATCCTGCGGCCTCTGGAGCAAGCTCATGGCCCTGAACCTGCTTTCGAATATGTGTACAGATGCCGCGCTCGCTGTCAAGATTGTCTAAAAGACTCAGCAAAGTCCTCAGACACGACAAAGGGCAGTTCGGCCTTGACTTCTATCAGAATGCCACGGTGCCCCTGGACACGGTCGCGCAACTGAACATCTTTACTCAGATTCGCACCACCAAGGAGGAGCTCCTGGCTGTGATCTACTGTAACAAAATTGGCTCCGGGGTGTGACAGTGTGAGGGAACCCGACAGGGCAAAACCTGAAGGGCAATAGCTCGAAGTCCCGAGCCGAAGGCCTGACTCAAAACATCACCCAAGATAAGCCTAAAGCCCTAAACCCCTTACAGCCGAAAGATGTGTGTAGAATCCCTCCCCCCTATTCGACCCCAAATCTTCAAACCCTAAACCCCTGAAGCATTCTGAAACCCCATAGGCCCTATAAGCTAATCTCTAAAAGTCGAAACCAACGAAAGGATGGCTTTGTGATGGATGCCGGCGCCCTTCGAGCGCGATCCTCAGAAGTCCCAAATGTGGGATTCAGGGTTGGGGTTGTGCATGGTCTTATCGCTAAACCCCAAACCTTAAACTCCATTTTGGGGGGAGTTAGTAAGTAGATTTGGAGCCGAACTTTCCTCGATCAGATAGGTCTTTGCTCAAGGATGTACAGCTCAAAGGGTCCTGTAGGTACCGAGTCACATGTGGAGTATTCACAGGCCGTACTGATGACTCCAGGAATTGAAGGCTTGTTTCGCACCGTTACTAGGATGCCCAGTAGTACCCTTATTCCCTTTTGTAGTCCTAGGTTCCTTATAAAGTTACCCAATACCAAAAAGAGAGGCCTTTTTATTCTTAGGTTACTGGGTATCCTAGTCACTATGAAGATCGATCTTGAGTCTGCGGTGGGTGAAGCTCCAAAGCTATATCAGATCCATACAAGGGTTGTGTTGGCAAAAGGGTGTGTATGTTGTAAGCCAATAGAGCATTACATAATTTGTGGGTCCATATGGTTATGAAACCCTTCAGACCCCTTTTAATTAAAACAAAATAAAAGCCAAACCTGTTCCAACCGTATAACACCCCTACTCTAAGCCCTACACCAAGAAGCCGCATCGCTGCAAACCCCGAAGACAATCCTATGAAACACCCCTGCGTGCCCCCATGAGAACCCTTGTACAGGCCCCTTCAAACCATAATATGGGTGATTGTCAAAATTAGGGTCGCTTTTTGGGTCCTTATTATAATACGGCACCCAATATTTAAGGTACTTAAAAAGGGACCCTAATTTTGACAACCACCCATATGGCAATGCTCATATTCAGTCCATGATTGCAGCTCCTCAGGTGGTTGGTATCAACCCGGGCCAGTCGAAGCAGGAGCCTCAGCAACCTTCGTTTGTGTACGGGCTGCGTGCTTTTTGTCTAACTTCCCGGAAGGGCAATTCGAAGGGGTTTTGGGTTTTGGGGGTCTTGTAGGGATTGTAGGGTCGACAAGGTATGATTTTGGGGTGTTCAATGATTTCGAGTTTGTGCAGGGCTTCGGGTTGGGTGTTTAGCGTTTAGGTGGATTTCAGGTTTAGGGTCTGATATGGTTTCTGTAGACCTGAACCCACCGCTTCGTTTTCTTCCGTCACAGTCTGGAAGTGCACGCGCAAGCCTGAAAGACAAGCTGTTAATAATAAACCAAGGATTCGCAATACATCTCTGCATAGAGTCCGCACTTCACAGGACTGACACCCGTCTAGGACACAGCGACGCAATCAGGTACATGCTGAATTCTAAACCCCACGAAGCTGCTATTTGCTTAAGAAACCCCCAAAAAATAAGAATAATAATCCCTATATTACCCCCATAAGGAATATCTTTTTTTATTTTTTGGGGGTTCTTAAGCAAATAGTAGGAAGCCCAATCCTAATCCCAGCCTGAGGCATGACAGACCCTGTGCAGCTAGCCTCGAAGATTTGCCCGAGGGCAACTAGGATGCCCAGTAGTACCCTTTTTCCCTTTTTGTAGTCCTAGGTTCCTTATAAAGTTACCCAATACCAAAAAGAGGAGGCCTTTTTATTCTTAGGTTACTGGGTATCCTAGGCAGCCTGAAACCGCACGCAGACGAGCGAGGACAGGCCGTCTACCACAGAGAGTTCCGCGCTGGAGATCATCGACTCCAGGAATTCGGAGCTTGCCCGCAGACCGGCCATCGGCAGCCTTCCATCACCGTGGAAGGTGCCCAACGAACCCCGTGCAGAGCCTCCAAAACCCCTTAATTAAGGAATATACCTTAAATTATAATAGGATCCCTTATATGATTTAAGGTATATTCCCCAATTAAGGGGTTTTGGAGTCTCTGGGCGTGGCCCAGTTTGTGGATGATGGCGAGGCCGGCCGCCCCTAAGTCTGGTTCCACGACATTGCGAGCAAAGCCAGACTTCCCTTGTGCCCCCCTGCTGGCCTTCTGGGTTTAGGGTTTAGGGTTTAGGGTTTAGGGCCTTATGTTTACTAGGATGCCCAGTAGTACCCTTATTCCCTTTTTGGAGGCCTTTTTATTCTTAGGTTAATTACTGGGTATCCTAGTTTATGATGCGATGAAACCCCAAAACGCTAAAGTTGCAGTTCAAGATTCACAGCCGCATACAGCACAAACCGATCCGAACAAGACACAAATCCTGGACACAATGCACAGAAGCCCGTAAAGGACCCCAAACCTGAACCTTAAAGCCCAAACTCCAGCCCCTAAACCCTAAACCCTTAGCCCCCCGCGACAGTGGAGCTACCGACCTTAACTGCTTGGTGGTCCACACTGAGCACCTTTTTCCAGGAAAAAGGTGCTCAAAAAGAAACCTATACACAAGACCCTAAACCCCATATCGCGGAGGCTCTGAACCCAAACCCTTATAAAATCGCCCTAATAAGAATTTGAGTCGTGTGTTGGCGCCCATTATACTTCGATTATAAAAGGAACCCCCAAAATAGTATGGATAATTATCTAGGCCCCTATGCTCTAGTACCCTATAGATCCCTTTGGAACCCTTTAAAGAACCCTTAAAGAAGCCCCACCACGCTATTCTAATGATTAAGGCCCTTTTACTAGACCCAGCGAGATCTCTCAGGTCCTGCCACTCCCAGGCGCCTTGCCGGATCGACGGCTTCGCCGGAAACAACCTGAGGCTCCTGGCTTAGGGTTTAAGGGATTAGAGCCTAGGGTTTAAGGGAGAAGGGTTCAGGGTTTAAGGGATTAGAGCCTAGGGTTTAAAGGATTAGGGTTTAGGGTTTAAGGGATTAGAGCTTAGAGTTTAAGGGATTAGGGTTTTGGGTTTAAGGGATTAGGGTTTAAGGGTTTAGGGTGGCTTATGGATACTTGCAGTATAATATACCTAATCTAAAGATTAAGGCCCATATATTACAGTACCCCAAAAGTATGCAGAATGATAGCCTTTGATAGGTGCGGTGCCATTTGTTCGACTACTTTCGAGGGTTTAGGTGGCAACAAGCCATTAGGGTTCGCATTCTGTTTTAGGGTTCAGCATGCTGTTTTCGATTTGTCCATACTTTTGGTGGTTTCGTGTGCTGTTGTAGCGATTGGTTTGTTATATTAAGCACTCTTTTGTAGAGTTTAGTATGGTTGTTAGAGTTCATTGTTTGTTTTAGGGGTGGGTATTCTGTATTCTGTTTTGGAGGTGTTGTGTTCCATGGTAGCGTTTAGAATTCTGTCGGGGGGCGTAGCATTTTCGGTGCTAAGTGTTGTTTGTCGTGGGTCTGTTTTGGGGTCCAGTATTCTGCCTTATACAGAGTGTAGAACACGATTTTAGGATTTAGGTGCAGTATTATGTTTCAGGTTTTAATGTTTAGGAATTATAGGCCTTATCAGAATCGACCGCAGAATTATACCATAACCCCGTACACCCAAAGTCATATCGTATACTCTGAATCGAAATTGCCATAAGCCCTGAGCCAGTAGCCTCAACCACCATAAAGACAAGCCCTTAACTTGAAGTTACAGGGCGTGTCTTGTTTGTTGCTCATGTATGCAGTAGATATACAATTTATGCTATTACATTCTGGCCTTTGATTAATTATATTAGATATTGTATAACTTGGAAGTTGCAGGGTGTATCTGTTGCGTTGAATGCAAGGCTTCAAGAGAATTTGGCAGACAGGCTGACAGACAGACAGAAACAAACACTAATGACAGTCAGAAAATGGCACGAACTGAAGAACAGCCGAAATGACCGCGATATCATCAGCATAGGATCGAGTACATGAATACAACGCTGAGGGCTTATGGTAATGACCTTAGCGCCAATCGCGACAAACTGAACACCAAGATCCTGTGTACAATAGCCGTCATTCAGGCTGTTGCACAAAGTCCAGTTCTGGATACGGTGGCGGCGGCAACGCTTCTAGATACTTCCGTGTAGTTCACCACACCCATCAAAGAAATGATAAGAGCGATGTCACAATGACCAAAGCATTAAAGAACACACCAGCATCGAAGCACAATAGAGTGGAACTTTGGTCCCCTGTCGTTCACATGCCCCAAAGGCCACACCCAACAGATAACACCAGTAATAACAATCGTAATAACCAAAGAATGTGTGTGTGTGTATACATATGTAGATATCTACAAGTGTATACGTATATACGGATGTAGGTTTGCATATACATACATATATATATATATATATATATATATACACACATATACACGCACATACATACGGCCATATCTGGTCTGAAACGCTTTGGGCACGATCCCTGTGTCAAGAGCAGGAGTGGAGATGTCATGAAGATCCTGACCGCCTGCGGCACGGGGCAAGAGGCACCGAAACCGTAACATTTAAACCCTAAAGTCTAAGCCTTAAAGCCTAGCCTTAAGCGCTGGACCTTAAACCCTAACATAGTGAATCTTAAAACTCTGAACTCCAAAATCCAACAGCCCTTTCAACCAAGACCCCCAAGCCCAGATCCCCGCTGGCCCAAGCCTTCTTTCGGGTTCAGGTCTTAGCTCATTTGGGACTCAGGATACCTATATCTTGCAAAACCACCCTAAACCTCAAAACCCCCAAGTCACATACCTCTGAAGTCCTGGTCCGAAATGCCTCACAGACTGTAGTCCTACGGTTGATATATAAATCCTGCATGACCCATAATAAGGAATATACCAGAATTCCCAGGGTTTAGGGTCCTTAATTAAGGTAATGCAGGATTTATATCATCCACCGTAGTAGAAAATTTATATGGGTTCTATCTACGGAAGTAGTTCATGGTAGTACGAATGGCTTGTGTACCCCGGCAGCGGCCTGGCTTCTGGTGCCCTGCACTCCAAGGGTGGATCCCTCCGTAGGTTGCACAGGTAGCCACTGTGGGGTTGAGGGTTTAGGGTTTAGAGGGTTTAGGGGTTTAGGGGTTTAATAGGGTTTAGGGGTTTAGTGTTTAGGGCTTTGGGGTTAGGGTTTAGAGGGGTTTAGTGCTTTTTTGGGGTATGTAGGATTTAGGGTTTAGGAGGGGTTGGGATATCAAGGACATACATACATGCAGGTACATATAGAGGGGTTTGGGGTTTGGGGGTGTATGTAGGGTTTGAGGGGTTTAGGGATTTAGGGGTTTGAGGCTTTAGGGCCTAGGGTTTAGGGTTGAGGGTTCCAGAGGGAAGACCGCTCGGTGCAGCATTTTCGCACGAATGAGGCAGGCAAAAGGTAGCTTCAGTCGGGAGCTCGCTGACGCTCCGGCCGCCACCGGACATGCGGTCCTCAGGATGCCCTCGAGCTCTGAGGAGTGGCTGCCGCTGATACGTTCGTTCTCTTATAAAGGCAGAGGCTAGGATTTGGGTGGAGCCCATGCAGTCTACAACTATTGGAGACCGATGACTCTACGGTTCGTATCAGCGGCAGTCTGCCTGCGTCGGCGCCAAGCTGCCAACGCAGCTTCACAGAAGTTCCAGCCTTGGGGCTCGGCGCGGGTTGAACAGCAGTGACCTAACCAGGATGACGGATGGAATGCTGTGCCTCGGCCACCGCAGCACGTGCACCGCCGAAAGGAACCAAGGTTTGGTGAAACAGGCCCATAAACTGAGCAAGCGAATTTGTGCTTCTGACAGGAAGCCAGAGCACCCTGCCATGCCAGAGATGAGGCTTCGAAGTAGACCCTCTCCTTGGGGCGAGAAGTTTTGGGGGGCGAAGGACTGATGTTCCGGCGTGGCCCGGAAATATTCCGGTGAGACGGGAGCAGAGGACAAGGTCCCACAAAGTCGAGGCTTTCGGGATGAAAGTTGCTGACCCGAAGCTCCGTGAAGGCCGTGGTATGGTGAATCAGACATGGGCCCCTTCAATCACAGCCTAAAATTTAAAACGCTTGAAGCTCGTAAAACCCTACAGTCAAGCCCCCAAATAGCATGAACCCCCAACACCTCCAAAATTGTTAGTATCCGAACCATAAAGACTTAAGCCCGCGAGGCCCCGACTTTCCACCAAATCCTGCATACACCCTGCAGAACCCACGGTTTAGGGCTTAAGAACTAAAAAGTGGTGGGTTTTGCAGGATCCGGCTTAAACCTCTAACCCCCTAAATTCCCAAGCCCTCACACCCCCCTCCAACCTCATAACATCAAAGCCTCGAATCTCGAGACCCTTGAAACCTCTAGCCCAAGACCCCCGAGCCCGCAACACCTGCACCCTCAAAGCCTTGAACCCCCCAACCTCAAGTCTTAAGCCCCAAACCCTAAACCCTAAACCCCAAACCCAAGGAATGCACTTTCAAACCCTAAACCCCAAATCCTGAAGGTGGACGGCTTTCCGAACAATGGCACATCTCTCCCTGCGCTTGGAGCTCGGGAGTTCCAGCGATTAACGGTTCAGGGTTTTGGGCCAATAGCGTGCCCTTCAACCTAGTAGTAGAGTAGGTAACCTTTGACCTTTTTTGGGCAGTAGAGTCCCTATAAAAATCCCTATATAACCACAAAGGTTAACCTGTAGTTCCCCATGATACCCGACAAGTAGGTTAAGGTATCCCTAAACCTTACACCCTCAACCCTGAACCTTAGGGTTTGGGGTTTTGGGGTTTCGGACCGCTGGGAGCTTCGGGCTTAAAGGGATTAACGCCTATAGAGATTAGCGCACCCTAGAGGCTCATACCTAACTTATACCCCTTTTATAGGATACTTTGTTTTATGGTTAGGATCTGTTGTCTTAAAAAGTAGGCGCCCTAAAAAAGGGGTAGGGTATGATCCTCTAGGATTGAGGAGTACGGAGGGTTTAGGACGTTGTGTTTTTTATGGACAAGGCGTGTTGCGAGTCGCTCCAGGGATTTTATGGGCTTTTTTTGGGGTTGGCCTGCATGCTGCATTTAGGGCTCGAGGTGTTACTATTCGTTCCCTTGTCTAGGATGCCCAGTAGTACCCTTATTCCCTTTTTGTAGTCCTAGGTTCCTTATCAAGTTACCCAATACCAAAAAGAGAGGCCTTTTTATTCTTAGGTTACTGGGTATCCTTTGGCCTTAAAGTAGTTCCTATATAGGTACTTTGGGGCCAAAGTATATTCTCTTTGGGTACATGGACCCTTAGGGTTCGTTCCCTTGTTGTTCAGCGTTTCTGTTTTTTTCGAAATCACGTCCTTTTATCGGCCTGGTGGGCTGGACTGAGGTTTCTTTTTTGGTACCAGGTGTTCAGGTGTGCTTTCGGGTGTGGGGCTTAGGGGTTCGAGCTTAAGATTTCGGGATCCCTGAGCCCTACACTCAGATCGGGGCTTGCAGGTTAGGGGACTGCAGTAGATAAGGCTTTTGCATTGCGGTTGAGAGAGCCGGATTGAGGCTTGTTTGTTCTTGCATGGTTGTTGGGAGTTAGAGTGTGTAGGCAGTCGGGCTTCGCAGTATCAAGTCATAGCCACCTGCAAAAGCATCGTCATCACTGTCAGCACAATCATCAGCATGATCGCAGTCGCAGTCGTAGTTAAAGTCAAGAACCCAGACCCCCGGGAGGATCCAATAAGTAGATCCCGTAATGGGGGTTCCTATAAAGTAGCCCTAGTAGTACAGGGCCCCAAATCAGGGGATCTACTTTCTAGATCCTCCCGGGGGTCTGGGAATCGAACGAGCATTCAGGACAAGCTCGGGATCCTCTTTCTCCTGGGGAGTCGTCGACACCGTCCAGGCGGGATCACCCCTGAACCCCGAAACCAAGTACCCAAGTATTGGAGCTTAAAGATTAGGGACCCCTAAAGCACATAAGCATAAGCATTTCATAAGGATATCCTTATCCTATCCTGATTTTTGCTTATGTGCTGTTTCGGGGCCCTATAAAGATTTCCTTTATCCAAAGTACCTGACTATCAGGTACTTACCTTCGCACAGCTAGGGATTCGACCCACACGGAGTTTCAGAAATTTACGGGATCTGCCAAGAACAACTACTCACGTTATGGTTGTCTAAAGGGTGCTGAGGTCTCAGCACGATCGTCGGCAGAATGGTGCATCCTGCCTTTGTTCCCGACTGCCCTACAGTCTAACCCTCACTCCTGAACCCTCGGACGGCGTTTGAGTTTGGCATAGCAAATGACCAAAAAGGGTCCAACATACCAATCAAACGCTCAAGTTTTGCATAGAAATGGTGGTGGAAACCCCGGACCAGAAACCTTAACGCCAAGCCTTGTGAGCCAGGATTAGGGGGGCCCTCGGGGATGTAGATCCTTTCAATAAGATCCCTTTAAAGAGAGCCAGAAGTAGGGCTCCGAAGGGGTACCCTTTAAGGGGTCTCCCTCATCATGCTACCCAAGCCTTAGGCCAAACCAGCTCCAAAGGCGCCAACCCGAATCCTTTCCTTCCTTAATGGGGACCCCTACCCTATAGTGGGCTATATAATGGGTATATAATAGCTATATTAAGGGTATAAAGCTAAGGGTCCTTATTAAGGGTCCCTCCTTTTATCCTTTCCTTGAGGCTGCCGTGGGCACGTACAAAATGTCTTTGCCTCAGATGGGTGGTTGTCAAAATTAGGGTCCTTTTTTGGTTCCCTTTTATAATACGACAACTAATATTCAGGGTACCCAAAAAGGGACCATCATTTTGACAACTACCCAGATATGTCGAAGAGTTCTGCCATACAGGGGCTTGAATCGGCTTGAATACTTGGAACAGGTCTATGGGGGTATAATTTATGATATGGGAGTTTCAGAAAATAGGGGACCCTAATATAGTACCCTAAATAGCAGGATTCTTGTTATGAGAATGAGGACCCCCCAAAAAGGTACCCCTCATTCTCGGAAACTGCCATATTGCTTTGTTCTAAAATGCCATGAGCAGCTCTTCCGACCCCCAGCGGCAAACCCTGGACCCTCAGAGTTCCGGGGATTGTATAGACTAGGATGCCCAGTAGTACCCTTATTCCCTTTTTGTAGTCCTAGGTTCCTTATCAAGTTACCCAATACCAAAAAGAGAGGCCTTTTTATTCTTAGGTTACTGGGTATCCTAGTAGAGTACTATAGGGGCCTTAATAATTACCTTTACTTTGGGTACGGCCCCCACCCAGTAACAGTTGGATAATATTCCTAAGATAGTGGGATTAGGCCCTGAAAAGTAGCCCTATGAAAGCATTTTGGGGGTACGTATAGTGGGCCCCGAAACCCTATTCTGAGTATTAAGCTTCCTATATTATATAGAGTGTAGGCAGTAGGGTTTCTGCATTGAGACATACTATTATGGTCGGGGCAGGCATGCCTCACATAGGTGCCTAGGTCCCTTCGGACCCTATCCAGATTGCCGCAGCACGGTCTAGGGAGCTACCTGTCATTTTGTAGCAGGGTCCTCCCCCAAAGCTTAGGTTCTAGATATAGTTCAGCCAGACTTGGGTTGGAGGTTTTGTGGTTCCTAAACCCCAAACGCCGAAACCCTAAACCGACTTTCCTCCCCCCTGTTGTGCTTTTCGGGCTCAGAGTCACTCGTAGAGTCAGGACACTTTGTCAAGCCCAAGGATCTCCGGTTTACAGGCGTGAAATGATACGGTTGATGCTATAAGTCCTGCATGACCCATAATTAGGAGTATGCCAGAATTCCCATAGTCTCGTGTCCTTAAGGTAATGCAGGATTTATATCATCAACAGTAGCATCCGTATAAGTATAACTGTATTGAACACTAAACTATATCCCGAAGCCTGAGTCCAGTTCTCAAGGCCCCGGCACTATTCCGAGGTGCTGGTGCCCTTTCGGCAATGCAGATGGCTGCAGCGATCCTACCCATTTCGTGTCTGAGGCCCGCCTGATGTGGCTCGCCTACTACTCGCTATTCTCTACTCTATAAGTAGACATGGGATTCGAGGCTTAGGGTCTTAGGTTTAGATGCCACAAAAACCACTAAACCCTGAAGCCTTGAGCTCCAAGCTACCTAGAGTCTCCATTGTAGTTCCTTTTTTTTGGTTAGCCAAAATCTTTCTTATAGGATCCTAACCATAAAACTGGTTAACCAAAAAAATCAACTACAATGGAGACTATAGGTAAAACCCAACTGCCTCAGCTTCTGCATTGCGCCCTGTAGGCCTTCACCCCCAACTCCCTGCCCGACCCTGCCGGAAAAAACGCCTAATGTAGGAAGCTTATCCTTCAATTAAGGAACCTCAAATCATATTAGGGATGCTACAATAAGGTATTTATTCATTTATCAAGGAATATTGCAGTCCCCCCAGACCCTAACTATAGATCCCTTATAGATCCCTGAGCGGAACCGCAGGGATTCTTCAATTAAGGGATATTGGAGTCTCTGGGAGCACGTTTTGTTGCTTGATTCTGCTGGCCTGAGCCCGGACCAAAGTGAGGGCCGTTGCAGCCCCAAGCGCCGGGGCTTAGGGTTTAGGGTTTACTGTAGGTTAGGTTGTAGGGTTTAGGTTTTAGGGTTTAGGGTTCAGTATTTAGGGGTCTAGCATTTATATAGGGGTTTAGGGGTTTAGGGTTTAGCTGGATCATGGACCAATGCGGAGCATGTTGTGCTTCGCTTTTTCCAGGTTTTGGGGGTCAGAGGGTACCATGCAATGTTCCGTTTGTTTTCGGCTGCTACTGCAAGATGGCACGCTACACATAAGACTGTGTAAGACCTTTAAATTTTAAACCCCTGAAGTAAATCCGGATCCCAAAGATTGCACACAAAACACCCCCTGATGCCCTCATGCGCTCCAGGCTGGTTTGCTAACCATCCGCGGGCCGCAGACCCTGGGCTTCAATGCCACTTCGCAGCACCAAGCATGTGGAATCTCAGGTTAGTGCAGGTTTTGATACCTAGAGGCTCATACCCTACCCCTTTTTTCGGATACCTAGTTTTATGGTTAGGATCTGTTATCTTAAAAAGTAGGCGCCCTAAAAAAGGGGTAGGGTATGAGCCTCCAGATAGGGTTCCAGGATACATGAAGGTTGGTGTGTGGAGGGATTTACCCATAGTCTGCATTGTAGTTCCTTTTTTGGTTAACCGGCTTTATGGTTAGGATGCTATAATAGAGATTCTGGTTAACCAAAAAAAGGAACTACAATGGAGACTATAGGTTGGGTACGGCCCCCACGCAGTAACAGTTGGATAATATTCATAATATAGGTATATAAGGCCCTTAATAGTAGCCCTATTACACACTGTTACTGTATGGAACCCTAAACCCTAAACCCTAAACCCTAAACTATAGGTAGTGTCATGAAAGGGGGCATAAACCTACAGATCCCTTATAGATCCCTTTAAAGGAACCCCTAGAGTTCCTTTAAAGGAACCCTTAAAACCCCGGTGTCGTAAAAAACCCGATATATAGATCCCTTAAATGGTCCCTTATAGATCCCTTTAAGAACCCCTAAAGATCCCTCAAAGGGTCCCTTATAGATCCCTTTAAGGAACCCCCTAAGGATCGTCATAAAAGGGTTTTTTTTCAAGAACTTCTCGGGTGGGTTTCTAGGGGGTCTGCTCTCCAGTTTCCGGCAGCTTCATGCCAGTTGCGGGGGGCTTTCAGGGCCCATAGTATACATATAGATAGATGTATATGTATATATATATATATATACATATGTATGTATGTAGATATATATATATATATATATATAGATATATGTGTGTATATATATATATATGTATATACATATATGTATATAACTATATGTATATATGGCTTATTTTTTGGGAGACTTGGATTTTCGAAGGATTGATGGTCTTAGGCTTCATTTAGCTTGTTAGGTAACTGTCCGAGTACGGAATAAAAGGAACATGGATGGTTAGCTTAAACAAAAAAGTATGGGATTCGTCTTTCTTGTTGCGACTATGCCTTGCTTGAGGGGTATTGCGTGTTTTCCGCCTCATCCTCGTTGGCAAACGGCAGGCAACGTGCGTCGCCAACCAGCAGCCCAGTTGCGTGGCCAGAGCCTCGGACGTGCTGGGAGCCCTAACGCTTCACTACATTTCGAGGTTTCAGGGGTTTATTGGATTTATCCAGATTCCTACCTATATACCAGTAGGAGACTGGAGCATGCTGGAGCCAGATGTAGCCGCTCGCGACATGACTTGCTCAAATCTGAACATATAACCGCATACTTAAACCCTTACCACACCAAGCCCTACAGTCCTACAGGATCCCTTAGAAAGAATCCCATGAATGCCCCAAAGGTCGCCTGTGATGCGAATTCAGGAGCACGGCCAAGATGCTTCGCCCAAGTAGCTTATTGTCTTTCAGCGACCGACCGCATCTACGCAGGTTCGAAGGTTGCTGGGTAAGATGCCACCAGGACAGTTCGAAGCTGTCCGTACATGATCGAGTATTGCTCACGCACGGACATCCCGGAAGTCAACGAGGTCGGTCCAGGTACCACGGTACGACAAGGGTGTACCCGTATGTTGGCCAGTGTACAGCAGAAAAGCACCATCATCTTGTAGCATGAAGCTTCATGGTAATACGTATGTGTTTGCAGCCACGCTTCCGAGCATGCAGGCAATAACGACCGAGCTCTATCGACTCTGCTTCCATTTTTTGCCCTAGCTTACGTGATCTCTTCGCAAGTAGGCGTGGCAACACGGCAGAGCAGCATCGTGGGGAAAATGCACGGGAACTCCGGTCCCTATTCGCTGGAACGCGTACCATTTCTTTTTACCTGCGTAAAGTTACGAGCCCCATGACAGTGTAGCACACTGTTTCGGGGAAAGCTGTTGCCAACACGGAACTGGTTGTTTGGATCATGCAAGGGACTTGCTCACGGAGCACACCGAAAAACACCACCACAGCAGGGCCTTTGCTTCAAAACGCTGTGTGAAACATACTTACATCATGTCACCTGGATGCAGACGTTCGTGTCACAAGCATGATGTCATTGCGGGTGCATATTGCCGGCAGTCGAGTCTTCAAATTTCATCGGCCGGAGCATTGATTTCTCAAGCTAGTGGAGTTTCGAAAAAAGCGATGGGCAAAAGAGATGAAATTGTGCCGAAACGGAAGCGCCTTCCTTGTTGTGAAGGGGCTCTCTGTGCTTCCGGATGCTACGTCAGGGGCAACGGCTTTGTGGAGAAGAGCCCAGCACACAGGAATCCAGCCCGCAATTTTTTGTGACAAGACCAACAATTGTTCCACTGTTCCATGTCCATGTTAAGACAGTCTGGAATTTCGACTTATACGGAAGGTATACGGAACAAGCCCTTGCAGGTGGCCTTCCTTGTCCATGCAATCCAGGAGCGGGTGGCCACAGACTCGGTGCAGGAAGGCTCGGACACAGACTCTGCAGCGTCCATCTGCGTCCCGCAGTCAGGGACCTCAGACGAGGATAGCGATGGTCTGAAAAGAGACCGACACCGAATCAGAAGAAGCTTGGCCACCAATCCTCCAGCACGGAGGGCGACTGGAGTGCCCTTCCTGCACCGGCAAGGCGGAAAGCCCCGAAGGCTCGCCTGTTGGACTTTACAGCAGCGCGCCACGGTGCAGACGCGGGACGCCTTCAAGGCCTGCGGGGCCGTGCCAGTATTGCGTGAATATCAAAGAAAGATGTCAATCCTAAGCTGCGCCAGTCAAGCTTTGATCTGCCGACGATGTGCACTTGTCGTGCTGCTAGGCTTGTCGCCTTTAGCTTTCAGCTGTGGAGTCAATCCAAGGGCATAATGAGACCTGAGCTCCTGCCTGTTGTCGATATATGGTTGGGAGCACCCTTGCTTTGTGAGCGGGAGTTAAGTGGAATCCTTTGCTCGCACAGGGTATCCGCGGTAGGACTTTTTGCTGCCGATTAAAAAGCTTAACGCAGCCGCTGCTGTTTGCACATTCCGATCATTTGTCCCGCGCTCGCAAATTCCGAAGCCAAGCATGTCAACAGAGAGGCCCCAGAGGTCCCCTAGCATTTCCGAAGCCCCAAACCCCCAAAAGGGTCGGGTACTGGTATGAGGAATGCTTTCCCAAAACCGTGATAGCAATCGCTCCTACTCTAGAAACCCTACAGTCTGCCAAAACAACCTACGATTTTTTGGGACGTTGCGTAAAGTAAAATCCGCACAAACTCTAAGAGCCCCGTTGCCTATAGAGTAAGTTGCGGGGCCACGGGACAATGAGGTCTATATAGGGCTTAAGGGAGGTACCCACTACATAGGTAGTATCTGGGCTCCTAGAATAAAGTGAAACCCTCACACAATGAACCAAAGCTCCTGAAACCCCCTTACACGGTCAACCCTAAACCCCCAACCCCGACACGGCAACTTGAATCTTGAAGCTCAAGTCAGCCCTGCCTATAGTGTCCGTTGTAGTCCCGTTTTTGGTTTAACCGGTTAAGTTAGCTAAACAAAAATAGAAAGGAATTACAAGAGAGACTATCGGTACTCCTAAGGCACCGAATCCCCTCGTTCCTCAGACACCTGTATACAAGCACTCTATTACCCAAGCGGTCCATGTAGCCACATAGTATATACACTGGCCTTAAAGTAGTCCCTATATAGATACGTTGGGGCCAAAATCGATACTATTTGGGAATATGGACCCTTAGGGTAAATTTCCCCTAAACCTTGAACCCTAAACCCTGGACCCTCCATTAAGCCATGTAAAGGCTGACGCAAGCCGTTCTTTTACAACGCCCAGTCAGTGGAAACCTTCCCACACCTCTCAGAAACCATGCGTTGAGTCGGTAAACCGTAAAGCTTACAAACCCTATAAACCCCGAAGTTTTAGCTGTAAACCTTAAAATAAATCCTATAAACCCCAAACCAAACTTTGACCCGAAGCTCGCATGCTGAACTAAACCTTGGGTCAACAAACTCCTAAATGCCGAGACCCTATAAGCCCTTTACATACACACACATAACATTTTCTATGTTATATCTTTTTATATACATACATATTATATATATGCCCCAGAAGCCCTACAAACCCTAAACCGTAAAGGCCTAATCGAGAAGCTCACATGTGGAGGTCGGCCCGATCGAGGACGGCTTCGGCCTGAGCTACGGCAGCGACAGAGTGATCCTCGTGAGGCCTGAGTCCATACAAGGGAGTTCCGAAAAATTAGGGGTGCCTTACGGTTACGGATCATACTACTTAGGGTACTATATTTGGGTCTATTATTCTCGGCAACTCCCATATAAGGGTCTCTCGGGCTTACTTAAACGATCATGGGACTTAGTAACGAAGGTAATTATTACCGTAACTACTTATAACTCCAGTTAATGTACGCATAACCATACTTACTGAGTCCCATCATCCTCCAAGTATAGGGCCTAGGTTTTTGGGGCCCAGGGGATTTGTGCTGTAGGGTTTATAGGGTTTCGTGTTCAGGAGTCTAGGGTTTTCTCATAGGGTTTATCGCCCAACCCCGGCACACGCCCCATGCCCCCATCAGCGTAAGAGACCTGTGCCCCAAAAGCTCGCTGAAGCGCCTCTCCACGCGGCTTCCGTAGCCATCGATTTGACGCCAGATAATATAGGGGCCTAAATGGGAGTTTCCGAAAATAGGGGGCCCTAATATATGAACCCAAAAAAGGTACCCTTAATTTTCGGAATTAAATAGCTACCAATATTATTTTGGGGGTTGCGTATTATACGCATAGCACAATGGGGCCCAATAGTCTTTGCTATCAAGGCCCCTATAGTAAGTGCACCAACAAAAGAGAGGAAGGCAGAGCTGTAAATTCCTCAATCCTATGTGGTATTGGGGCGACCCCTTAAACCGGAACCCTTCTTAACCCTACTTCTCGCTTTATGGCGAGGGTCTATATCCCCAAGGGTGCCCTGCTCCTACGGTGGATGATATAAATCCTGCATTACCTTAAGGACCCCAAACTCTGGGAATCATGGTATATTCCTTATTATGGGTAATGCAGGATTTATATCATCAACCGTATTTAGTACTTAAGAAAGCCTTCAAGTCCCAACTCCACAGCTCCGACGGCATCTGCGGCGCTTCGGCTGCAGATCCCGCCGTTGCCGGCGGGGCGGCTGGAAAGCAGGCCGGCGTTTTTTCGGGCGTTTTAGAATCTATTGGGGGTTTAAGTTTGGGTTGTTAGGGCTGTTGGGTGACGGGAGCTACAGATGTCTTGTGCGTTGGTGTAACTGCCAGGCTTTGTGAGGTGGTTCGAATGTCTTCGCAGCTCTTTTGCTTGAAAGCCTGTATCCTGCTATCATAGGGGCTTTTCACTTGGTGTTGAAAAGGTTATGTATGTCAATGTGTATAATCAGATACGTAAGTTTGTTCTTGGTTTCCCCGGTTCCTGTGTGGGTTTGGGGGTTTACGGCTTTTCAGCCTGAGGGCGTAAGTTGAATTCCTTTGCTGCGGTTAAACACAGATTCTTTTCTTTCGGACCCATACAGAAGCGGCAGATATCACTCAGGCTCTGCATGCCATGCTCAGTACAGAAGCCTGAAGAGTAAGTATCCCCTAAAATTCCCGAAGATACTTGTAGGATGCCCCCCTCCCCCCCCCGAACTCCTCATAGAGAAGGGGGCCTGGAAGACTTGGTGGTAGCCTCCATCGGGCTACCTGACCCCAGAAGAGCACAACATCAACACAAGTCCATGTATTCAGGCCCCGACGACTAGAAATGTTGTAACCCTCTATGAAACCTTCATACTGACACTACATGGCCTGATGTTGATACTTCAGCGCTTGTCTTTTGAAGTCCTGTGCCTGATTATGCTGGAGGCTGAGACGACTTAGTATATTCGCTTTTGCTGGCTTCTCGAACTCAGGGCTTGAGCTTTTGATGTTGTGGAAAGTAGAAATTTCGGGTTCAGAAGTTTAGGGCTTCAGGGGTTTAGGAGCTTATGCCTTTAGGGCTTAGCGTTCGGGGTGTTGGCCTGTGGTTTTTTTTTGGAGTGTTTGGTGTTGTGTTTCATGTTGGGGAGTTTAAGTCTCCAAGGAGGTGCGGATCAGACAGGGCAGGGCGCATATTACTACTAAGGTTCAGACCTTTACCAATCTGAGTCTTGAGCCCTATATAGCAACCGTAATTCCCGAGAGCCCTAAATGCCCTGAACTTCGCAAAGTTCCTGATAATCCCTCAAAATCACAACCTGCATGTAAAGTCGAGAAGCCGACCTGAACCCTAAATCATAAACCTGAAGCCATATACTTAAGCCCGAAACCATGGGAAGAGCAGCCGGGAGGTCGGCGTGGACAAGTTTCTTCAGTTCTCGCCGGAGGCGCTTACTTGGTTCTTCCTGTGACTCCAAACCCTACTAAATAGTAGGTTATGACCCCTTAATTAGACTAGGATGCCCAGTAGTACCCTTATTCCCTTTTTGTAGTCCCAGGTTCCTTATAAAGTTACCCAATACCAAAAAGAGAGGCCTTTTTATTCTTAGGTTACTGGGTATCCTAGGTTTTCGGAGGTTCAAAAATGCGGATTGCAGGGACAGATCTATTGAAATCTGGAACTGACATGGAGCCGACACCCTATAACAAATACTCTGCAGAAATGATGCAGGCCCGAGACCCATCGTAATGCGGCGAAAGCCCCGCCACTGCACGTTGAAATACAAAATCCTAAACCCTATAAACATCCTAAATCCTAAACCCTATAGACCCTAAATCATCCTAAACCCTAAATCCTTAACCCCAACAGAGCCGCCCGAGAAAGACCTTGAGTCTCGGAAGACGGACCCTGTATAAACCTGAGACCAGAAAAAGCCCTGGACCCGAAACCCTAGACACCAACGAAACCCTCCAATGGGAAGCCGAGGGCCCTAAACTCTAAACCCCTACCTGAACCCCTTGAAAGCCTACTTGTTTGGTGCTCCTGCTTATGATTTCCCTACACAGTTCGTTACAGAGTTAGGTTTCGGGGTTAGGTTTCTCGGGGTTAAGGTAAACCCAAGACCCAGACGGAGCCTAATTATACACTGCAACTGCGACTCAAGAACCTTAAATCCTACACCCGTTGCCCTAAACCCAACTCCTTAAAATGGAACCGCTATCACTTGAACCCTAAACCCGAGACCCTAAACCTAAATAGACTAAACCCCATACTGCAGATAGAACCATGTATATACGCGGCATAGCAGGAGCTTCCTTATGGTGGCTCCTGGAAACTGCTTCTTGGCATTGAAATCCAGTGCTTTTCTGTGTCTTCAGACACACGGTTGAGGGTGTAGGGTGTTTAGTACCTTAAGCCCAAATAACCTACCTTTTTAGGGACTTATATAAGGAAATCATAATAATAAGGAGCCCTAAAAAGGTAAATTATTCCGGCTTAAGGTAGGGTTTAGGCGGTTCAGGGTTTGGGGGTTGGGGATTTTAAGATTAAGACGTCGGGATTCTGGGCTTTTAGCCTCTAGCTTTGGGCTCCATAGTAGTTCCTTTTGGGGGTTCATATATAGAATCCTATAAGGCAATCCCCAAAAGGAACTACTATGGAGCCTATGGGTAGCTTTGGGGATCCTGAGTTCAGATTTATTGTTTTTTTTTTTTTGTTTCGCAGGTGGTCTGTTTTTGCCGCTTATGCACTGGACTTCCTCGATTTTTCGAGCTCTGTGCCTTGCTTCGCGATTTCTCGGTCTGGGGGTGGAGCGATAAGAAGAAAATTTCCTTGGTGCTCCGACTGTTATTAGAATTATATACTACAGTGCACAACAAAATCGTGTTCTTCTCATTCAAGCCCCTATATTCCGGGCGTGTGCTGTAAAGCCTTGCAGGCCCTTTTCCAACAAACATTGCCCGTACATTAGGCCAAAACTCTTTCATTGCGCCCGCAGACCTGAATCCTAAGCTCTTAAACCATCTTAAGCCTTAAGCCACCTAAACTCTAGACTCCAAAGCCTGTAGGGCCTAGATCCCTAAGCCGAGGCTCCCAAAATCCGTATTAAGCCCTTTAAATCCAAAAGCGTCTCTATCGTCAAACCCCGAATTCCGCGACCTGTATCCCATAAATCGGAAGCTCGCCACCTGCAGGCCGCCCACTTAAGACTTAGGCCTTACCTAAGAGCACAGTAAACCCCATAATGTTGGAAACCGGATTAAGGCGAAATAGTGCTGGGTTTCCCTACACATGATTCTTACGGATTGAGGCTATGGAATTTCCAACTTTTGGGCTTCTACTGTAGTTTGAAAACCGGCACAAGCCTGATTAAAGCGCCCCTCCCTCCCTCCCTCCCTCCCCGCCTCCCTCCTATCAAATCCAAGCCTTGACTGCACCCCCACCCCCTCCCACCTCAGGTGCTACTGCGCCGGTTTCGACTCCCCGCTGGATCAAGAAGCTCAAGATTGTGTCTCTGAAGAGGACTCGTCGAAAGGATTTAGGGCTTGGGTTGTCCAGTTTTCGGGTGCAGGATGTGGGCGCTTAGTTTCTGATCTGAAGATTGAGTAATTGGTATGTGAAATTCCCGAACTTATAGTCCCTGCATACATATAAACATTGGAAAATGTTGTATATGTCGCGTGCATATGTTGAATATTGAATAATTGGTATGTGTAATTCCCGAACTTATCTGCATACATGTACTAAGTGTAAGATGGTGTATATCGCGTGTATATGCATTTACAGTATATATATATATATATATATATATGTGTGTGTGCATGTGTTTTTCTGCTGCACTCAGCAACAAAGCGGTTCAGCTGTGGGATCCGGGGTCCCGCGTCTAGACTTTAGCGCTCAGGGCTCGTATTTAGGGTTCCCAGAGAGCCCAATACCCCTTAATGAAGGAATATGGCTGAAATGATATAGGGCTTCATATTATGATTTAAGCTACATTCCTTAATTAAGGGGTATTGGGCTTTCTGGGTTTGCGGTGTGAGGGTTTGTGTTGTGCATGCCAGCTTCATCTAACTACAGAGTCAAACTGCGGTGGAGCCGATTAGTTCCGTCTTGTGGCTGATCAGTTTGTGGCGATGAGGTTGTCCTGACCCTACAGTAGAAGCCAGAAAGTTGGAATATCATTATCGTAACCCCTTTAAGGCAAACTATAGGGGATCCTACCCTGAAACCATATTCCAACTTTCTGGAGTTCCCTTCAAGCCCTAAGCCTAGTTAAACGGGACTTCTTCCTGTCTCGGCCTTCCTAGGTCCGAGATCACCTTCATTTGTTTCCTGGCCCAACCTAGACCCTAAGGAACCTACCGTTTTAGGGTTCCCTAATATGACTTCTTTATATAAGTCCTTAAAAAGGTAGGTTACGTGGGGTTAAGGAATCCTCCACATGTGCTACAGCGATGACTGCTGATGTTTGTACCTGGTCGAACCCTGAATTTTGGCCTTGAGGTTTCGGGGGTTGGGGTTCGACGAGCAGGGTTCCGAATGTCGGGGTTCAACTGTTCTCGAACTGTCACACATCGATGCTTGAAAGATGGCAACACAGGTTCCTGAGTAGTACCACTTTGCCCTTTGCATTTTAGGGTCCGCTTATTGAATCAGAGTATTGGTAACAAGGACACCCTTTCGATTAATTTACAGCCTACTCAGGAACCTCGTAATAGTAACATCCCTGCTCATCGATGGCCCTGTGAGGGTCTCGACGACTTGCAGCGATCTCATTCGTCCTAAACTTATAACTTCAACATGTCAATGCGAAGCAGCCTGAAATCTGCATGTGGGAATGCCTTCGTCTCACAATTTCAGCTCTTTGCGCTTGAAGCTCTGTCAGGAAGTCCTGGGTAGAAGGGTTTTACGTATCGGCACATGGAAGGGGCTTTTTTGCTTTCGTTCCCACCACTGCCAGGACTTCACCGCGACGGCTGGATTCTTGACCGTCGCAGCCTTTGCAGAAGGATCGAGCCCCAAAGCCCGAAAGCCTAAACCCTGATAAGTCCCCGTGTTGAACCCTTCATAATTCCAGTCTTTTGAAAACACTAATCTCGTATAGGCTTGTAAAGGCCGCAAAAAACTCCTTACAACAGGTTGTGAACCCCATGTTTTTGACCTTCCAGAACCCATACTGTACCCTATATCCTTGTTCCCTAATGTTAACCCCCCCCCCCCTCCACAAAAAAAAACAAAAACACATCGAAAAGCGTCTTTGTTTTTGAGGTTTATTTGTCTCTGTTGTCACTTTGGAGGGCTCTTGCTCTTGCTCTTGCACAGGGTTACGGGCTTTTGCTGCTGCTCTTGCTACGTGTGTTGCTCTCGTTCCTACCCTTGCTCTTGCTCTTGCTGTTGCTCCTGCTATTCGTCCTGCTACTGTTCTTACTCTTGCTCTTGCCTTTGCTCTTACTCCCGCTCTTTCTCTTGCCTTTGCTCTTGCTTTTGCTTTTGCTATGACTCCCGCTCTTACGTTTGCTCGCGCTCCTGCTCTTGCTTCGGAGCCCCTAATGCCATTGGGTTTGGGGTGTTGTGGGGTGTTGAGGGAACCCTTAAAGGAATTCTCACAGGAGCCTTGGAGAATTCGGGTTTGGGTCCACCGGGTGTTCGGGTCTTGGGGCCTGTGGGCTTTAGGGTATAGTCCCTGGAGACCCGATTTGCCATAGCAGGGTCTTCCTTCGCAAGAGATTGCGTAGAGGCGTGTGTACGCACCGAGTCTGTCAATGCTTCCAACTACAGAACAACATGCCGCATCCCTTGCAACATCCTGGTTGCAGTACCCAGACATTAACACGTTCTCCCTAAGCCCAAAGTCCTAGTCCCTATAAAGCCTAGACCCTAAAGCCTGAGGGCGACCCATCGGCCCCATATAATCGTTCCTTGTTGGGGTTGCCTTATAGGATTCTACATATGAACCCCGAAAAGGAACTAGTGTGGGGCCTATGGCCCTAGATCCCAACCCCGAAAGAAGACCTGCGATGACAGTAGCCAAGGTCGCCGGTGCCTTTCCAGGACAGGTCATCAACTGCACGCGGAATGAGGCAAAGGGATCATCAAGAAGCCTGAAGTACTCCAGTAGGAGTTTAGGACCTATGTAACCCCCCCAAGCCCTGGTCTAGCCATGGGGGGTTGAGGGTTTAGTTCTGCGCTTTTTGGAGATGCGGCATTGGTGTTTCGGGCTTTGCGGGTGTATGGTCTCGGAGCAGTTGCAACCTTGGAAGCTTGTTTATTCCGCCTATATGGTTACACTTCAAACCGCTGTTGGATAGCAGCCACTGCACTTGGGCGGCCAACCTCAACCCCAGATGGGTAGTTCTCGAAATTTGGGTCCTTTTTGATTTTGGGGTCCTTTTCATAAGGGTGCCGTCCTGTGTTTGGGATCTTTAAAAAGGGACCCTAATTTAGAGAATTACCCGTAAGAGCCCTAAACTCTAAACCCTAAACCCCCAACCCCTAAAACCTAAACCCTAACCACCTTCCTCCTAAACCCCCGTCCACTAAACCCTAAACCCTAAACACCTATTCCCAAACACCTCCCCCAAACCCTAAGCCCTAAACACCTCCCTAAACCCCTAAACCCTAAACCCCTCCCCCAACCCCTAAGCCCAAAACACCTCCCTAAACCCCTAAACCCCTCCCCCAACCCCTAAGCCCAAAACACCTCCCTAAACCCCTAAACCCCTCCCCCAACCCCTAAGCCTAAAACACCTCCCTAAACCCCTAAACCCCTCCCCCAACCCCTAAGCCCTAAAAGAAGCCCGAAGCCCCTAAGCCCTAAACCACTAAACCCTGAGCCCTAAACCCTTAAACCCTAAACTCTAAACCCCCATAACCCAAGATCCCTGCAGATCCCTTAAAGGAACCCTCAAAGGAACCCTTAAACCCTAAACCCTAACGTGTACCAGGCCTGTGAGTTCAACCTGCCAGGATACAGCCGCAGCCCCGGAAGCATCGGCCGATGCTCTTTAGAGCTTTTAGGGGTTTTGGGGTTTAGGGGTTTAGGGTTTAGCAGTTAGGGGTTAGGGTTTAGGGTTTAGGGGTTAGGAGTAGGCTTTAGAGCTTTAGGGTTTAGGGGTTAGGGGTTAGGATTTGGGGGTTAAGGGTTTAGGGGTTAGGGTTTAGAGGTTAGGGGTTTAGAGGTTAGGGGTTAGGGGTTTAGAGGTTAGGGGTTAGGGTTTAGGGGTTAGGGTTTAGAGGTTAGGGGTTAGTTAGGGGTTAGAGGTTTAGGGTTTAGGGGATAGGGTTTAGGGGGTTCAGGGGTTTAGGGTTTAGGCGGCGGTTTTGGGGCTGATCAGTGTGGTTTCTTAGTAGCTGAGGAGGTCACCTTTAAACTTTTGGGACAAGGTTAACCTCTTCTGGGCTGGGGGGGGCTCATCAGTGAGTCAGGGTTTACTTACCTTTGGTTAGTAAATGGCGGAATGGGTCACAATTACAACTACTATGACTACCGTTCTTCCATTCCCTACTAACCAACGGTGAATTCAGAGTCTAAGGCTTAGTTTTGAGGGAGGAGGATTGGGGTTGAGGGATGTTGAGGGTTTGAGGTCTAGAGATGAGGGTTCCCTGAGAGTTACTACGAAGGTTTTGGGTTTAGAGGTTCGGGATTTATAGGTCTTGGGTTCTAAGGTTTAGGTCTTAGGAGTTGACGGCTTCTAGAGTTTGTTTGGGCTTTTTGTGTCTTTTAGGTGTTGGCTGTACATTTCAGACTTCCAAACAGCATGAAGGTAAAAGCCAGAAAGTTGGAATATGATTATCCTAACCCTTCTATGGTAAATTAAAGGGTATCCTACCATTAATCCATATTCCAACTTTCTGGAGTTCCCTTTGCGGTGGTGGTGCTTGGCTTTAGACGAGGCTTAGGGCTCAGGATTTCATTATCGGGTTGCAGGGCCTTCTGATTCTTTTTCTAGGATGCCCAGTAGTACCCTTATTCCCTTTTTGTAGTCCTAGGTTCCTTATAAAGTTACCCAATACCAAAAGGAGAGGCCATTTTATTCTTAGGTTACTGGGTATCCTAGTTCTGTCGAACTTGCTACGCCCGTAGGCTTTACGAAGGTTCCGCTTTGTTAAGGTGCGAAAAAGGATGGGAAGGCAGTCCGTGCCCCTCTGCCAAAGCCCTGCTCAGACCCTTCATGGCAGTTTGTCATGGTTGCTGGGTCCTTACGGTTGATGATATAAATCCTGCATTACTATTACCCATAATAAGGAATATACCATAATTCCCATACTTAGGGTCCTTAAGGTAATGCAGGATTTATATCATCCACCGTTATCACAGGGTCGGCCCGAGCCCTAGCCCACAACAATCAGTTATCTAAATAAGCAGCCCCGAATGGGAGAGTATAGTTTCAAACCCCAAACCCTCAACTTATGAACGTCTTCAGGGCCTATGGCTTTCAGGCTCGGAGAACCCAACCGGATCGAAGTGGCTGCCTTTCGTCTCCATTGCAGTTCTTTTTTTTGGGAATCCTTTGCATAAAGCTGGGGAGATCAGAAACGGAAGTACAATGGATTATAGGGAATTGTCTACTTTGTGCTGCATTTTGGTATGTTACGGTATTGTTTGGGAGAGCTGTCGTTGTCTACGATGGTGCTTCAAAGAACATCAAACTCACCGAGAACATGCACCTCAATGGCGCTAAGATGTCCAAGTTCTACAACGAGCATAAGGTGCTCAAGAAGAATCAAGACCAGCGGTTCTTCAAGCTCACCGCCGAGACCATCAACACGGTTGACCAAAATATCCTCAAGGAGGCCGAGTTCAACTAGAAGCGCGCCAACACTCTCGCTGTGAATTTCTTCAGCGAGTGTGGCATGTCTTGCTCTAAAGATGGTGAAAGCTCAAAGAAGCACAACAATGCATAAACAACCTCTGAAAAGATACCTTGCAGTAATAGCGTCTGCTTGTGACATGTGCCAATTTGGCAACCTAAGCTGATGCATTGTTGATTGAATTCATGTCCTCCCTGCGTAGCATTTGTGCTTAAATGTCGGTAGTGTTCTGCTTTGTTTGTTTCAGGATTGGTTGGTTTCATCACATGAACACGGATGCAGGTAGTGTGTTGCAGGGATGTTAGCACCTTATGAACTAGAGGACGGTGACCAATAAGTCACGGGCTTTCCAACCTTCTAGCCCCATAGTTAAGATGTGCGAACTTGATTTGGGTTCCTTAACAAGAACCCGAGCTTGCGAAACTATCAAAGGCCTCAATGCCGGAGTGCACAAGATCGCCATCCGTGACGAGAGCAGCGGCCACTTGGTACACAGTTCGTAGAGTTCTGGGCCGCGTTTTGGTTTGGCGTTTAGTGTTAATGAAGGTGGTAGATTTATATGGAGGTTCTACAACCTGATAAGCCACTCCGAGCCCCAATCGAAAAAATACCCTACACTCAGAAGCTCTAGAGCCTGCACCCCACGGGTCTATGCCGAAAATTCCAAAATAACCCGAACGCTACAAGTTTAAACTCCAAACCGACTGTAAACCTTAAACACCGAAGACCTAAATATTCAGCCTGCACTTGTGAACATGTGCTCCAACGCAGTCCCTTCACCGGCTTATGCCAATCAATACTGTTGCCTTTCCCATAGGCTCCATAGTAGCTCCTTTTTGGGATTACCTTTTAGGATTCTAAATATGAGCCCCAAAAAGGAACTACTATGGAGCCTCTAGGTATAGGCAAAATCAACCCCCATACCCTTGATCTAGTCGAGAACGGTTCCTGAGGATGAATTTGAGCAGGATCTACCCAAAGGCCCCAAAGTAGTTCCTTTTTGGGGTTCGTATATAGACTCCTATAGGGTAATCCCAAAAAGGAACTACTTTGGGGCCTCTGGTTACATCGGAGATTGAAAAACATGGGGGTGGGGGCTTGCAGAATTAGCAACCATATCGCCTGAGAGTCCCCACTTTAGGGGCCTAATTAGTTACCAATACTGTTTTGGGGTGGTTCCTTATGATAATAATTATAGTATAATGGGCCCCAAAACCCTATTCTAATTGTTAAGCCACCTATAGTGTATAACTCTTGACCGTAGGGCGATCCACACACACTATAGGGAAAGTACTACCGATCGCGCAGACCTCTGCAATCCGTTTTTCCAAACCTGGTTGAGTACTTGGGCGGGCTTCCGGGTTTTAAGTTTCGGATTCCGATTTTAGGGTCCGCGATCATCCTTCCGGGGGGGGGGTTGGTGTTCCTTCTCGGAAGTAGGGTCTTGGTTTGGGTGCAGAAGAGCCTATCCGTAAGTCTGCGGATGCTAATGTGGCCCGGTTGTGAGGCTTGGCCATAGAGTTGTCATACCCAGATCATCCTTACGTGTAGCGGATATTAAGAGCCATCTACCAGATCTACCAAGTATTGACAGCTATCCGTCCTACGGTACCAGGGCACCAGAAGTAGAGTGGTCATCGCAGCAGCACACAGCTCGTCAGAGTGTAAGCACGTGTAAGCCGTGAGCCCAATTTCCTAAAGCCTTGTAATCGTATGAGAGCATCGAACTTCTACGCCCACTCGAAGGAAGTTGCGGCGACTGTCCCTCTGGCATGATTTCGATTAAAGCTGGTACAATTTGATGCGGGGGTTTAGGGTTTAGGGTTTACGCTCTATTCGGCAGCAGGGGGTTGCCTGGCTCTGGCTTGACGCTCGGAAAGGTGTCTTGACCCGCAGCCCAACACTATGTTGGTTGCGGTGATTGCGATGGTCTTCCTTGTGAGGGTAGGAACAATAATTACTTCTTTTGGGAACTCCAAAGCAGCCACGCTCAATCCCCATGTGAGTTCACCCATCCAGATGCGGGTTCGGCGGTGTGCACCAAAGCTGTAAACATCCCGAAACCATGGCTAACCCGCTGGATGGCTAGGATCGTTAAGTTATGGTATCAGCAGTACAAGTATACAGTCGCATTAGAACTAGCACGAGTAGGAATATGAATACAAGTATCAGCGTTCTCAAGCGGGAACTGAGGCAACCTCACGCTGCACAATCGCCGCCTCACATAGTGCAAAAGGCCACAAACCCTAAACCCAAACCCCTAAACCCCTAGGCCCCTCTATTAGCCTCGGCCAGTCCTGACCATCGACACTGCCACCCGGCGCCGTCGTGATGTTGCAGCAAATCCGTGGCCGCCTCGGTTCGTTCTGCTTGGAGGCTGAGGTCCTACCTGGGGTGGTTGTCAAAATTATGGTCCCTTTTTGGGTCCTTATTATAATACGGCACCGAATATTTGAGGTACCCAAAAAGGGACCATAAATTTGACAACCACCCACCTATGGTTTCCATCAAATTGTAGTTCCTTTTTTGGGTTAACCAAAACCTCTATTATAGGATCCTAGCCATAAAACTGGTTAACCAAAAAAAGGAACTACAATGGAGACTCTGGGTAAACCCTACTTGAAACCTTAAGCTCTGACGGGAAATCAGCCCGAAGGCCCGAAGACTGCAAAGCTTAAGCCCTGAAGCATTGGACCCTGCAATCCCTATAAGGGTCCGCCCAAAAGGGATCTACGATCTAGAGGAGTTCCTTTAAGTTAAAGTGGATCTACGGGGTTCTGCATGTGAAGCATAGAACCTGCAATCCCACAATGAAGACTGTAGGTATACTACCATCTTGAACCGTCGGCTCCGTAGGCGGTAAACCCCAATCCTCCAAGATTTTAGCCACGAGTTCTCACTTTCCCAGAGACTCCAATATCCCTTAATTAAGGAATATACCTTAAATCATATAAGGGATCCTACTATAATTTACGGTATATTCCCTAATTGAGGACTACAGTCTTGCGGGGCGGAGCTGTTTAGTCATAGGAGGCCAAAAGGGGTTTGAGCCTATGAGGGTTTAGTAGGGATTAGGGTTCCCATAATAGGGTTCATATCAAGGAATTCACTTTTGGGGGTCAAAGACCATAATACATAAGGCCTCTGAGCTATTTTGAGCCCAAGGGTATTCCCCAGGCCGCTTCGAACCCTGCAGTAATCCCCATACAGCTGGAAACCGGGTTAAGGCCAAATAGTGTTGGGATTCCCTATACTTTACTCTCAGGGATTGAGGCTATCGGGTTTCCAACTTTTGGGCTTCTGCTCTAAAGAAGCCTTCGGCCCTGGAGGCTTCAATGCACAGCTTCAGAACAAATACACTACTCCATGTGCCCATATAGTGGGTACCTAGCCCTTAAAGGGGTCCCTATATGGGTACTTTAAGGCCTATATAAGTACCTACTATATGGGTACATGGAGCCTTTGGGACAGTGCTGAACGCGAGATCGCCCGCTTGAAGCTTACAGTCCCAGAGGGTCCAGAAGTATGACATACCTTAGAAGGGGCCCCCACCCCGTAATAGTGGCATAATCGGAATATAATAGGGCCCTAATATAATCCTTATAGTCACTATATTACAGGGTGGGGGCAACTTCTAAGACATGCCACTATGAAAGCAGGTTTGGGGTTAAGGGTCATGTGGAGATCGAAACCTACTTCGTCCTATACAGGTACTTGGCATCCTTTGGGCAGGGCGGGGCCACTGCGGTCTTCTTTTCCGTCCTATGGACAGGTAAACCCTAAACCTCAAACTCTCCAAACCTACTTTAAACCCCGAAGAACCTACCTTCTTCGGGTTCCTCCTTCTGGTTTCTTTATGGAAATCCTTAAAAATGTAGGTTCTTCGGGGTTAAGATACACCCTCAACCACCCAGAGATCCCAATATCCCTTAATAGGAATATGCCTTAAATTATAGGGGCCTTAATATGATGGTTTAAGGTATACCCCTTAATTAAGGAATATACCTTAAATTTTGGGGGCCATAATATTATGGTTTAAGGTATATTCCCCCAAAGGGTCCCAGGTACCGATATAGTAGAATGTAGGGTTTCCATATTAGGAATTATTATGAATTAGGGAAGTATCCCCCATAACAGCACATAGGACCCTTTTGGTCCTTAATTAAGGGATATTGGGATCTCTGGGCAGGTACACTCCAACTGGAGTGACGCAAGATGGAGAGCTGGCCTTTGCAATCGAGCCCATCCAGGAGGGAGTCGGCTTTTGCCTGGGGATCCTTAAAGACGAAATGAGCCCTAAAAGGGTTTAAGGTTCATTTACCATTGTAGGGATTCATAGTATATGGGTATAGGGCCCCTACTTTTAGGGGTCATTTGGTCCTTCAGGGTTAGCGTTTAGGACTTCCTGTTTTGCCGTTTGGGTCTTTGAGTTTAGGGTTGAGGGTGTACGGTTGGTTTAGGGTTTAGGGGTTTAGGGTTTACGGTCTTTGGGTTTAGGGTTTGGGGTTTAGGCTTTAGGGTTTAGGGGCTAAGGGATTAGAGATTTGCTGTAATGCCGCACTTCAGGAGTGGAAGTTCAGCAACAGAGATGTATCGGGTTCTCGGTGCTTGCTTTGGCGGCATGCAGCAACGGTGCGACCGTTGAAAGCCATCCACAATCCACAGAATGTCACGGTTCGTGTTTTTGAGGGCGTATAGGGTTAAAGTTAGATTCCCACCCCTGGAGCTGTGCTTGCAGAGGCTTTGGATGCCTTCGTGATTTGTTTTTGCGCTTCTTGGCTGCATGCAGCAGCGGAAATGTCGTAGGATTGAAGCGGACCACCAGGTATTGCCGCCCGAAGTTTTCATGTTGCAGGCCTTCACTCAGCTTCCTGATTGCTACGTACCAGCTAATTCCGATGCCTGCAACCACAATGTCGAAGCATCCCGGGTGAGTGTATAGACAGTCTACATCAAAGTATCAATCAGCCATATAAGTATACTCTGTAGAGTTTAGGGCTTTGGGTGCCTCAGTTTTGGTTTCGGGTTCTAAGGTCTTGTGGTTTGGGGCTGTAGGGCTGGAGGCCTTGGGGCTTTATACGGTTGGGAGACTTTTCGCCAGACCTTTCGACGATTATTGCACTGCCCGGGTCCAATCAGGAATCTTGGGCCTATAGGAAGCCCTTTGTAGGGACGCATAAACCTTTACGTTTGAGTGCACCGAAAGTCAGGGCACTGAATGCTACACGTGCTACAAGCCTATGGTTTGATGCCACAAATGGGTCAAGAAAGGCCTCGCAACCGGTCCCTCAAAGCGCAGAGAGAGGCTGGGGCACTGGCGGCCCTGCACTTTTTGCTGGGAACCCGCTTTGATTTGGCTTTAGTGGGTGGAGGTACTGGCCGATTCCCCACAGCGTCTACGTACCAATTTCAAAGTTCCTTTGACTTAGGCCTCTGCTGCCGGGCTTAGAGTTTCTTGGGTTTAGGGTTTAGGGTCTAGGGTTTAGGGTTTAGGGTCTAGGGGTTTAGGGTCCGTTAATTCCCACCATGATGCAAAGACTAACTTGTTGGTGTTTGGGGCACTCAGCCCCTAAGTCGAGTCAGACTGGAGAGTATCTTCCATATTGGGTTTTAGACACCAGAGCAACTATGCCGATGCTGAACCCCGAACCCCAACTGCTAAAGCCTAAGCCTTACAGCCTCAACCCTAAACCTCAACTGAACGCTACATCGTAAAGTGAACCGTATCTTAACTGAACCCATCCCCTAAGCCAAATAATACCTAGCAGCCACTGATTACCCTTAGATGGTAGATGAGGCCTTAGAGCATTATGGGTTTGGGGTTTGGTGGTTTAGGGTTTAAGGGTTTTGGGGTTTGCGAGGGTTTTGGTTTAGGGTGTAAGGGTTTGGGGTTTAGGGTTTTGAGAACAAAGACTAGCTCAAGGCTCCGTCACCTGGTGGAGGTCTCTGCAGCGTGGGGACCTCAGCGAGCAGTTTGGAGCCACCGAACCTAGTTTCTCTACCAATGGGGACTGAGTACCTATGTATTTGCTATAACAGCCAGCGCGTCTACATATTGGAAAAACGGCTGTCCACAGCAGGGAGCGCACAGTAACAACTTTCATATTATGTTTTTTGTTGCTTGATGATGACGTTCGAGGTCCCCAATCTGCACCGTACACACTGGACAGGGTTTGGGACGATGCCAGTTTCAGGTTCGAAGCGTTAAGGGGGATATATGCGCATGATGAGAGTGCAGGTGCATCGTGGCGGGTCGGGTTCGTGGCTCCTCTCAGCCATCGGGTTTGCTTTCGGTGCTATTTAGGGTTTAGGGTTCCAGGTTCAGGGCTTGTGGACCGCAATTGTTGCGGAAGGTAGCGGCTGTGGTTAGTGACATTTCTTCCAACTTCTGGTCTGCTACCGGATCTTTGCTACAGCAAGCACTCCTTCCGCAGCAACTCCTTCCGCAGCAACTTGATCGAACCATCAAATGGCGGGAACCTGTGTCTACTAGCGTGTATCCGAAACTGTGCTTCCTATAGTTCTATAAGCTCGCTAGAAGCGGGGATATGACTGGAACTAAGCGAAGATCGTAACAAAAGCCCAATCCCACTCCATGTAGGATCTGACCCCGCTGTTTCACCCGAAACTCCTTTCCTGCACCCAAGATTGTTTGGGTTTTCACCCCATCAACCAGAGAGCCGAAACCCCTGAACCTTACTATAGGGGCCTAAACAATTGCCTATACTGTTTTGGGGGTTCCTTATTATGTTTAATTATAGTATAATGGGCCCCAAAACCCTACTCTAATTATTAAGGCCCCTACAGTAGACAACTCCTGATTGTGTAACCTATTTACTTCTCTTCACGTTCTTAATTCTACAGCCAGTCTCGTCAACCCAAGACGTACTTAAGCTGGCTGTGCAATCTCTCAGGCAAGCAGCCTCTCCACGTACCATCAGACCATCGGCGTCTTGGACGCCGGGGGTCTCAGACAGTTATGGTCCACGGGGCTTCATGCGCCTGCAACCCGACGTGAGCACCTCTGCTGCAGAGTCCCCTGCGGACTGCTTGGAGTCTGGAACTTGTGCCGGGTTTGGGGGTGTAGGTTATTGGCTTGTTGCTGAAGGCGCATGGGTCTCGGGAGTTGCTTGAAAAGCGGCACAGTATGTCTATCATAAGGCCAGTCCCTCCCGTGGTTGTCGATGGTTGTCGATACTCTTGATGCACATGACTTGGCGTTCGGTTTGTTCTGGCTGAGTTAAGGTTTATATAATTTGAAGCTTACAGTGCGTGTGTGTGTGTGTGTACATATGCTACCCGAGTTCGGGACTTGAAGATGTTGGTTAGGTGCCAAGTGAACTACAGCTACGTTGCTCTGTGCTCTGGTATCGTACAACTGCAGGATCAGGACTTCGTCCCACTCAACCTATCCACCATTTCAGTCGTCATGCTGCCCGGCGAGACGCAAACAACTGCCTAAATCTAACCCATACACATGTCGTAGACTTCCCCACGATGGACGGCGTGTTCGGTGGCGCTGCCCGGGAAGGCATGCGAAGTAAGCAGCCCTCGTGCAGACAATCGTGGGATGTGCATCCTGCAGAAAGCAGTCCAGCTCAGCGCTCCATCAAAGGTTCACCGAACCCTACCTAGAGTCTCCACTGTAGTTTTTTTTTTGGGGGGTGACCTTCATAGGATCCTATACATAAAGTTGGTTAAGCCACAAAAGGAACTACTATGGAGGCTTTAGGTTAAACCCCAAGTTGGCGTGGACTTAGTTGTGATTAGGGTAACTATACTGTTGACTACTTAGATCCTGCCAGTAGGGCGCTGGCTTCCTAAATAGAAGGTTCCTAGCCACATAAACTGCAACCCAGTAACCAATTATCTGGATGGCAGCTAGATTTAGGGATGGCTGACAAGTGGGCAAGCTCAAGCTTGAAGTCTGCCTTGGTTTGCAGTTCAGAGTTTAGGGCCAAACTTAGGGCAGTGGGACCTGAGTTTATGGTGCCTGGTCTGGGCGTGGACTTCGCAGTCTAGTTGCTTTAGGGGTACTTAGATATAATGTTTTAGTTTTTTGTTATTATAATCCCTAAGAGACAGCCAAAATTATGATTTTTGCTAGGGTTCTAAGTTCAGTCTAGTTGCAATGTGCACGGACTTCTTCACGTTTTGCCATCTCTCCCGCTGCTGGTTTGGGCTTGAAGGGGTCTGATCTATATGCGTGGTCGTCAAAATTATGGTCCCTGTTTGGTTCCCTAAATAGTACGGCACCTAATATTTAGGGTACCCCAAAAGGGACAATAATTTTGACAACCACCCATATGTCGTGTGGGCGATGGGACGCGGTGACATTTCGACGGTTCGAATACCTTTTTCTCTTTGAGAGTGGTGCTGTCGTCTCTTTGCAACAATGAACATGTTGATGATGTGTTCATGACCCGGGCTCCAACCTATAACACTATAGTAGCTCTGAAGCAGAAGCAGCTTGCTTCAATTGATGTGCACGTGGCGTGCTTGGATGTGCTTGCCGGCTGCGGCTCTTGCCCTTGAGTATATGTCACCAGCAAACCCGACAGCGTTATGAGCACCCCTAAACTTACTCCCTCTATCAAAAGCCCTTTGACCCCCTTACAAGACCCTGACAACCCCTCTGGGCGTCAAACCTAAAACCCTAAAGAGACCCTACACCCTAGACACCCTAAACCCCAAACCCTTCCAGCACCCCCCAAGGGCCCTTTAACAGAGGGCTTATGGCCCTTACTTGTGGGTATTTGGGGTATATTAGAGGGTAGTTCGGGGGTCTAAAAACCCTGGCCCTATAAGCCCAAAGCCCAACTATTTGGATTCTTGTGAGGTGCGGGGCGCAACGCCGAACCAACAGTTCAGCTGTGGGAGGCACTGAGACTTCGACGGTTTACCAAGGGTTCCTATATATGCGCAGTTGTATAAGGATTTCTTAGAGGTTCCCGAAGCAAGGGTTCTCTAAGGATTCCTGAAGATTCGTATAGTAATTCAGATTTTCTTCCTGTCCTGCAAGATGTTCGAGTTGTGTACTGATTCCTTCGAAGGTGGTTCTTACAAACCCTCTATGGCACTCCGGCAAGAAGGTTCTGAAAGGAGGTTGTCAAAGGTTGTCCTTCGTGATGCTGAGCCTCTATACCCATAGGCCCCAAAGTAGTTCCTGTTTGGGATCACCTTATAGGATTTTATATATGAGCCCCAAAAAGGAACTACTTTGGGACCTTTGGGTATAAACCCTGACCATAGCACAGGAGCCTGTTGGGGGCGACTTTGAACCTCAAACTTAAGTTATGGATTTTTTGGGTTTAAGGTGTAAAGTTTAGGGCGTTTGGCAGCCCTAAACCCTGAACCCTGTACCCTGAACCCTAAACCCTAAACCCTGGACCTAAACCCTAGATCAGGGAGTTCCCAAGAGCCTCAAAAAAACCCTAAACATTACTAGGTAGGGCTTTGGGACATTTTAGATTTTCCCTTATTAGGCTTTTAAGAGGATCTTATTTACTAATATTTTTTCAAAGGCTTTGAAAGCCCCACCTAGATTAAGCCCTACGGCGAACCCGCGATCTGCCCTTTGTTACTAGGCCCTGAGCTCGTGCCAAGTGTTCGGGACTACTTATTAAAGGATCGTGGGACTTAGTGACTACGGGAATTAAAGGACTACAACAAGGCTGACTATAAGGGGTCTATAAGAAGGGTTTGGGGAGTACTTAAAGGATCATGGGACTTAGTTACTACGGTTTTTATTCGGGCAACTATACTTTTGATTACTTATAACCCCAATTAAGGTACTTATAACCGTATTTACTAAGTCCCATGATCCTCCAAGTACGTGCACCTTCTAACCCTGGACCCTAGGCATCTAAGGACTCATAGAGGTAGTTGTCAAAATTATGATCCCTTTTTGGGTCCTTATTATCATACGGCACCTATTATTTAGGGTACCCAAACAGGGGCCATAGTTTTGACAACCGCCCATATATTAAGGCTTTTTGGGCCTAAAGACCATACTATATCAGGCTAATGGGCTATTTTGTTGCCCAGGGTAAAGGGTACACAGAGGGTCCCGGCAAGCCCTAGACCAACCAGTTCCGACAACTCCCTGGTGCAAGTGTAGGGAATGGGGGAATGGATCCCCTCCAACAAGTCTCCAGAAATCCATTCTCCCATTCCTGACTAAGCACCAGGGAGTCAAAGTTGTTGTCTCAACCCCAAAACCCTACGACCCCTGAACTTCCCTAGTAATACACGGGTCAAGGAACATTAGCAATCCACCCTGAAAACCCTACGTATGTAGTTGCAGCCTGGTCTACTCCAAGGCCCTATGGTACGCACTGAGGCCCTATATGAATTACAGAACCCTGTAAAAGAGCCTTATTCTCAAAATGATGAAGCCTGCTAAATCCCCGATATAGAACTCCTCAAGCCTCATGGTCAAAGCAAGGGGTGGCCGCTGCACCCTCGAAATCACCGGCCGCGGTCTAGGCCGGCCAGATGAATGTCGTTTTGTCGAGCCGGATGCACAATAATGGGGTACTGTTGAGGTTTTCTGCAAGGGCTTCTTCTAAGGGGCTTGCAGCTTTATCAACGATTAGTCTTTTGATTTCCTCATTTTCTTCACACATGTTTATCATTTTGCATCGCCCTTCAACCCTATAAGAGGTTCACCAAGAAGGTATTTCTCGGCAAGGACTGAGCCTCTGCTCGTAAGCCGTAGGTGTACTCTGCAACTTACTTCCTGTTGTTGCCGGGTTCTTGCTTCTCTGACCCTAACGGCCCCAACCAGAGAATCAACTTTGTCAGTTCCAAAAAGAGCTACAGTGTGGTGGTGAGTGCTGCAGGAGTTGTCGTTTCGAGCTCCCGCAGCATCGTGATTCAGGTGAAGAGCTGGTCATGTAGGAACGCATAGGAATTGAAGTTGGTGCCCTAAGTGATGCTTCGTTTTGGCATGTCCCACAGCCTTGGAGTCAAGAGCGCTTAAAAGATCTAGTAAGTCATGCTCAGGGTTCCTTTATATCCCAAGTTTGACACTGTGGAGCCTGAACCCTAAACCCATCCCTGACCGTGCAACTTTGATGCGCCCTGTCCTGGAACCAAGAAGCGAAAGGAAACCGAGTAAGCAGTTACCCGTCCTCAGCACCGGCCGCAGCGGTGGGCATGAACAAGAAGAATCCCTAAGCCGCAATCCGTGCTTTCAGCCCCTAATCCCTTTGGGACCCTTCAATACGACACCCACCGAAGTAGTATCTCAGGCGTTTCCGATCGCGTCTGAGCCTGAGAGTCCAAATCTACATTTGCTACATGCCTGAAGGATCCAGGTATCCAGGCATGAGGTTCTCGGGGTAGGAGTAGTATAGTGGTGGTAGGAGTAGGAGGAGGAGGAGGAGGAGGAGGTTAGTCTGCGGCAGATTACTCGGCGCTTCGGTACAGTTGTGCGAAGACCCTGGGAGGTTTGCTCTTGGTTGGGATTTTGGAGTCTGGTTGTTTTCAGGGCTCAGAGTTCGCAAACAAAAACGGCTTGCTGTGGGATAAAGTAGGGCTTTGGTTGGCTGGTTGGTTAAAACCCTAAAGCCTAACCCCTAAAGCTTCTTCGGGGTCGTCTTGTGCTTGGGCTTTGGGGAAAACCGAATTGCTGTATGTTTCGGTGAACGGTCTGATTCCAGAACATGAAAAAAGCCTAACCTGCAAACCAAGAGCCTGCACCCTAGTCCCTGATGGTTTAGGGTTTAGGGTTTCCTAGTCCCTGATGCTTTAGGGTTTAGGGTTTCCTAGTCTCTGTTGCCCGCTTCCTATAGTATCCATTGTAGTTCCTGTTTCGAGTTACCTTGTAGGATTGTAGGATCTAAACAAGAGTTGACGAAGCGGGAACTACAATGGAGACTAGAGGTAAGAAGCCCTGAGACTATTTAGAGGAGTTTAGACTAAAGAGTCCACTTGTGGAAGTCATGAATTCTTGATGTGCTTCCTTAGGCCTAAAATGTACTCTGACTCAACCCTACCCCAAAGAACCCATAAAGCCCTATACCCTAAACCTTATCCCACAGAACCCATAATCCCTAAGGCCCATACCCCAAATCCTAAAGCCTCAAACCCCGCCCCGCAATCCCTCAGGCATTTCCAAAAACCTAAAACCTAGCCCCTGAAGCCTGAAACCTCTAAACCCTTGCAAAACGGAGTTCAAACAACAAAACGTACAGAGCCCATAATAAGGCCCTAAACCCTATAGGCCTTAAACCCTAAACCCTAATTCCTAAACTCCTAAACCCTAAACCCTAAAATCCCAAACCCCTAAACCCTAAACCCTAAAGCACAAGAGCCCTCCAGGTGAAGATCGTGAACTCCACTACGCTCTGTTCAGGGGAGCCACAGGAGACGGGGCCGGAGACCCTGCGTTTAGGAGTTTTGGGTGTAGGGCTTAGGGGTTAGGGTTCAGAGTTTGGGGTCTACTACTACTACTACTACTACTACTACTACTACTACTACTACTACTACCACTACCACTACCACTACCACTACCACTACGACTACGACTACGATTATTACTACTACTACTACTACTACTACTGCTGCTGCTGCTACTACTACTACTACTACTACTACTACTACTACTACTACTACTCCTAGGGTTTAGGGGTTAGGCTTTAGGGTTTAAGGGTTGAGGCGTTTCAGTGGTTTAGGCTTTCAGGGTTCAAGGGTTTAGGAGGTTGTCGTTTAGGGATGTATGGTTTTAGGGGTTTCGGGTGAGTTTCCGAAAATTAGGGGTACCGTAATTTGGGCTCCTTATAATAAGGATCCTACCATTTAGGGTACTATTTTAGGGTCCCCTGTTTTCGGAAACTCCCATTTAGGGCTTCCGGGGTTTTGGATCTGGGGTTTATGCATGCGATCTTCCGGACAGTCGAAGCAACCTCTTGGAGATTTGATTACAGAATCACGACCATCCAAAACCAGAATCCAAAATGCACCTAGAGGGTCATACCCTACTTATTTTTTTCTAGGGCGCCTACTTTTTAAGACAACAGATCAGCACCATAAAACTAAGTATCCTAAAAAAGGGGTAGGGTATGAGCCTCTAGGCCGAACCCAAAATCCGAATCCCAGCTTCGGGAACCTTGAATCATAGGGATCCTTAGGGGTGTAGGGGGGAGGGGTGTAGGGGACTATATTTCCTTAAACAGGCCTTATTAGTCCTTATTATGGGCCTTAAGGCCCCCTACCCCCCCTCCCCCTACACCCCTAAGGATCCCTATGATTGAACCTGGGGCACCCTGGAGTTCTAGACCCAGGGCCCTATTATATTCCTATTATACCACTATTACAGGGTGGGGGCCCCTTCTAAGGTATGGGCTTTGGGACTAAACTTAAAGACAGCGGGGCTTCGTTTTAGGGTTTAGGGTTTAGTGTTTATGGCAATCAACCGCTTGTTTTAAGCATTTGAAAGACTGATGCCCGTCTTTGAGGTTCTTCAAGTCCTTGCTCCTCGCTGACCCGGCACCAGCGACCTCCAGTACTTTGGCCAGGCCCCTTTGCTGTGCGTGGGGTGCAGGGTTTCCGGGCTATATGACTTTCGGGTGTGAGGCGATGGGACGTAAAGTGTGGGCTGAAAGTTCCAAACCTTATAAGTTTGAGGCCGTGTCTTATTTTTTGGCTATTGGGCATACATCATGCATAAATACATGCATGCATGCATGCATGCATGCATGCATACATAGATACATATGTATTCATACATCTATTTAGCGATGAATTTTCGTGTTTGTTTTTTTCAGTCACGTTACATGTATGCTTTTCGCTTATCCACAAGCGGTCTTGGCAGCTCAAGAGACACCCTAAACCCTCTACATGTTTAGAACCCCTATAGATCACTTGAGAGGACCCCTAAACCCTAAACCCTATACCTTTATAGAATCCCTAAAAATCCCTTTAAAGGACCCCTAAACCCCAAAGATTTTCGGTTCCGGGCCTCGCACTTGACGGAGGATGAGACTTAGGGGTTTAGGGTTTAGGGGTTTAGGGGTTAGGGGTTTAGGGTTTAGGGTTTAGTGGTTTAGGGTTTTGGGGTTTAGGGGTTGACCACAATCCTAACTAGACCCCCAAACCTCAAATCCCCCGAGACCCTGAGGCCCGATTTCCCAGAAGCTTCAACCCTGAGCCCGCACTTTAGGGGCTTAAATATTACCCATACTATTTTGGGGGGTTCCTGACTACTATTTATAGAATAGTAGGGTATACCCCCAAGCCCTATTCGAAATATTAAGGCCCCTACATTAAGCTTCGAGCCTGAAGTTACTAGAACGTCTTGGTTGGTGTGGCCTGGTTGTGGCGCATGTGCGGTTGTCCGGTTCATGGTTCAATGTAGACGCATGGACAGTTGCCGAGCTTTTTTGGGTGTTCCTTGTTACAGTTGTAGGATGATATACCCCCAAACCTGTTCTCATTAGTAAGGTCCCTACATCAGGTTGGTGGCCGGAAGGTACTGCATCGCTTCTCATGTGGGTCAAGGATAAGCCGGGCTTCTCCACTTGCCTTTGAAGTCTTATCCTGTTCGTAGCAACAGTCAGACTGCTAGCATAAGCGACATTTTGATCGGTCGCCAGCACTATCACAATCATATGCATATAAAAGACGTCACACCCGCCCCAATTCCTTGACCCTTAGCCCTGCGCCCGAAGTTCTAAACCCGAAACCCTCGTCACAACCGGAATCTCAAGCCCTAACACCCTACCTAGTCTCCATCGTGATTCCTTTGTTTGGTTTAACCAGTTCCGTGTCCAGGATCCCATCAGCGAGCCCGGCAAAAAGAAGCTACAAGGGACACTATATAGGTAAACCCAGTACGTTAGCCTTAAAACCCCTAAACCAAGGCACTTAAGGCCCTCGACCTTAAACCCTAATACAGGGGTCTGAATAATTAGAATATGGTTTTGGGGTAGATTATAGAATCATTATAATAAGGGCCGCCCAACACCCTCTTCTAGTTGTTGATGTCCTTACATTAGCACCTCAGACCCTCCAACTACCTTCTACTATACACCACATGCACACCATTGGGGACCATAAATTCTCTATTAAAGGGCTGTTGGGGGGTCCTGGCCAAGCCCTGCACTCTAAACCTGTAATGCCCGGCCAACTTGCAGGTTTTCCTTGGGCCAAGTCAAAGCGGGAGGTGGGGTGGCCGCGGTTAGGGCTTCGGGGTTTTGGTGGTTTTAGGTTTTTGGGTGTTTCGGGCTTAGGGCTTCGAAACTTTGCCAGGTTTTTCTTGTTGTTTTTGAAGTAAGTTTTTGGGGCTTTCACTCAGTACCCATACTGAGTAAAGTAACCAGGAACTGCGATGGAGAATATAGGTATATAAGCCCCAAGAGATCCCTCCCAACCCCACGGACGGCTAGGAGCGGTGAACCCTATATACCGACCTTACGTTGCAGCTCCTTTTTAAGGTGACTTTGCTTCCGTACTACAGGATCCTGGCTTAGCCATCGGAATGGGATCGAGGTCACTTTTCGAAACCAGTGTTATTGTGCGTTTTGCGGGTGCTGTTTGGCTGTGGGTGATACCTTGCTGCGAACAGCAAGTGCTTGAGTGAATTCGCGAGCAAACAAGCCAACAAACACAAGCTCACCCGCAGCAATGGCCGTGATGTCGTTGTCGATGCTGAATTTGATGATGTTCGTCTCCACTGTCATTGCCACCCCATTAAGATTTGACAACAATGCCATCAGCAACCTCAAACGTGACCTTTAGATTGACAGCTACTTTGCAACAAGTGCGCATGATACACTAAGCAAACATATACTGTCACTCCTGATGTAAATGGCGGCATTCCCAAGTATTCGAGCTACTTGGATGCAACACTCCCACAAGACCCTTCCCACATTACTCACGACCTACAAAAACCCACAACTGACAACACCTTCCAAACAGTTCGTGAGGTGCCTAAACCATCCTAAACCCTAAACCCTAAACCCCAAAAACCCAAAAACCCTAAAACCCCTAATCCCTAAACCCTAAATCCCTAAACCCTAAGCCCTAAACCCCAAAACCCTAAAACCCTAAGCCCTAAACCCTAAAACCCTGAACCCTAAGCCCTAAACCCCAAAAGCCCTAAACCCTAAACAGCCATGATAAACCCTGAAGCCGATACACTCCCTAAAACCCCAACAGCGCGAAGCCCAGAAGTCAAAGCGGAAAATCCCAAAACCTTGGGTTTAGGGTTTAGGGTTTAGGGTTTAGGGTTTAGGGTTTTGGGTTTAGGGTTTTGGGTTTAGGGTTTAGGGTTTAGGGTTTAGGGACTAAGGTAAAAGCCAGAAAGTTGGAAGATGATTATCCTAGCCCTTCTATGGTAAATTATTGGGGGTATCCTACCATGAAACCATATTCCAACTTTCTGGAGTTCCCTGTAGACCAACCTCAGGAAGCTCAAAACCTCCCAACCCTGGTTTAGGGTTTAGGGGTTTAGGGTTTTGGGGTTGAGACCTCTGGATCCCTTCGCAGCAGAACGTAGCCAGGAACTAGCATTGTAACAACACCAGGTCCCCAAATCAGCCCTGCAAGGAATAGGACCTAGGCTCCCTCAGAGCTGACTTGTACCTACATGACATGGTAAACCCTTCTTCTGTGTACAAAGATATAGCCCAATACACAGGAAGAAAGCCACCAGAAACTCAAGATAACAGCCCTCAAGCCCGCAATCCTTTAAAACTGCAGACCCTTGGCCCTAAACCCCTAACCCTACCCCCTAATACAGGTTATAAGTTATAAGTATAGTTATCCTAAGTATAACTGTCTTATAACTAACAATGAACACTCTAAACCCCTAAATCCCTAAACTCTCGATAGAGTCCTAAACCCTGTAAGCCCCTAAACAACCCTAGAAGGATTCCTCAAAGCAGCCCTAAAGGCTTAGGGTTTAGGGTTAGAGGCATCTTCAAGTCCTAAACCCAATAAAAACCCCTCAACAACCCTTGAAGGATCCCTAAAAGTCCTTAAAAGCCCTGCAAGCCCCTTAACAACCCTAAAAGGATCCCTCAAAGCAGCCCTACTTAGAGGATCAGGGGACTTAGTAAGTAGGTTATAATCGGGGTTATAAGTCCCCTAAGTGGGGTTATCCTAATTATAAGCTACTTATAACCTTACTTACTAAGTCCCCTGAGCCTTTAAGTAGAGGCATCTTCAAAGTTTGCTATTGCGCCAACCTCGACTCCTGCAACTCCCTCGCGCGGGGGCTCCCGGTTTGGAGGTTTCGGGTTGAGGGAAAAGGGTTTAGTATAGGGGCCAAAATAATTACCAATACTATTTTGGGGTCTCCTTGCTATGGTTATAGTATGATGGGCCCCAAACCCTATTCTAATTTGAAACGCTGCGCGTCGTCCGCCTGGGCCCGGCTGTACGCGCATGCGGCGAGTGGCTACTATCTGCTGCAAGCTCTTGTAGGAAAAAGTAACAGTTGGAATCGCACTCAGGCTGGGGTTAGGGTGTAGGGTTAAGAATTCAGGTTTGAAACTCGCTTGGTACTGCAGCCTTAAAGGCGAGCCCCAACACATAAAGATGCTACATTGCAGTCCCGTGTCGTCGAAAACTCCAGAAAGCTCGCACCTGTCAGCGAGCGGAGGAGGGGCGGGAGGGAAGGGGGGAGGGGGGGGGGTGGGAGGGGGGAGGGGGGAGGGGCCAGGGGGGGAGGGGTGTTGGAGTGAGGGTTCGCGGAATAGGTTTCAGGGGTTCAGGGTTTCGGGGCGCGGGGTTTAGGGGAATAGGGTCTAGAGGTTCGTGGGTTTAGTATCGGGGGTTTAGGGTTTAGGGGTTTTGAGTTGGTTCAGGGGTTTAAGTGCTCAGGGGATGAGGGCATGGGGAATGGGGTGCGGGTGAGAGAGTTCAGGGCTCGGGGAATAGAGTCTACAGGGGTTGAAAGTTTATGGGAGCAGGGATTCGGGGTCTAGGGTTCGGGGAACGGTTTAATCAGAGGATAGCAGTCATCAGCTTGCAGCAGACTTAGGCAAAGATCGGTGGTATTGGCCGTTTCACATGACCACACCACAGGTCACGCAACTTTGTCAACAGTCCATACCGCAGATGGAAGTTCGCAATGGCCAAAATGGGAAGAAGCGAACGTTGATGACATTGTCAGAAATTACGGATGCATTTGCCGAATATTCTGTGCAGACTTGCAAAAACGCCTGGCAACTTGCTAATGCACGGAAGATATCAGGAGACGAGACGTTCTGGAATGCCCTCGGCGCCCACGCAAATGTCACAGGCCGGGATCACAAGGTTTTGAGTGTGTGGAATGCTGAACACATGGATTCTGGAAGCTTCGTGGCTGTTCCAGACCTCCTGTTGTCCAACTTTGTTCCTTCGCCGCAGATCCATGGGCGCTTGGCTTCGTGGCAGCAAGGCGGTGTCAAAGAGGTGACGTTGATTTTGCAGGACCTGGCGGTCTGGGCGAAGCGGCATTCGCATGCGCATTCATGCATGCTTGTGTGGGACAAGCCGGATTTGATTTCATCAGTCGCCTGGACCGTCTACGAGACATCAGCTTCGGCCCAAAGCCGGGCTTGATGCTCTATGAAACCTGCATGGCTGAATGCTCCATTGACAACGTCAAAGGTCTTGTCGACTTGTCAATCGATGATGGAGCCATTCCGAAGCAAGCCCCTCGCATTGTCGGTCTCCATCAATTGGACTTGAGATCGCTTCTGGCCGAAGAGAGTCGGCACCGTAGAACAGAAGACGGCCATCAATCGGCGAGTTTCGTGGGCGCGCGTGAACGACGACAGCCGCTTGCTCGCAAATTTCCGGAGTTTCCATGGACCTATGTGCCAGGACGAGGACGAGGAGGATGTGTTTGGACACAACCGCGAGCCAACGTGAGGTTGCCTTTTTTTCGCTGCGGAACTCGATAACACAGGCTCTCTGGCTTGTTTTGTAGTTTGGGGCGTTGGAGCTTTGGCAACAAAACCCAGCAATATCCAAACAACAGACGTTCTTTGTTGGAGTCTGCCCACAAAATCAAACCAGCAGACTGCGCCTTAGGGGTCTCACAAAATCAATGTAGCAGACGTTCTTGTGGGGGCCTTCGTGCTTATGGCGGCAAAATCCAAGCAGCAGACGTTCTATTTGGGGGTGTGGCAAGGTTCGCCAAATCTTGCGAAGGCCAATGGCACGAATTTTTCAATGTGCTGCAAGCTTATGAAGGCTCGGCATCTTGAAATACCTCAGCTGTGACAGTCGTTACTGTACATGTTTGTTTTCATGTGTTCAGGAGGCAAGTAAAATCTGCACCATGCAGGCTCTAGCTGAAAATTCTGGCCGCGCAGCTTCACAGATCCACCACGATAGAAAGAGTGCTGGCTTGCGTGCTAGAGTCTGCTGGAACAGTGCAAGCCTACCTAAGTCGGATGAATGGCCGTGTGGGTGCTTCGATGTTCCAGCTTCAGATGGGCAACACATCGGACTTGATGTGAAATGCTTGTGTTGAACCCTGATTGTTATGTCGGTTGTGTGTCGTCAACGATTGAAACTTGACTGTGGTCAAACTTCCATTGTAACATGCAAAGCCGACTGACAGTTCCATGTTACGAACGAAACGAGGAATAGACGTGTTGCTTTCTTGACTTGTGGCATGTGGCAGGAGAGTTCGGTGCCGATCGCATGGTCGAGGGCCAGGCATGCCCCTCTGCCGATCTCAGGCAGCGGTTCACCAACATGTTGTTAGAAAGAGACGTGCAGTGCAGCAACAGATCAACAACAGCTTCGTAAAATGCCGCACAGCATCAGCTATGTGCAGATCCAAGCTTCGGTTCGCGCTTCTGCTGCCATGCTTGACATGGCTCCGTCGTGATGCGCTTTGCTTTGCTATGGCAGAAACAGCAATACACAACATCAGTTCAAAAAGTGTCGCGACCGCAGGTCTTTGTGCTTCACCAGATCAGCTTGGGATTGTGCAGATCCAAGCCCGCTTCTGCTGGTGGAAACACAGTCTGCACTTGTGCAAGTTTTCATTTGCACAACCGACTCATTCACTTCACTCACTCACCCATCCACCCACCCACGCACTTACTCACTCACTCGCTCGCTCGCTGACCAGCACTCAAGCAGGCATGCTTTCAGACATATTCCAAGCGCAATGCACGTGTACGATGTCGTTGATTGACGGAATTCTGCAATTCAGCAGACGTCGCTGCACCCTCAGATGAACCTGCACGGTACTAATGTCAGCAGCACGATAAGTGTGCAGGTTTTGTACATCAGTGCCGCCACGAGCTTCAATCGCAGGCACAATTGATTGGTCGGTTGCGCGCCTGAGAACTTGCAAAAATATTCCCGTCCCGAGGGAAACTTCCGGGGGAACCAGCTACGCCACGGTAGGATGGGTTTTTCGTCCTTGTGCTCGCAACGACGACGGATTGCACGTCAGTACCGCGCAGCTGATCGGTTGCACACCTGAGAACTTGCACAAGCACAGACTTCTCGGTCCGCATTTCAACCCGCACACTCAAAAAAAAAAATCAGACACAAGAGCTTCGCTGAGAAAATTATGGCTCAGGGTTGTTTAGGGTCAGGGGTCGGGGGTGGTTAGGGTGAAAGTTGCAGGGTGTTTCGGGGCAAATGTTAGGGGTTTGCGGATGTGCTGAGGGTCCAAGGCTTGCGGTGTTTAGGGGTTTAGAGGTTCATCAGATCAAGTTTCTGGGTTCTTGTTGATCAACCAAATTCAATTTGCCAAAATGCGGTCGATGTTAAATTAATGAGGTTCGTATGATTACCTATAGTAACTTAAACCCAGAGGGGCCGAAGTACCTACAGTAAATTGTATGGCGTCTGTGTAGCAACTACTCCCATGGTTCGGGAAAGTAGCATCCATAACGATGGGACCTTCGGGAAGTTTGACAAGATTTGAAACCGTAAGCCCTATACCCTAAACCTTAACAAGAGCCAATCACAATTTGGGGTTTCTGTCCAAGTAGGTTTGATTCGGGGTGGCTTTGGCGGAATTGAGTCGAATTGGAACAGGTTTGGGGTTTGCCCTCCTGCGTTGATGAGACATACATCTATTGGGGTCTTGTATCCAAATTTAGTAAACGACTGTTTTGGCATGGCAGCCGGTAGTCTGAGTGTAGTCTACTTTCACAATGTCGTGTTTGAGTTTGCAACTGAAGATCGGATACAAGTCTTATCACAATCCGATAAGCCCTTGCGAAACTCTATGCGCAGCTTGTAAGGAATCCTCAAAACGGCATATATTCGAAGCCCCAAAAGCCATAAACCGTAAGCCGACAAATTAAAGCCTTGAGCACCGAAAATCTTAAAGGCCGTGAAGACACGTCTGCTTGAAGACTATCACCCGCAACTCCATACTGAAGCTTTCGTAAGAAACAAACCCTTGAACAACTCCTTTCTACACAAAAAAGGTTAAAATTTAAAGAGCCCTGCTAGAACCCCTCATATGTTCTCATGGACCCTGTTCAAAGAACTACCCATACATATCATATGGCTCCTTAATAAGACCCGCGAGAAACAACTCTGAGGGCCTTCAACCACCAAGCTGGAGAGCTGGCGCCGGCCTCGGGGTCGGGAAAGGCAGTGCAGCTTGCTGTCGAAGGGGGGCGCAGGGTGTTGGGTTTAGGTTTTAGGGTGGCTTTTCCAGAGTTTTACTTTAGGGCTCATTTGTTACAAGTCTTTACGACTTTCACCTAAGCCCGCTGACCCTCAATCCAAATCCTACAACCTCAGACCTGAGAGCTTCTGCCTTACGCTGACGCCTTCTACCCAAACTCAGGGGTACTCAGATTAGTTTCAATTTTTTTATTAATTACTGTAATCCGTAAGAGTCAGCTAAAAGATGCTAAAAGGACATGTTTGGCAGGGGTTTCAAATTCAGTAATTATAGCTCTGAGGTTACGGTGTCATATAATTGGCCGAGCCCACAACTGTATGAAACGACAAAGCCTTAAACCCTCTCCCGAGACCTTGAGCCTGAAACAGTATATAATTTGAACCCTTAAACCGGAAACCCAGGATTAAAAGTAGTATATAGTAGGTAGTAGTAGAGTTTACCTTCAACCTTTTTGTGGTGCTATAATAGTCGCTTGTAATCCCAATATACTTCCGTAGGTTAGCCTGAAGTTTCCCAGGATACTCGACGACTAAGTAAATACAGAACCTTCAGCCGCAGGGCCAAGGTTCAAGCCTTGGGACAAGGGCGTTTCCGAAAATGAGCGATACCTTACTTGGGGGCCCTTACCCTGAGCCTCCGAAAGGCCAAAAGTAGGTAGGTACTATTTATAGACTTTAGACCCCAAAGTAGATACTGTTTGTAGACTTCGGGGCCCTTAAAGTAAGGATCCTACTATTTAGGGTCCTAGATTAAACCCTAAACCCCTAAACCCTAAACCCCTAGTTTTCGGACACCCTCACAACGGCCCTGAAACGATTGAAAAGCTAAGGAGATCGAAGACCCTCTCTTGGATGTGAGCCTTGGCAACATTTGGGATCGGACTCCTCGGATGGAGCCTGCTGTTACTTAGATCCCCAAAAAGGTACAAAAAGGGCTCCTTTAAGGGATCTACAAGGGATCTATAGGGCTTTTCCTAGGTCCCCAATACCCAAACTTTATAAACTTTTTGGGTTCTCATAGTCTTTAATAGGAATCGGAAAGTTTGACCTTTTATTTTCTGTGGCTTGTTGGGGGAGTAAGGTTATGCTTTGGAGGGGGAGGGGGGGGGTAGGGGGGAGGGGTTTAACTTGGGCTTAGAAGAGAACAAAGCATCATACCGATAGTAGTCATCATGCCTCCTCGAATGCATGGATGTCCTCACATGCCAACATCCAGGCTCCTTAATGAAAGTCGCCTTCCTTTCTGTTGTGGGTGTTTGGCTTCGGGATTTGGTTTGGGGTTTAGGGGCTTCGGGTTTTGGGGTTTACTTGTGGTTTGGGATTTCTGCTCTGTGTCAGCCGTGTAACTCCTTGGCCGTGCATGGGAGACTTTGCGCCAGGAGCAATCCTTGGGTGACACGGATTCTCGGGCCAGGGCTCGCCGATTCGATCTGGCAAGCGGGGGGGGAGGATTTGAATTGCTCCCGGAGTGACCTCTCCAAGGCCGCGGTGAAAGCCTTTTGGGGAGATGTCGAGGAGATGGTTGGCTTCTGGTGGAGGCGGATGACGGCCGGGGAGCGGTGCAGCGTCATGCAGCGTCAAGTTCGAGACCTGGCAGATCTACGGCACGGCCTGGGGGGTGCCTCCGGCCAGATCCGCTGCCATCGGCACCAAACTTGCCGGGTTTTGGTGCAATTGGGAACCAACGGAGAAAGTCCCCAAACACATGTCACGAAACCTACACCCGTAAATAAACGGGTCCAAAGAAGGGACTTCGTGAATCAGTTGCCTACATTACATCCTACATCTTGGTGCCGAAAAGGCCATTAACTTCCTAAACTGCACACCCGCAACCTAAACCCGGGTTTATGGATTAGGGTTAGGGTTTACGGTTGAAGGTCGGGGGGCAGGGATAAGATATGGCAACTTCGAGTTGCGAGCATGCTAGTGGTGCTAGTGGAGTTACAGGAATCACAGGTACATCTGGCTCTCGCAACTGAAGACGATAAAGCCTCTTATAAAGTACTGGAGTCTATACTATACACCGCTGTTACATGCAATCCTATCGAACTCTCCAAACTCTCTCAACTCTATCTATTTTCGAATTGGCCCTCATGAAGTACGCCCAGACCCCAAAACTCCACACCCAGGATTATCAAAAGCAAGCCAAAAACCCCAAAGCCTGAAACCCTGACCCCAACACCGTCATCAAAGCCGCCACCCCACCCTGTTATAAGTAGGCTCATAAGCCCCCGAATAGGGCGTACAATTGTAGTTACCCTACTCAAAACCCTACACCGAGGATTCTTGAATCTTCCACGGTGGCCTCCGTCACAGTCCAGGCTCCCCTTGGGGTTTTGGGGTTGAAGGATGCTTCAAATTGATTCTCATTCCTTTAAAGGGCTTCAGGGTTCGAAAAGGGTTCCTGTAAAGGTTGCTATATGACCTTGAATATTAGGTGCCGTATTATATTACGGACCCAAAAAGGGACCTAGTTTTGACAACCAATATGTTTCGGGGTTTGCGGGCTTAAGCATTCAAGACCGAGAGCACAAAAGTTAAGGTTGGGGGGTTAGGATTTTTCGGTCTCATAGAAGGGTCTGCTCAGGGAAGCAGCTTACTTAAGCATTGCGTGTTTATGGATGTTGGGGAGAGGGGGGTCTTGTAACAGGTCTGTAGCTCTGCTTTTGTGTAGTCCTGTCGGCCGTCTGAGTTTATGAAGCTTTCACGTGTAGGGCCAGTGAAACACCCAAACACACACGACTGCAATAGACTTCGTGGTTCTGGCATCGTCGAAAGAAAGCTTCCTTCGGAACACGTTCCCAAGGGCTGATGGGCATTTAAACTCAGATGCCGCGAACTTACTTGGGAGTTTCCGAAAATAGGGGGTACCTTATTTAGGGTCCTTATAATAAGGATCCTACTATTTAGGGTTCTATATTAGGGTCCCCTATTTTCGGAAACCCCCACTTTGTCAAATATCCGAACCCAAGATCCTCTTCGGAAAACCATAGGAGGCCAAAAGGGGTTTTAGCCTATGGGGGTTGAGTAGAGGTTAGGGTTCCCATAAAGGGGTTCATATTAAAGAATCCCCAACCGTAAACCCCCCCTTTTGGCCTCCCATCAGAAAATCCCTAGAGACACCCCTATAAATCTACTTATAGACAACTGGAAAAACCCTTCGACGCCATTTTTTGGGCAACACGAGGGCCTGACGAACATCCAACAATGTCGTCATACGTCTTTTCCACAATATTTACTCCCAAACCCATGCTTAGTTGGCAGCACGGGCAGGGGGGGTTCCAGATCATGACATTTGCTGCATTCCAAAGTCAACATCCCTAAACAACTAAACCATAACCTTAAATCATGGCATAGGCACGACTTCCTTTCTTGACATTCTCGGCTTTAGTCTGAGTTGAACGTGGCAGGTTGTCGGTTGTTGAAAGCCGCGGCCCTGAACAGCCTTGGGGTTGAAATAGCGCGCCGGGTAAGCTTGAGTTGAAGGTTTTACCCATAGGGCCCAAAGTAGTTCCTTTTGGGGGTTCATATATAGAATCCTATAAGGTAGTCCCAAAAAGGAACTACTTTGGGGCCTATGGGTAAGGTTAGGTCCCCAAGTCCTACACAAGCAGACGTTGGCACCCCTTGACACTTAAGCACCTGTTTCATGCGTTCTGGTTGCCAGTCGTCACGAGCCCAACGCATGTGAAGGGTTTGGGGCATGTTGTTTGGATTTCGTGCGTGTGGGGGAATGCAGCGCGGGGTGGAGGGGGTGGGTGGGTAAAAAGATGCGCTGGTGGCCCGGGCGCGTAGTCGGTGGGTGGGGGATTAAACTGTTCATTGCTTTGGGTCGTAGGATCCTTCAATGTGTATGTGGATGATCGTTTATTCGCGGTTTTGTTGCGGGCTGTTGGTAGTGGCAGGGCAGACATGGAAACCTCCGTATTGAAACAGGGTGCACCAAATTCGTGTGACAGGTGACGTCGACCCTGGACAGCACTTCTTCCTACATCCGCTGTGACAGGGGCTCGGAGATTTATTTAGTTAGGGTCAATATTAAAGGTTAAGGGGCCCCTAAACCCCAAACCTAGGGCGATTCATTTAGGGTCGGATTTGGGAGCCCCAAAGGGGCCAGATTCCTCCAAGGTTTAGATTTTCTATGGCTGAAGGGTTTAGGGGCTTATGGTTATGTGGGGGCTTGCAAGCTAACTCTAGGAATCCTTAAAATAATTAAATTAGGATTTGAATAGGAAATGATTAGGAAATGGAGAATTTGAAAATAGGAAATGAATAGGAATCGAATAGGAAACCAATAGAAACCGCCATTCGATAATTAGGAAATTATTAGGACAGAAATAAGGCCGAAAAAAGGAAATAAATAGAATCCAAATTCCAGGAGACCAAATACAAATACGACAAAATTAAGAACCAAGAAGGAAAACAATAGAGCCAAAATAGAGCCGAAATAGGACCAAAATTAGGACCAATTCCTGTTTTCCTAATTTTTCCTAATTTTGGTCCTAATTTGGTCCTAATTTTGGTCCTAATGTTTTCCTATTTTTTTCCTAATTGTTTCCTAATTTTTTCCTAATTTTAGGAGGAAATTAGGTAAAAAAATAGGAAAAATTAGGAAAAAATAGGAAAAATTAGGACCAAAATTAGGACCAAAATTAGGAAAGGTAAGGAAATTAGGAGAAAAGTAAGAAACGGTAGGAGAAATAGAAAGGAAATAAGAACATGTAGGTAAGAAAAATAGGAAAATAATGCAAAAATAGGAAATATGGAAAAACAGAATTATGTCCTAATTTCGGTCCTAATTTTGGTCCTAATTTTGGTCCTAATTTGGTTTAATTTTGATCCTATTTTTGTGCTGTTTATTGCTGGTTCCTAATTTTGCTTCTAATTTGGTTCCTAATAGTTTTCTATTTTCTTGTCTTTTTTCAATGTTGTCTCTTTTGCTACTTTTCTATTTTGTCCCCTATGTGTTTCCTATTTTTTTCCTATTACTTTCCTATTTCCCATTCCGGGCTTTCCTAATTTAGGGCCTAATTGTTTCCTAATCGACTTTCCTAATTGTTTCCTAATTGTTTCCTAATTAAATTAATTTTAAACATTCCTAGTGGTAGCTTGAAGCCCCCACATAAGCTTATGGGTTTAGGATGGTTTAGGGCTTGGTTTAGGGCTTTCGGCCTTTGGGGATTTTCGGTGCTGGCCCGACACTCGAAACCCTTTTGGCTCGAGCTTGGCCTTGGCTTTGCGAAGGGACTTGGTAAGATGGTGCTGCCGTTGGCACTGCATGACTCCATTTCCTGGGAGGCAAACGTTCACATAAGGGTGCAGCGCGCAGCTTGGGGCTTAGATCCCAGGTCAAGTAAAAGCTGCAGGATGCAAGGTTTAGGCATGGCAGTTTATGGGTCACTGGAAAATGCTGCTGCTCCCTAAACCCTACACTGGAGGCCCTAAACCTAAAGTGTAAAGCCAAGGCGCTAAACCTCAAGCCACAAGCCCAAAGACCTAACATCCCTTATTGCAATGCTTTAATGCCTGAATTGCAGACGGTTTCTGTCTAGAATCTAAAGAAGGAGTATGAGTCTTACCCTCAACCCCCTAAATACCCCTAAAACCTGAACTCTAAGCCTAAGAAGCATTAAGGGGGCAGCGGCTCTCTGGTAATCCTGCTACCCGAGGCCATCTCAGAGTACGAGCCCTCCTATCTCCCGAACGGCGCGGACATCGCGAATGGCCGGGACACCCAGGAGATATGCATTCTAGCCGATTGTGTTCAAGCAAATGACCAGCATTCTACTCGATATTGCGGCGCTTGAAGTCTGAGCCGTGCGAAAGCCTAAAGCTCCCATCCCCTGAAACTGACACCGTAAGGGGTCGGAGTAATGAGAAGCAATATTCCTCGATGGGCCTTTCTGCGAAATATGTGACAACAATACTCCACCACCTGCCTCAAAAACACAACAACAGTTCCTGTTCTATTGCTTATAAACGGCCCTTGTACCGGGATAGAAAAGCCTCGTTTGCGCCCTGGACGTTCTCCAGGTATAGCGCCCATCGGCCTGGGGCAAGGGCAGGCCACATCCCCCACGCAGCCATGACCTCAGTTGAGTTTCAGCTTGGTCCTTGGGTGAGGAACCCGGACGTGTGATAAGATCCTCTAGTACTTCCAGCAGCAGTGTAAAGGCATACTGCAACAGACCCCGACATCCTAGCAGAATGACTAATTCATCAAGGGCCTATGTTTTGTTTGTTGAGGATGAGGTTCTGCCTGCACTTGGAGCGTGCCCCTTATGTTATACATATGGGTGGCCGAAACACCAGCAACAGTGAACTGTATGCCTCAACCGTAAGTTGAAGCTTTGGTTCCTAAACCCGACTTCTCAGAGAACAACACTAACCCTCCAGGATCAGGGTCTGGACTTTCACAGTATGTTAATCACTGCACACCGAAGTGTGACACTTCACCTCGCCCCGGAGCAGCTAGCAATATCCCTCGCTTCCTGCATCTACCGCCGGTTTAGGGTTGTTCAGGGGTTGTAGGGTTTAGTGTAGGACTTCCGGGTTTAGGGTTTAGGGTGTTAGCTCATTAACTACAATAGGGGAAGGTTTTACCCCGAGGGTCAACTTAAGGGTTCTGTTGAAAGGTTCTGCTATCAGGCGTTCTAGAAGGATTGGTGCAAGCATTCATAGCTTTCCGGGTCCAAATGACCCAATTGGAAGCTGTTGCTGTTCAGGACAGTACTATTTACGGTAAGCCTCGATGGGAGTAGATGCTTTCTCGGAACTTGGATCCGTAGGGTATTTTGGGTTGCGTGGTTTCGTTGACAATGCTGTTTGTGGATGCACTACACGATGTCTGTACGAAAGCCCGAGCATTGGTGCTTTGCACATGTAAACTCTAGGATCCCTAAACACAAAAGTAACATGCTCTTGCTGCAACTGAAATTATGACCAGAACTGCATGAATAAACTTTACCAGTGCTATTCACAGCCCGCCTCTAGGCCGGCATCAACCCTTAAGCACGATGCCCCACACCCTGAAACTCCAAACCGTACGGTCACTAAGCGCTTATCACCAGGCCTGGTGCGAATTATGTTGAGATGTTCTTCAAGACGCCTTTGGCTTGGTCGGACCAGTCGAATTCAGACTCTTTTTAATTTTGTTGTGCGGTACGGGCTTTGGGCAATTACATACTTACCCAGAACCTAGACTGCACTGCCTTCTTTGGGATAGCTTTGCTTTGTGGCTCGAAAACTCTGGAGCAAGAAACGGAGGCAGCTCAACAAGTTAGTAGTAGTACATTGTAGAAATAATTAGGGTCTATATCGGATACTTCTAGGATCCCCCCGCAAAAGTGCGCCACTCCCTTGTTTGGGCTTCTGCAGAGATCCGTTGAGGTTTAGGGCCTGGGGTTAAGGATTTTCAGGGTTTTTGGAGGGATCCTATAGTAGTTCAGAGAAGCCGCCACCCAGAGGCTAGTTTGAACAGGAGGTTTTTTTGCATAGGGCTGCGTGTGGATAGAACTTGGTTCTAAGCGGGCTGGTACGGCGCTTTCTTTCCTTTCGTCAGGCTAAGAGGGCATCGAATATGCGGGGGAGTCTTGTCAACATGTAGTACTGCTTAACAAGATTTCTTGATTCAGGGCCGACTCTTGACAAGTTGGAATACAGATTGGTGCTGGTGGCGGTGATCTCATCATGAAGTGTCCTATAGCGGGTTTTCACAGGGCTTTCTGGGCCTGCGAGGGTTTCATAGGGCTCTTACAAACCAGGGCTCTGCTTATGTGGAGATCATGCGCATGCACGCATATGGGTGGTTGTCAACATGATGGTCCCTTTAGCCTTTCTGGGTCCCTAATATAGTACGGCAGCTAATATGTAGGTTACCAAAAAAGGGACCATAATTTTGACAACCACCCATATGAAGAGGCTGAAGTGGAGCAGAAGTGCTACGATATACTTCAGATCGAGCTGCCTACTTGGTCCTCGTCGTTGCAGGAGGAGAACGAAATGAGCTGACATGTCGTTTGCAAGATGCCCTCGAGGCCAACGGGCAGCTGAAGAGGAGCAACAAGAGACTGCACTTCGCAACTTGAGGGAGGACGACTTGAACGTCATCAAAAGCATCATCGGCGACTGCAAGACGGAAGGACGCAAAGACGCCACTGGAGAGAAGGTGTTCTGCGCTTCCTACCTTTTTCCAGCCCTTCATGACTTTAAGGATACAACGCAAACATGAGGTCACTGGGCGAGCGAGATCGGCAAGGAGATGCTCCGCTTCCCCACGAAGCCTGAACTAAACGTCTGCACCCTCCGAGTCTTCACCCTAAGGGTCGACAGGACCCAACAATTAATTGGGTACTCGGTTTTTGGATGGAAGTTATGTAAGTTACTATTCTGGAGAGTATAGGATAATTAGGAAGGTTCTTGGACCCCAAATCTGAGCAACGGAGATCCCAACAAGCGACTAACTGCATGCTCTATGAATGCATACTGTTGATGATATACATCCTGCATGACCCACAATAAGGGATGTACCATAATTCCCATAGTTTAGGGTCCTTAAGGTAATGCAGGATTTATATCACCAACCGATAGCTCATTCAGTCATCGTCGACATCGGGTACCGCTTTCCAGTCTACACACCGTAGATCCGACATCGCACATACCCATAGGCCCCAAACGGGTTCCTTTTTGGGATTGCCTTATAGAATTCTATATATGAACCCCAAAAAGGAACTGCGTTGGGGCCTTTGGGTAGAGTAACCCAATAATTCTTAGTTTTAACCCTATCGGCACAGAGGGGCAAAAGAAGCTGAGTTTATGCAGAATCGAGTGACGCCCAGGTTTGTCAAGCCTCTTCAACAGCCTTGAGCTCAGAAGCGAGGTTGAGGGTTTAGGGTTTAGGTTTTAGGGTATTTAGATTTTAGGGTTTAGGGTTTAGGTTTAGGGTTCAGGGGGGTGTAGGTTTTAGGGTTTAGGGTTTAGGGAATTGCTGGAACTGTCTACGGTAGACGGCTTGTGAGTGCAAGGTGTGCTGTAAGGCTCAGGGTAAAACTTATGCTTGGGATTTCTGACTGCATCCAGTCCCCAAGCCAGAGAACAGCGTTGTTTAGGCTTTACCAGGAGAACTATGGGCACAACATGGCTACAATGATCCTGAGGGCTGCCCAGAGACTTTGATACTCCTCCAATGGCATGTTTATAAGTTCGACAGACGTGTTTTTTTTGTTTTTTATGAAGGTTGGCCCTTTCTCAAAAGGTTTTGGAGGCTTTGGCCACATAAACACATGCTAGACTCAGCTGCTAGACTGTATTTTGAGCTTCAAAGAGGTAGCCCAACGGCTTGAAGTGAGCAAACCACGTACCAGCCGAAAGCCTAGCTCAGCGCTACCTCAAACCCCCAAATCCTGCCTTGTTAGGCGTCCTGAACTTGATTTCCTTTTCTATTCCCTTGAGAGATAGTCATGTTGGGCTGGGGCCATGGGCCCGTACCCTAAAGTCTCCTTATGAATTATTTTCTTTTTTGCTCATTTTAAAAAAAACTTCAGAGAAGATTAAACGTAGTATTTTTAGTATGGTTCTAAAGCCCTAAGCCCCTCACATTTCGGGGGCGCTCCAAGGTGCCTGCCTGCATTCCCTACCCATAAGGCCCCATAGTAGTTCCTTTTTGGGATTACCTTTTCGGGTTCTATATATGAACCAAAAAAACGAACGGCTTTGGGGTCTATGGGTAATGCATTGACACACCAGGGGCCTTAGCGGTTTCCAACGGGGAGACGAGCCAGTGGCTATAGAGCCTCCCAGCACCGGCGGCGCTTGGCATCGGAAGCTGTATTTCGACACTGCGTCGCTTGACTGAAAGGCCTTATCGTCATCATCTTGCCAGTATCGGGCCTTTGCTGTGGGCCTGCCTCGCCAGCAACTTGTATCGAGGTCCCGCGCGCCCTTCCTCTCCAACGGCGTGCAGAACCGCTGGCTGTCAGATTTTATATCTGTCCCTTCCGCGGAGGAGATTGAGTCCAGGATGCCCAAGGCTGAGGAAGAGCCCATCCCCGGGCAGGATTGGCTGAGACTGCTGGTTGAGAAGTCTTGGGGGTCAGTTTAGGGAGGATTTGGCATTCAGGGGTGGGATTCCGGGTTTGGGATTCCTCTGCGCGGCAGTCTCAGTCTCCATAGCGCGGAGGCTATCCCTAAATCTTAACACGATGTAAAACCTTATAAACCCTCCACGCTAGACCCTTAAACCTTTAAACCCTTAAACCCTCAACCCTAAACCACCCTGAACCCTAAACCCTAGTTGCCCCACGTGTCATGTCAAAAATCCTGGGGTCTAGTTGCCCCACGTGTCATGTCAAAAATCCTGGGGTCCGGCACCGAAGATTGCCGCGGCTCCGTTATCAGCATGATGACCGCAGCGTCGGGTTTTGGAATACGGAGAAGGCTTCACGGGGCTGCTGCACGAGCTAGACCAGAGCGGCAGCGTGGTTCGAAGAAGCGTGTCTCTGCCGGAGAATGCGCACTCGGTTTGGCGGCTTCAGCAGGACCGTATAATAATGCGTACTTGGAGGGTAAACCCTAAATCCCAACCGTGTAGTGCAGTAGAAGGCCTGCAGGGGCTATGCACCAGCAGGTGCACCGGAAACCTGCCGATGCCCTAAACCCTAGGGCTCCAAGTCTTTGGGGCCGAAAGTTTATACATACATATATATACCTGGGCAATCCTTGACGCCTAAAATTATTGCCGGCGCCGGGTAAAGGCGCCTTTACTCTGTTGTCGGCGGGTTTGTTCAGTTGTCGGCGGGATTGCATAATTGGCGGCGGTTTTGTTATTTTGGGTATCTGCAGCATCTTTTCGCTTCTCGAAGCGAGCTCCGATCGCCGGCCAGCCCCCGAAGGCACGCCCACCTGCTCAGTTTGCTATTTGAGATTGTCAATTGTGCTCATGAGCTGCAAACTCGAAATCACAAGAGGTTTGAGGCTCGAGCTTTGATTGGATTTTAGGCATGAAGCAAGCCATCGACATGTCTGAGCAGCTTCCTGTGGCTATGGAGAGCTACAAGTTGCTCGAGACGGCAGGACAGCGATCTAAAGTTGAGCACACAATATAAAAGATTTGGGTTTGTGCTGGGGTTCTTGGAAGGATTGCAAGATATGCCCTTGGCATGGTTCCACGAAGTGCAGTGGACCTTGTGGCCGGATCGCAATGCTCATGCAACCGAGTGGCATTATTTAGGATCTTGCCTAGAGCCCTGAACATCAGTTGATGGCATATAAGAAGATACCTAAGGACGTCCTGACCCATGAGGAGATTAGTGTGTTGGTGGAGAACTACAAAAAGGGCGGATCGGTCAGAGAGCTTGCAAAGAAATATTGGGAGGCATCAGAAGCTTTACGAATCTTCGCTTGCATTGTCTTGTGATATGACGATTTCGGGGAATTTCGAAGTTTCTATGGTCAACCTCATACCCAGGACTCTTCGAATTGCCTGAGACTCCCGAGAAGCAGAACGAGCGCAAGAAGCAGCAGCCTGGATCCGGATCTTCTGTGCAGTAGCAAGCATAGAAGGCGAGACCTGAGATCGCACAGCCGGGCCGCAAAGAGCCACCAATGCTTTGAAGGGGAATCAGTTGTATCATGTGGGCCGATAGTCTTCGCAGATTGTTCCCTTCATAACTGATTACGCAGGCAGTCACCCGATTTCATGGGCACCCGTCCTACACTGAGATTTCTGGTATTGCATCTCGTATCTCACCCTTTCCCTCTGTCGCCCTCTGGCCCAGGTCTTCATGGAGCTCGTCGTCCTGGTGGATTTCATCTTCTTCGTATGCCCTAGGTTCGCTTCAGGTATAATTAAGATCTCTTTGGAGTTGTTTGGTGCCAGGCTTTGCTGAGCAGCGATGTGTCGGTGCCCTACCGGTGCCCTACTTCTCATAGCCGAAGTATGCTGCCACAATTTCTTTGGAGTGAGGTACTGAGTGGAAGGAGCCTATGTGTTTCCGGAGGCTCGCATACTCTCAATCAATCTGATTTCTTGTTGAGATCCATTCACAGGCTTGGGGACGGCTTCTTTGGCTTCCTCATTGGGCGATCCTGGCTTGTTTAAAGCTGGTCGCTAATTGTCGTGAAAAACTTCTCGCAGGCATTTCACGAAATCTGGAGTGCAGCAGGCCAGTTCGCTTCATGGTGAGATCCGATCAAAAACTGACTGCTGCCAGGCCGGGCGACGTGTTGCCCTTCGAGTGCCCACCCTTCCGCTGCACTTTGCATCAGTCCGAAAGTGTATGATGTTTGTGAGCTGGCACACATGTCTCGTGCAGCTTTCTGGCCTGATCATAGCAGCTTGACCAGCGAGGTCGCACTGCACATTTCACGATTTCACTGTTCAACATATATCGCTTCGCTAGACCCTGAGATTTGTCAATAGAGCAACTCCGAAACTTCGAGATGGCGGAACCCGATGCCGTGGTGCCTGTGATTGTGACCCTGAAAAAGAAAAATTCCAAGAGGGCGGTCCCAGAGATCCAAGGATTGTGGGAGGCCTGGGAGGAGGACCCGGTTGTTCGGAAAGGTGCTCGCAAGCGAAAGAGCCTGTTGTTCTGGCCCAATCCATCAAAGACCGGCCTCATTAACAAGGCAAGCCTCAAGTGCAATTGGAGGGTGGTCTTAGCTGTGGTGCGACTCTATTGCCCTCGAGTTCCCTCGGATGCTCCGACTAAGACCGTTCCCGTTGCTGCATTGAAGGACCAGGTGGCTTAGGGCTTCGGGGGTAGGTTTACGTTATCTGCATTGTTACCCTAAACACCCCTAAGCCCTAAACCTTGAATCCTGAACCTGGAAAAGCACCCGAAACCTTAATTCCCCAGGTGGCAAAGTTCTTCGACGACATCAGTATCACCCCTCGGAGGGGATTGGTTCATTGCGAGGCCCACAGCCTCAAGATGTTTCTGAGCTACATGAACCGACGAAACGATGGCTCTCGCAAGAAGGTTTCTGGTCTTAATTCTTCGGTATTCAGGGTCTCTTTAGGGTTTAGGGTTACGAAGATGGTCTTTCTTGTAGAGCTGCCATCAAGCTTCCATGCCAAGTCTCCTAATCCGAGGATGCCACTCTCGCTGCTTTGTACCAGGAGCTGGAGAAGCATTGGGCGCCGAAGGTTCGCTCACGCCGGACCTTGGCTTCGGGTGATGAAGAAGATGATGATGATGAGCAGGAGGAACAGGAAGAGCAGGAGGAAGAGGAAGGTGAGGACGAGACAACCTTAACGGAGCCGGAGGACGATGATGATCGTTTCCAACTGGTTGACCCCTACTTAGCCGAAGCAATGGGTTTGGAGGCCGGGTCACCTCCGCCGCCTTCGGCCTATGTGGGCACGGTTGCATATGAGCCGAGCGAGGAAGCAGGAATCCCGATCCCCTACGAAGCCAAATCCCTGACAATGTGTTCGGCTGCTAATGATGTTGATCTTGTGCGACAACTTGCTGAGATCGAGCATCTTGCTTCATGTTCTTTGCAAGTAAGATATGGTGTGATGCCGTAGTGTTTCGAGGTACTTTCTTGCACAGCATGAAGCTAAGCAGCCAAGGCAGCGAATTGCCCATCGACGGGCAGCTTTGAGTGGCCAGCAGGCTGCCCAGAAGTGGGGTGGAACCTCAGCAAGATAATTGATTCTCGCAGTTATGAACCCAAGCCATATGACCAAGAACTTTGGTACCTGATCCCCGAACCCGAACCTCTCATCCCTGAAGAGAGAACTCGATAGCCCCCTATATATTATGATACCCAATCCATCACATCCCAGGTTCGGAGCACATTGACAGTCAGAAGACGAGCCTTTGGGATCTTTTCGGTGAAGATGCTATGCCGCCCCCGGAGCCCGATGCAACACCCAACGAGCCAGACACCACGACTCTTGCAAGACAGGATGGTGCTAGCGACCTGTCCCTCTTTGAGAATGACTTGGCAGCAGGAGCTACGAAACAATCGACAGTGGCTCCAAATCCAGTTGCTACACCTGCCCGGGCTAAAATTGCTTCGCAGGCCCCAGCAGTTGAGGCCCAAGCAGAGGCTTCGCAGGCTTTAACAATGGAGGATGTCGAGGACCCAGCAATCACCCCAAAGCCGCTGCCCGATGCACTGGAGGCCCCATCAAAGAAATCCCCGCACAGCCTAGCCCTGAAATCTGAAGTTTGCCAGCCGAGCTGAGCTGCCACCCTTTGCAGGTTTCTTCTGTCAAAGACGGCGAAGCTGACAGTCCTGAGCTTCTAGCATGCGAGGTGGGCAATCCTGTTGAGTATCGGCTTTTTTTATGATTTGAAGGCTTCGTCTTTAAATGGGTTCCAGGATAAGAAGATTTCAGTGGGATTCCTAACGTATGACGAGATACCAGAATATCGGCCTCTGGGTTAGCTTTTCGTATCGGCTTCCGGGGCTTTAGGGATGGGGTCTCAAGTTTATGTTTGGGTGGGTCCCAGGCTTTGGGCTGTAGTGTTTCGGTGGCTCTAGAGATACCATGGGGTCAAGTAGTCTCCCGAGGCTTTGGTTTTTAGTATTGGGGCGGTTCTATGTCGGGACTGCTGTTGGGAGTATGCTTTGAACTAATAACTAAAAACTATAACTATCATCTACTAAAGTCCATTAGGTTAGGCATTCGGGTGGTAGTCCTGAGGCAAAAGTCAGCAGACGCGAGCAGATGACTGCAAGGGAGAAGGCAAAGCAGTGCGAGGCCGAGGACGAAGACGACGATGACGACGACGTGCCGATCAAAAAAAAACCGGCCATGGCCAAGGGCAAGCCTGGAAGGCCGAAGGGATCCGGGAACAAGTCGACGAAGACCGACAAGGACACGGCGAAGAAGACGGGCAAGAAGAACCAGGAGAAGGAGAACGACGAAGCCAAGACGCTGCCGAAGAAGAAGGGCAAAAAGAAGGACCCCGAATCGGAGGACGAGAACGACGAAGACAAGACGCCGCCGCCGCAGAAGAAGGGCAAGAAGAAGGACCCCGAGGACAAGGAGAACGACGAAGACAAGACGCCGCCGCAGAAGAAGGGCAAGAAGAAGGACCCCGAGCCGAAGAAGGAGAACGACGAAGACAAGACGCCGCCGAAGAAGAATGGCAACAAGAAGAAGGACCCCGAGCCGGAGGACGAGAACGACGAAGACAAGACGCCGCCGAAGAAGAAGGGCAAGAAGAAGGACCCCGAGGACAAGGAGAACGACGAAGACACGGCCCCGCCCAAAAAGAAGGACAAGAAGAAGGACCGCGACGACAAGGAGAACGACGAAGACACGGCCCCGCCCAAGAAGAAGGACAAGAAGAAGGACCGCCAGGACAAGGAGAACGACGAAGACACGGCCCCGCCCAAGAAGGACAAGAAGAAGGACCGCCAGGACAAGGAGAACGACGAAGACAAGACGCCGCCGAAGAAGAATGGCAACAAGAAGAAGGACCACGAGGACAAGGAGAACGACGAAGACACGGCTGCCACGAAGAAGAGCAAGAAGAAGAAAGTTGACGACGAAGACACGACTCCGCCGAAGAAGAAGAGCAAGAAGCCAGACGCCGAGGAGAAGGAGAACGACGAAGACACGGCTGCCACGCAGAAGAAGGGCACGTTTGCTTCGAGAAATCCGGGAAAGGGTGCAAGAACAGTGGCCATTTGGACGGCTATCCGGGATGCATTCGATTGTGTTCTTCGGGACAAGTTTCGCTACACCACGAAGATGGAGGATTGGTTGTTTGTTCAACATATATTATATTCTAATCGTAGCTCCAACATATTTCGAAAGAGCCAATCTAGTCCTTGCTTTGTTCGCAGGGCCTTTTCTGGGCCGATTGCCGGCCCGTGCTGCTCGAAGTGAAGGACGATACTGAGCTGTTCCAGGCGGCTAAGAAGTTTGCTGCCAAGTGGTTGAAGATGGACAAAGTTCAGGGTGCCCCGATGGTACAAGCAACCTTTGCCAAATCTACGCTACACCCTGAAACTAAAGCCCTTGACCACCTGAACCTTAAACCCTCAACTAGAAGTCCTGAAGCCTTAAAACCTTATACCGAGTAGTGCCAGCCAACGAGACACTTATCCGAGGTCAGCTGAAATGAAGCGATGCGATGACCGGCCAGCTTTTTGCGACCATCCTGAGTTCACGCCAAGGACTTGGGCCTCTTCTTATGAAGCTTCTAGGTGCTGCTCTCTCTAGAAACCCATGATGGGTGTCTGCTTTCCAGAGGCGAGTGTGAGCTCACATCCTACCACAAAGTACAGGGTCCTGAACTGATACCGGTTGTGTCTGCAATCGTGACCGCATATAGGTAGCACTTCTTTGGGATGCCACACACTGCCTCTTAAAGGAAGTATGACTCATGGCTGTGGCGAAGCAGTGCAAATCAAGCTCCCATGCCCGAAACACAAGAAAGAAAAGAGCGAGTGAAGTCATGCAGCGATTGCACAGCTGCAGAGATTCCCGACCAGTCGCCTTCACGAAGCCCGAAATACGAGCCGAGCCGCAGGTACCGCGATGCCGTTTTGTGCGGCTTTCCAGCAGCACGGCTTGGACGGTGGCACCTCGAGCTGAGCTGCCATGTTTTGGGTGCGGGCTGAGGGTACGGGTTTAACTTTAGCACTAGGACCACCCTGAACTCCATACCTCAGCCGCAACCATCTTGATCCCCTTTGTTGGTTCTACAGCCCGAAGGGTTTGGTAGGATTATATATTTGTTGCTAGTTTCTCTTTGGGATCTCCGAAGGGCCTGAAGTATCAGGGTTTTTTCCTTAAAAGGGTTTTTCAGGTTATCACGTGTCAATGTTTGGGAGCTTGGCTTTCTGAGGCCCCAACTTTTCTCTTGGGTTGCAGGGGTTCCCGCTGGGGCTATGCAGTTCTGTGTGTAATTCTAGCAGAAGTGCTTTTATCATATACTAGTATCAGTAGCATAAGCTAGCCAATCCGAAAACTATGAACCTCCCTGGAGAACTCCATCTCGCAGTCCAGTGCCCTTATACTGTATCCTAGAAGTAGTGCCAGAAGACACCCCAACCCGAAACCAATGATCCCTTGCCTGGCAAGTTTCTCTTTTTGAGAAGCATCCAAGCCAAACAGGGATCACGCTGAGGGCGGATTCATCATCCTTGGCTACGGTTTAGATACGGCTTTGGGGTCCGAGCTCCCGTCTCACGCTTTCGGTCGCTTGCAATTTTCAGGGTTTAGCTTCAGTCTTGAAGGTTTTTTTCGGGGTTACCTTGAGTCTTCAGGCTTTAGTTGGGTCATTCATTGGAATCGGTGGCTTATGTGGATTGTTGGGCTCATGGGTGCTGGAAGATTCTGGGGCTCAGGGCTTTATTACATACGGTACTTAGAGGATCATGGGACTTAGTAAGTAGGTTATAATTGGGGTTATAAGTCCCCTAAGTGGGGTTATCCTAATTATAAGCTACTTGTAACCTTACTTACTAAGTCCCATGATCCTCTAAGTATAGGGCCGTTAAGGTTATAGGTTGCACTCGACAACAGCATCATCTTCTTGTTCCTCCACACAAGAAAGCCTGTTCTGTAACCGAACCTACGAAGTCCGACCCTGCACCCTGAACCGCAATTACATCGTTTGCTGACAGGAGTCAAGATATTGAAGTTGTGTGACCCAAAAATTCCCGAACAATCCTAAGCCTCCCAGCCCGTAACCATAAGATCCCAAGCCTCTAAGACCCTAAACCTCTAGACCTCCAGCCATAACCTCAATATATCCGCAAAGCCTCTAAAACCCTAAGTCTATAAACCTCCAGTCCCCTTTACCACAAACTCTACAAGCCTTTAAAACCGCAAGCACCTAAACCTCCCAGCCCCTTTGACTATTAGTAGATCCCGGGACACACAACCGTAAGTGACGAGATCCAGTGCTCGCTTGAGCTTGCAAGTCGGGCTCTGAAGCCGCCACACCGTGCCGGCAGTGCTGCCTCGTAGTTTTGGATGATGCAGAAATAATCGCTTAAGTTTAGGACCAGGTGAGGTCGCATATATGATATATATGGCACTTTGCAGGTCTGCTCATAATTCAGGAATATCTAGAGAAACTATAGGCTGTGGGTAACGATGGCTTCGTCCGATGGGAACCCAAGTCGGCAGTCCTGTGTGGCAGAAGGTTGTGTACGTTTTGCCTTCGAAGGGAATCTTTTCTGCTGCCGTGGTTGTCGCAAGAATAGGCGACATTCGAAGAAGTGTTCCAGATTGAACCCCGAAGCCGTTGCTCGCGAGCCCATTGGAGACTGCCCGAACTGTGATCGCAAGGTTTTGCCTCCGCACCTGCACTGCTGCTCTGTCTGTCGTCTTTGTCCTGGGCAACACAAAACGACATGCCTCGCAAGGGCCGAGTTTGCAGGGCGAAAGTTCCTGGACGAGATGGACTGAAGCACAGTCGGCAGGGGTATGAAAAGGAGAGCTAAGACACTGGTGCAGGGTTCGTGTGAGGCTGAGGCAAGGAGAGGCAGGGATAGAGGATAAGGGAAAGGGAAGGCGAGAGAGAGAGAGAGAGAGAGAGAGAGATATGTGTGTGTGTGTGTGTTTTGCCACGATTTCGGTGGCTCTTCAGGCCAATTCAGCAGCTTGGGCAGGGATTTTCGGAGTTTAGCTCTGATTTTAGGAGTTCTGCTTGGCTTTCGGTGTTTTGGGTGGTTTTCAGAGGTTTTGGGCGGTTTTGGTGGTTTTGGGGGGGTTTGGGGGTCCAGGAGTGGCGGCGGGAATGCCCGGGATTGCTGCGGGAATGCCCGGGTTGGCGGCGGGATTGCCCGGGAGGCCCCCAGCAGCCCTAAACCTAACCCCTAAACCCCGACTCGACCGGCAATACACAGCAGTTTTGGGCTCTAGATCCGGCTTTCCGCTGGTGATAATAGGGGCAATGGAAGCTGATCCAGAGCTTCAGGCTTTGGCTGCTCAGAAGGCGGCTTTGATGGTACCCTGGCCCAATTACACGAGATTTGTAACTCTCACCCAAAACCCTCACCCGAAAACCCCGAACCTAAAACCACTTCGCTTGCAGGCCAGGATGCAGGCCCTTGGCATCGCGGGCAAGCAGGAGCCCGGTTGCAGTCAGCCCCACATCCTGCCGCAGTGATTAAGGCTTTCGGTGCTGCTGATGCATGTTTCGCTCCTTCAGGAGAAGCCTCTTCGTGCGACCTCCTGGCATTCCTCCCAAACGGGATCCCAACAGGACCTGATGCCAGAGTCCCAGTCAGAGCTGGAAGTGCCTGCTACGCAAAAGGAAGCTGACACGCAGCTGCCTGCTTCGCCTGTCCCTGCCTTGTCAGAAAGCCTTGGTAAAGGGACACCCCAGAGCGAGAGGTCCGAGCCCACGCCGGGGGAGGGGACGAACTCCAACCCCGCACCCAGCCAACCCACGCCTGAAAAGAAGAATACGAGTTCCGAGCCCGGAGCCAGCCAACCCGAAGCCGTAGAGCAAGCCGCCCTAGGATCCCAAAGCAAGTCAGAAGCACCCGCCGTGGAGACCAGCCAGCCCGAGAAGCCAGACACGTCAGAAGCACCCGCCGTGGCCAAGACCAGCCAGCCCGAGAAGCCAGACACGTCGAAAGCACCCCCCGTGGCCAAGACCAGCCAGCCCGAGAAGCCAGACACGTCGAAAGCACCCCCCGTGGCCAAGACGAGCCAGCCGGAGAAGCCAGGCACGAACACCCGGCCCACAAACAAGGACACCAAAGATCCGAAAGCAACCAAGAACGAACCAGAGGAGGATGAGTACGTGGCCCCGGTGGAAGATCACCCACCCCCTCCTCCCATCAGCAAGGCCACTTTGATGAAGAGGCTGGCACGCATATGTGCACCCAAAGCGGATGGGACCTACAAAGTCCCGCTCGAGATCATCCAGACCCACAAGAATCTGGAATCCCGGGATGATGTGTACCGTGCCTTCGAGAAATGTGGTGGCGACCCCGCTTCGCCGTCACGCTTGCAAACGGTAAGAGTGCCATGGTGAGGGGGAGTGTGTGTGAATTTTATTTAATGTGTAGCTTGGAAGCCAGGTGATTTTCACGAAGAAAGTCAACCAGCGATACGAAGAGATCAATGAGAAATCTGTGGAAACGGAATTCGAATTCCTCACAGAGGCGGAGATGGAAGAGAAAGGATGGAGCGAGTGCCTCGCTAAAACAAACCAGTTTCATGAGCTCCTGTTGCATGACTATCTACACTCTCCTGTGGCTCCTTCACGGTCCTTGCAGACTAGCAGTGCTGTTCTTCTCAGTGCTTTGCTGAGGAAGAAGATCAAGGGTGCCAAGAGAAGCTGCGAGCGCCGGCAGGGGTACAAGAGGAGATGCAACAGTTGTCTTCCGTTTGCATACGAATGTTTTGCTAGTGATTCTGTGCCTGATGCTAGTCTCTTGCACAGGAAATCCGAGTACTGTGACGAGTGGATGTACTGGGTTGCTGTGCGAGTGAGAGGATCCAACAAGTGCCGTGGCTAAACATTATATTCGTTACACGTATACTTTGATCGCTACAGCCTAACCTTGAAACCCTACCCTTTCCATCTACCTCAGGAAGACGAAGCGGCACACCGTGACCGAGCTCCTGGAGGGTGCCGACCAGGAGCCCATGCAGGATCCTGATGAAGCAATGGAGAACTTCCCTTTCGAGCTTGAGGGAGACGGAGATAAGAAGCAAGGGGAAGGTACCTGGGTGTCGATATCGGGCTATTGTTCGTGGTGCTATTAAATAGTGCCTTGTTCTTCAGGTTCCGGGGCTTTTTGCTTTCCTGTCTTCGGCTCGGTATTAAATAGTCTTGTTTAGTATATACTGGGGTTCAGGATATTAAATAGTCTTGTTTAGTATATACTGGGGTTCAGGAGGGGTCAGGGCTTGTGTTTGCGAATTCGCCAAAGTAGGGTTCGTGAGGGCTGGTCGGAGGCTGTCGTGATCCCACTAAAGCCAATCGGGGGCCTGGCTAAGTTAGGGATTAAAGCCTGGGTTTAAGGTGTCAGATTCAGGATATACCTGTGTTATGTCTTTGGAAAGAAGTGTCGAGGCCAAGCATCAAGCAACATGTCTAACTTGCCTAAACCTTAAACTTAAGATCCCGATCCCTCAAGTCTAAAGAAGAAACTCGGAACACCACATTCGGAAGCTCAATATCTACGGGTGCCGATCGAGATCCCCATTCCTAGATTCTATGGCCAATAGTCATCCCCAGCACTAGACCCTGTAGTCATTGAACCAAACCTTAAACAACCCAAAGGCCAGGACTCCAATCCTTGCTGAGCATCAGCAGACTTGTCGCTCCATTACCCAAACCCGTTAAACCTACGATATAGCCTAGCTGCAAACCGCCCGACCCACGACCCACGCACGGTGATATATGGTTGTCGACCCTTGGCCCGAGATCCCTACAAGTAGAATCCTCAATCCCTGGGACCTTCAACCCCTGGAAAACTAAAGCCTAATCCCCCAACAGCTTATTCCCCAAAGGCTTAGATTCGAAGCCCGAAATCCAAAGATATAGGATACCTATACAAATCCGCAAATGCAGCCGGCAGGTGATGACGAGGAGGAGAGTGACTCCAGTGATGATGGGGAAGAGGCTGCCCGGATCCTCAAAAGGATCGCCTATCCGGAGATTCCCAAGAAACCGCAAGATGCCAGTATGCTGGTGACCGGCTGCCTCCAGAAGAGGGCGAACAAACTCCAGCTTCTCCTGGCGAAGATGGAGTCGGATGCAAGCATCTCCCTCACCACGACCCAACTCAAGATCCTCATCTAAACAATTATTTGTAAATGTGCTTGGGCCTAGTCGATGCACTGTGTGCTTCAAATCCCAAGTAACTCAGAAAGCAAGGTTTCGAGACAGCCTCAAGATGGTCATCGACGCAGTGGGTGATTTGGAGGACAGAATTACGACTATCTATAGTCGTGGGATTGCTGCTGGCTTCACGAAGGAGAAGCTTGTCTTGCATTTCCTAGTCCAGTACCTCGCTCTTGTTGAGTAGGATTGTAAGCCTGAAGCCCCTTCAGCCCCTGAATCCTGACAAGGGACCAGAAGAGGCTTCGCATGCTCTTCCAGGAAGCGAAGACGAAGCACCTTGGCTTGGCATCTGTGCATACCACTGATCTTCAACCTGAGTGTTTGTTGTGTCAAAACCCTAAACCCCTAAACCCTAAACCGTAGTCCTGCCGCCTGATACCCTTCCATTCAAATCTCGCAAGTCAAGAATACCCAGGGCCGTGGAGGCAGAGATGATTTCTGAGCGATCGAAGAGCATGAAGTTTCTTGTCTTTGTATTGTGTTGTGAAGACTATTTGCTGCTTTCCAAGCGGTTTCTGTCCAACTCATCATCCATGTACGTTCTGCACCCAGGATGCCGACGAAGGTACCCGAGAAGCCCGATCCGAAAACAAAGGCCAAAGCCAAGCCGCATGCCAAAGGAAAGGTGGCCCCTAGGAAGAAGGCGGCTGATGATGAGGAAGACGAGGAAAAGCCCAGCAAGCGAGCCAAGAAGTAGCCACGCCTCGTGTAAGTGCTAGCAGAGTTCAGCTCCGCAGGCAGTGCCAAGGGTTACTACTCTAGTCGGTATAATACTGTTGTGATAGGACAGCTCGTTGCAGGCACCGCTGAGCTGATTCATGAGATTCAAACAGTGTTTTGGACACTGTGTCTCGCCAGATCGTTGCTGGGTTGCCGCTGCAAAAGTAAGTGAGTCTGTGTGTGTGTAAGTATTTAGGTAGATAGGTGGGCGATAGGTTGGGCAAGGCAGGGCAGGTATGGGTAGGTAGGGAAGTAGGTAGATTCGTCGATAGGTTGGCGGGTTAGTTTCTAGCTAAGATCTTGGGCTTGGACTTGAAGTGACTTGAGTAATTATCTCTATTCCGGATTCGGGCTCTAAAATGTTCAACCCTCTCCTGGAAGCTTAGGCTAATGCCCCAAACGGAAACCCAAATCGAGCCCTCGCCCGAAACCCTTACCACTATTCCCTAAACCATTGTGCGAAGCGACCTGAAGCGCCGGAGGACCCCCCCATGCCATACTTATGAGGTCCAGCCTACAACTACATCCCGAACAACCTTCAACCCCCCAAGCCATACTTAGGAAGCTCTAGCCTACAACTACATCCCGAACAAAGCCCCTAAAGTTCGCAACCCTACAACCCTACCCTCGCATGCCAGGCTCCGACGAGGAGCCGGTCGATTTCGGCCGAGCTTCCCAGTATGCCGAGATGCTAGGCGAGGGAGTCCGGATCCTCGGATTCTGTTGGAGTTTAGGTTCGGTTTATGGCCTAGGGACTTATGGTGGAAGGCTTAGGGTTCTTTTTGCCACCCAAGGATTTATAAGGGCTCACGGTCTGGAGCTTACGATTCGGTGCTGAGGCCAATGTACCTTTAGGGCTGCAGCTTCGGAGCTTTATGGTTGGGGGAAAGGCGAGACTCATAGTCCAAGGGTAAGGTTTCATGCTGACGGTACCGAATCGTGTAAGCTTGAAGGTTTATGAGTGGGGCAAGCTTTCATTCATGATCGCAACAGAATCTTCCAGGATCGACATATTATACTTTTTCGGATTGAGGAACAAGCCTTTCTAAAGTTTATGCGATGCAATGTGATCACTATACGACTAGCCCTGAGGGTTTGATACAAAACTCAAGCAGGTCGGGCATCGGCCGGGTGACCAAACCTTGAAGACCCCATACCCAAAAACCCTTAAACCCTAGAGCCCCTGCTCTCGTAATAAGAGTAATGCATCGTGTCTTTCAACAAGCTCCCGATGTTCTGCAATCCCGAAATCCACGCCGCAATCCCATTCAAAAGAAACGAGAAAACCCGAGTCGTTAATCTTTTAGGGTTTGGGCAAGTAGAGCTTAGGGTCTGGGTTCAGCCGACTTCTATCCGTCCTCGAAGCTGAAGTTCCAAAGCCTTCATTCAGTATCAGGAATTCCGAAGAGCCCCCAACCCAAAGTGCAATCAGAAGCCCAGGCTCATTTCCGAGTCGATAAGGGTGTCTCCAAATTGGACATTTGGGAAATCGTTATTTGTATCAAGAATATATTCTGTACTGGACATCTGAAAGTTTATTTGGTATACTTGAGCCCGCTCTAGAAAACCCAAAGGCTATGTTTCTAATGCTTAGTGTCCCGCCAAACCTAACGTGCCGAGGTCACTGCGAAAGACACCAAACGGTGCATCAGTCAGATGCTGCATCCGGAGCAGCCGGAGGAAAAAAGACGGCAGGCACCGAACGAGGAGAGAGATTGTCACAGGTTCTTTAACCACTGGGGTTTATCTTTGCCTGTGCCAATAATGGAAAAGGCTTTCGTGCTGGAGGACAGAGAGAAAGTTGATACTGCTTATATACGAGTGCAAGACTGGATGCAGTACCTCTTGAAACGGAATCCTTCATTGCTCGCTGGGGGCAACGAGTCTTTGGAAAGCCAGCTGGAGGCCTTCTGGATGGCTTACAGACAGACTCACAGCACCCACCCGGTGTCCGATCGAGGGCTGGACCTCGGGACCACGATTCCGCTGGCTTTTTATTCAGACGAAGGCAAGGGCCCGAAGCGAGGCAACTTCGTAGTGGCCTCCATCGAGTCGCCGATCGGCTTGTGGGATGTGCCCGATGACTTTACTTGCACTTGCAAAGAGGATGTGGAGAAGTCGCCGCAGCAATTTGTTCCGGGCCAGCAGGCAGCCGGCCCGTACACGCCGATGGAGCAGGCCGCCCTGAAGCAAAGCCATACAAATAAAGGCCACTCCTACCTCACCAGACATGTGCTTTTTGGCCTCCCTGACTGGGTCTACAAACACCATCCAGAAGTTTTGGAACAGATGACACAGCAGGTTGCTGACGAGCTCACGATGCTTTTTTCTTCAGGCCCGGAGGTTGGTGGGAAAATTTACACGGCTTGCTTGGTTGGGATCAAAGGCGATATGAAGCAAATCGCTGAAAAGATTGCTTATCTGAACCGATACTATGCCCGTTTGGGTCCTGTGAACCACAATGGTGTCTGTGCACATTGCATGGCGGGCACGAGTGCAGCGATTCCTTTTGATGAGCTTGCTCACGAGCCATCCTGGGCTTCGACACTTTACCAGCAGCGACCTTGGGACTCGACACCTGGTATGTGCAATGTCCCTCATGACAACGATGCACCGGAAAGAGTCCTGAAATATGACATGTTTCATCTTTTCAAAGTTGGGCTTGGGCGAGACATTTGTGGCTCCCTGGTTTTATTGGCTCGCCTGGGCTATTACGATGATCCCAATGGCAGCGATGAGACAAACATCAAGGCGAGGCTCAATCGAGCCTTTGCACACTTCAAACTGTGGCGGCTGGCCTCGCATAAAACCGCAGCTTTGCGATACTTTTCGAAGTCGTTATTCAATCTGAAACGGTTGAGCGACTTCGCATGGACGAACTCCAAGGGTTCGGATACCATGCTCTTGTTGGAATATCTCAGCTTCTTTGTGGCGATCCTGCTGAGAAGATCCAACTTGCCAGCTGCACATGCTGTTTTGTTTCGTGTGCTGAAGAAGACGATCCAGGAGTCCCAGAAGGCCTTCAATTTGATGTACAAACATGGTCTGTGGCTCCCCAGGGCATGTGCCCAAAATCTCTATTTGAGGTTGATGTCCATGCTGTCGGGCTACAAGCATCTGGGTGCAAAGGCTTTGGCGATGGATATGCCGTTCTACTCCTTGAAGCCCAAATTCCACGGCATCCATCATGTGGCACATGAGATCCGAGTGGCACTGCTGGCCAATGCAAAGCTCATCCCGAACCCCATCATGTGGGGGTGTGAGCAAGGAGAGGACCTTATCGGTCGAGTCTGTGCTCTGTCGGTCCGAGTTTCTGTGAGAACCATAAGCAAGAGGGTGCTGCAACGACACTTCCTCAAAAAAGCGGCTCTCATCAGGAGGCACCGAGCTGACCGAGCACAACGAAAGCTGCGGCTCTAAAGTGTTCCACGGGCTCTAAGTATACCATTCCCTGTAAGTATATCTAAATCAGGTTTAGGGTCTGGGTATAAGCATAGGAAGCCCAAGGAGCACCAGGCTTGCAGCAAGGACTCTAGCACTCCAGCAGTCGGCAGTCGTCGACGAATCGCCGGCAAAACGAAGGATGGAGTGCCGAGGGGTTGGGGTTTAGTGGGGTTTAGGGGAGTTTAGGTTTCAGGGCTACAAAGTCCTCTGAAGGACGCACAGCTAATCTTCGAGGGGGTTTGGACTGCCGGGCTCTGCGGGTTGAAAGGTGCTTCAAGTTCAGGGCTTCGGGGTTCTTCGAAGAACAGCTCTGAGCCACAAGGCCTCTCAAACCTCGAAGGTTCTGGTGGCTCCGGGATTAACTTCACACTTTGGACTCCCAACAACGAAACCTCGGCCTTCCGACCCCGAGCCGCTTTAGCCTCGAATCCCAAACCGTTTTGTTGTTGTTGGAACAGCGAACTCACAACCATCGTCCTGATGCTTCAGCCATCAACAGACAAATGCTGTTTAGACCTACCTTAGCGATTCTGAATTCTTCGAACATCGCCCAGCCCCAGCCTTAAGACTCGTTAGCCACTCTCAACTGTTCGAGCACCGCCCAACCTCAACCCTAAATCTAATCCGGGCTTCAGGGCTTCGGAATTTCGGTCTGATTCCATGCTGTTATTGTCCAGACTGTTTGTTTTCGTGTCTTAACAATATGAGTCTAAGGTCTCTGGCGGCGCTTTTGGTTTTCTGTCGGCGCTTTTGTTTATTGTCGGCGGTTCTGGGATTTGGCGGCGGAAATAATT